TTTTTCACCAGAATTCTGCTCTTTCATTGATGCATGTCTGCAGAAGGATGCGGATGCTCGGCCAACAGCTGAGCAGGTGAGATTGTGGTAAATTTGGCATCAAAGTTACTATTTTGGAAAATAGCTTGAGCTTTGTGAGGCATTTACAGCTCCCGTGGAACTTCTTCAGTCTTTGAGTAGGTTTTGTAATGAGTATATATTCATTGAGGTCCTTGAGGAAATATTTATCGAAGAATGCCATTAGTATCATGCTACATTGCATAAGTTCCACCTCATGGTAATGTCTTGCATCTTGTAGGATAGAGGCATTTACTGATGACACTCCTTTCTTATCCTTTAATCTGAGTTGTGTGATGAATTTTCTGCAGCTGCTTATGCACCCATTTATCACAAAATACGAGCATACCAATGTTGATTTAGCAACATTTGTTAGAAGCATCTTTGATCCAACAGAAAGGATGAAAGATCTAGCAGATGTAAGTTCTCTTCTACATATGGGTGCACAATCTCAGTGAACCTGTAAATGCATGAAAGAATGGTTTAGACTTTATGGACAATTTGTCTTGTCAGACACAGGACTATTCAAGAGCTCTAGATGCATTTGTGGAGGGTAGAGCTTATTTTGTCGGATCTTTTCACTGAATCTTGGAAATGATGAACACAGTGACTACATTGTATCTTGTGTTGTGCCTGCTGAGTGCTGACGTATATATAGCTGGTCATACAAAAGTTATTTTCTTTGTAAAAAATTTAGTGACACCTGTTGGTGACCCTGTCAATGAAGTTTTGACGTGGCACCTTTTCACGCGGTGATTTTAATGGAGGGGAAGTTGGTATTACAATTTTCTGACATTCTTGTGGTTACTCTTGGACTGGTTCAACCAGACTGCCCGAGATATAGGAAAAAAGTGCATTTCATTTCTCAGTGAGTATGCACTGTCTTACCAGGACTTGCATTTTAGATAGTAGAGTATGTGGGTTCAAAAGGACCTGAAGTTTAGGTCTAGTTGGGTAACTTGGGTTTTTCTCCTCTATTGTGTCAAATCCTTCTCCTATTGACTTTTGCAAATATTTCAACTATTGACAGAGTTAAAGCCATGCTTGAATCAATCTGTTTGGTTATTTGTCAAGTAACTCCTAAGTTGAACGAGGACTGTAACTCTTGTCTGTACATTTTGAGAATTATTTCACTCAGTCCTAGAGACATGCTGTTATAGTCATGTTAAATGGATTTTAATATAAATTCGATCTTCTAACCAGATGTTGTCGATACACTATTACCTACTATTCGATGGACCTGATGAACTTTGGCATCATACGAAGACCTTCTACAATGAAGGATCAACTTTTAAGTAAGAGAATCTTCTTTCTAATTTTGTTGTTAGAATTTTTTTCTTTGCATTTTAGGATTTAAGTGTTTTAATAGAGATGTTATTTTGAAGTTGCGTTGGAGTTTGAATCCATAATCAGAGAATTTGCTGATACTATTGGCGCTTGTGTTTCTCATTCAGGTGTGCTGATATTATTACAATTTTCCTCTTTTAGTTTCTCAGGCAAGCAATTTGTTGGTCCAGATGATATTTTTGGAAGCTTGTCGAATATCCGGAAAACGTTAGCCGGTGACTGGCTTCCCGAAAGACTTGTACATGTCGTCGAGAAACTGCAGTGCCGTAATCATGGTCAGGATGGGATTGCAATCCGCGTATCAGGCTCCTTCATTATAGGGAATCAATTCCTCATCTGCGGCGATGGCGTCCAAGTTGAAGGCATGCCACATTTCAAAGATCTATCCATTGATCTTTCTGTTAAACGAATGGGAAGATTCCAGGAGCAATTTATAATTGAACCAGGCAATCAAATTGGATGCTATGTTATAGTGAAACAAGAGCTTCATGTAATGAGCTAGAGAAATGAAAGCAGATGGTCATCCCCAAGGTTAGCAATCTTATACATATTGGTTTGTTGCTTTCAAATTCAAGTGTCGTTGCCAAATCCCAATAGTATTGGTGTTGTACTACCTAATTTTAAGTTCTTTAAAGTGAGAACAAACCTTTTCGGTCGTAAGTTAAGGTTGATTATTATGATATTTCCTACCGCCTAGCAATACAGTTTTGTGCAAGAGTATCATATGATTTCTCAATCCCAGTGAATTGGATCTGACGACATCTTCGCTACACAGACCGACATCGGCTTAAGAGAGGAGATACGGCGGATTCTGTGGACATTCATTCAGGAAGGTTTCTGTTTTGAGCTTTGAGAGGAGTGGGATCGATCTGTCTTCCACTTGCGAAGGAATTTCAGCATCGAACCTTCGGGAGATGCAGAAGTGACAATCAATACTCCGAATCTGTTGCGCGGTGCTGGTGGGACTGTCGTGTACCACAGTTTGACGGACGATGGAGTTTAAGGATGTCCTGCTTTGTTTTTCCTGCTGCTCAGCATACTTTTGATGCAGTTGCAGTAAAGTGGTTTGTTCTATTTCTCTCTTCTTCTTGGGGCACAACTGGTTATATCGGGAAACCATTACTTCCGCTGCTAAGTAATGCCGTGTCTACCGCTATGGACTTCGCCATATAGGCAGATCCGGGCTTCAAGAGCAGCAGCTCTGTCCTCCGTTACAATCAGAGAAGGAGTTGCACGGACGCCATAGGATACTCCAAACTTTACTATATTGAAATGTATAGTTATTGTAATTTACGTACTTGAGAGAATGCGATGATCCGTTTCTATAGCTGCTTGTCCTCTCCTCATATTATGATTGCCCCAATTCGTCAGAATTTGCCTTCTCTGTACTCGTTGTGGGGCATTAATTGACTTCTATCAATAGGGTTTGGTGTTGATGATGGTACAGGACAAAATCATAATTTGTGTTTCTTATGTTGTGCTTATTATTATTATTATTATTATTATTATTATTATTATTTTGGCCTGAATGATCTGCCTGTTAGATTTTGTGGTGAATGTAGTTCCCTCCTACCAAGCTTTCCCCCAAATCTCATAAGATATTTCGAATTTCTATAAGAATCTAAGTCGGATTCACTATACACTTGCTGTCCACTTATTCGTAGGCTTAATCATTGAATGCTATGCCAGATTATCATAAATCTATAAATAGAAGAACCAAGTTTTATAATCTAAAAATAATAGATGAACTCCTCAATAAAAGGAATATAAGATTATTGAATGATGTCCACTTATTCGTAGGCTTAATCATTGAATGCTATGCCAAATTATCATAAATCTATAAATAGAAGAACCAAGTTTTATAATCTAAAAATAATAGATGAACTCCTCAATAAAAGGAATATAAGATTGATATTCAAGAGTAATATAAAGGAAGGTAGTACATATATAAAAATGTTCAATGTTGTCCCTGATGTTAAATTAATGAAAGGATAATACAAAATATTTCATTTTGTTCAGAGACTATATTAAAAATATACCAAAAGTTTAGGGACTACATTGAGCAAATTATAAGTTTAGGGACCACATTGCATATTAGACTAAAGTTCAGATATCACATTAAACAATCTAAAAATTTAGGGACCATATTGCACATCGGGCAAAATTTAAAGACCATTTATATCATCGGAATTATGCTCGTATGCGTCTTTATCTTTGCTCTACATTGTAAGATAAAAGGCCTAATTAAAAAAAAAACCCTCAACTTTACACTTTGTCCCAATTATATCCTGAACTTTTTTTTGTCTAAAAAAAAACCTCAAACTTTTATACGAGTCCCAAATCTGCCCTCCCGTTATAAATCCGTCCAATTAACGTCAGAAAAAAAAAAAAAAAAGAGGACCAGCAGCTGCGGCGGTGGCCAAGCCTTCGCCGGTGGCCACCGCCACAGCCGCCGAGAAGGAGCGGCGGCCCTCGCCGGCGACTCGCCCTGGGCCGGCGAGGGTCGCCAGCACTCGGGAAGGCCCAGGCGAGGGCCGGCGATCCTCGCCGGCCCGGGCGGGTCGCCGGCGAGGGCGTGTAGCCCTCGATGCGGGGCGAGGGTCGCGCCTCCCCTAGATCGGGGTCGCACGCCCTCCCCAGATCGGGGCGCACGCCCTCGCGCGACTTGCCGGGGCGGGCAAGGGTCGCCGGCCCTCGGGAAGGCCCAGCGAGGGCGGTGACCCTCGCCGGCCGCCGGCGGAGTTGCCGGCGAGGGTGTGCGGCCCCGATCTGCCGGCCCGAGGCGAGTCGCCAGGCGAGGGCGTGCGACCCACGATCCGGGGGAGGGCGCGACCCTCACCCCGGATCGGGGTCGCACGCCCGCCGGCGACTCGCCTGGGGCCGACGAGGGTCGTCGGCGCCCGGGAAGGCCTAGGCGAGGGCCACTGCTCCTTCCCGGCGGCTGTGGCGGCGGCCACCGCCGTAGCTGCCGGTTCTCTTTTTTTTTTTTTTACGTTAATTGGACGGATTTATAACATGAGGGCAGATTTGGGACTCGGATAAAAGTTTGAGGTTTTTCTTGAGACAAAAAAAAGTTCAGGATATAATTGAGACAAAGTGTAAAATTGAGGGTTTTTTTTGGAATTAGGCCTAAGATAAAATTGACAATATCGCTTTTTCAAGTCTCTATAGTACATCTCTAAATGCCCGAATCGACTTGAACAAAAAAAAAATCGAGATTTTACTCATCCTACACTTCCCATTAATGGAATAGACATAATACATGGCACGTCTAAGTAGAGACTACTTTTATATAAAAAGGCACCAAAATCTGATCTCGCAATGAAGAGAGACACATTCTAGTAATTTATAATCCGGGCGGCAAGTTTAAAGGTAATATTTATAAAAAGAAAAACTCTTTATTAAAGTATTTACATAAATAGGGTGTATAAAAATTTATTTATCCATGCTTCCTTCGGCCTCATCCAGGTGCAGCCAGTTTTTTCCTTTTTTTCCCTTCTCAATAGGAGTTAAAACGAAAAATAAAAGTTATTTCCACCAAAATAAAGGGGAAAAGAAGAAAAAGAAAAAGAAAAAGTCCGCGGGAGCCCCCCATTTTTAACGGTCGTCCCTAACCTACATAAACCCTAGCGTTCGCCTCGCTCTGGAGCAGCCGCTTCCCTTCCCCACCTCTTCGCTCGCTCCTCCTCCTCCTGCGCCGACGCCTCTGCGACCATGCCGAAGCACTACAGACCTGCGGTGAGTCCATCCTCTTCTCCTCCTCCTCCTCCTCCTCTCTATCTCCGCGCAGCTTCTCGAAAATCCCTTTAGCAGCACGGTGGATTCGCGCCGCCCAGCGGACTGATTTGTTCGCGCGATTTCACCCTTTCGAATGTCCTCCGCGTTTTTCAGGGGAAGAAGAAGGAAGGCAACGCCGCGAAGTACGTCACCAGGTCCCAAGCCGTCAAGCTCCTCCAAGTCAGTCTCGTCACTTTCAGGTCCCCCCCCCCTCTCTCTCTCTCTCTCTCGCGGTGCTTTAGGTTTTTTTTGCCTAGACAGGGGGAAGGGAAATGACGGCAGATTGTTTTTCGTTGTGCTAACGATGGTTTCACGACACGAAATGCTCAAAAATTTTGTCTTGGTTTAATTTGTTTCCTTTGCTTTTAAAGCACCCGTCTTGCAGGTATGAATCGATCTTACATGCTCGAAATCTCGATGTTTAGGTTGTTTTTCTCCGATAGGGAGTTGAGCTAACCCTGTTCTTTAATATATTTCCATGGACTTCTCCTCTAGTATGTTACTTAAGCTTATTAGTGGATGTGGTCTGCGGGTAATTGATACGTGTGCTACAGGGCTATGTTGCTGATTGTCTTCACCGTTTTATCCATTTCTTCTTCTTTTTTTCTCTTTCGGGAAGCAAATGGGATGGTTATAGTCCGTTACACAACTTGGCCAATGAAAGCATGGTGATTTTTGTTATGTTGGTTTCGCGCACTGAAGCAGACATACCCATGCTTGTCTCCCTGATTGAATTTTCGAGCTAAGTTTGAGGTTTTTGGATTTTCTCATGGATATAAATCTATGGCTGTCTTACAATGTGGTGGAGACGAGACTATAATTCTTAATATCAACAACCTTGCAGAGGCTGTGCTTGTACTGTTAAATCTTTTATGTGGAAGTCGAACTCATAACGTTGATTTAGAAAACAGGAGAGACTCTCGAGATGTTTTGCTGTATCATGTTGCAGTTTTCTGTTGATTTCAAGAAAAAACAATTCTCTTCAATACACGTCCTTTGCTTATGTATTGGGCATTTACTCTTTTATTTCTTCTTATTGGAAATTATAGGAGACTATGCATCCTGAAAGGTGTATTTCCCCGGGAACCTAAGAAGAAAGTCAAGGGGAACCACCACACTTATTATCACTTGAAGGATATCTTGTTCGTTAAACATGATCCATTGCTCGAGAAGTTTAGGGAGATGCGAACTTACGAAAAGAAAATTAAGAAAGCTGAGGCAAAGAAAAATAAGGACCTTTATGAGCGTCTTCGCACTCGAAAGCCTACTTACACGCTTGACAGACTCATATTGGAGAGGTTTGTTGAATATGCTTTTCTGTTATCTACCAATTGGAGCTTTCATATTTTATCTGACATTTCCTGGCTGCTTACGCTTTTAATGTAGGTATCCTAAGTTTGTTGATGCTCTTAGAGACTTGGATGACTGCCTGTCCATGGTGCACCTTTTTGCGGCATTACCAGCCTTGGAGCGGGAAAATATTGAAGTGAAGCGCATTCACAATTGTCGAAAGTTAGTTTCCTACTTTCATTAGGGAAAACAATTACCTTGTTACTAGTCCACTGGTACGCACTTTCCACGTGCACGATAGGGTTTCAGAATTCGGAAAAAGTGAAGGAACCACTTCGCTCCTCCTAGAAGTGTAAATTTATAAATGCTCCAATGCCAAAATCTCCAATGTGGTCGGTCATGGCAGCCTGATCACTTATATAAAGCTGGGACTCATAATGCCGATAGAACATTTAGGGCTCAAAGGAGCCACAAAGGTTAATTGAAGGCAGATTGCAAATTGAAATTGAGGGCAAGTTTGTGAGATAAGACATGTTTACTTTGGAGAACAATGATGATTTGGGTAATTGGGTGAGAAATAAAACGTGTGGAAGGACAGAATAATATGCTGGTACAGCTTTTCTCCATTTAAGCTTCCTCAGATCATGGAACGTCACCAAATTACAATAGTCAGAGACTACTTAAGTTAAGCAAACATCTAAATAAACATAAACGTAGTCTTCCTGTTGTTCAATCCCAATAAATATCTAGGCAAGGATTGCCATAAAAATATTAGTCAGCTGAAATCTCACTTTGCCTGTTATAACAGTAGAGGTTCACGTATTGGGATGTATTATCAGTCTAGGTTAATGTAATTCTTTAAATGATTAATGTTCACTTTTGGTTTGATCAGATCTGCTTTCGTTCTTCACTGTTAGGTTGAGTCATGAATGGCAAGCTTATATTGCTCGAACTCATAAGCTCAGAAAAGTCTTCATATCTGTGAAAGGCATATATTATCAGGTACTACAGGTTACTTATTGATCAACCGTATCACTTCTCATGTTGCATATAATTCTTACTGAGCAAGATACGTCTGCAATAATTTCATTTGCACAGGCTGAAGTTGAGGGTCAGAAGATCACATGGCTAACACCTCATGCCTTGCAGCAAGTTCTGCCCGAAGATGTGGACTATAATGTCATGCTAACTTTTCTGGAATTTTATGAGGTCATATTTTGAGCTTCCGTTTTCGCCTCCTATTCTAGTTTAGCTGATGACATGAAGTGGTGTTATTCCCTTTTGTTTCATGATAATACGACCTGAGAAGCTTCATCAATTAGGAGTCTTGTATAAGAATCCCGTATGTGTCTTTTAGTTTGAATTTAGTAGTGTTGTTACAAACTTATTCAAGTAGAGTGGATCTGGATGTACATAGATTGAATTGCCTCTTTCTAGGTTGATGAAATGTCGGTACCTCTGTGCTGAGTAGAACATCAATAGAAGATATGACTACTTTAAGGTAGATGGTCATGATAGTCTGGTGGTTATAGACCTTCATTGTTTGTTTTGTATTTCCAGTCGCAACATATCTACATTCTTAGTCTGCTTTCTGTCTCTTTTTGACCTTGTCATTCAATTACTGCAGACTCTTCTTGCTTTTTCGAATTTCAAGCTATATCATTCAATCAATGTGAATTATCCACCGATCCTTGATCCCCAACTGGAGGCTTTAGCTGAAGGTATTCTTTTCTTTCTAAAGTTTAACTAAATAGGACTATTGGCTATCCGTATGGAATAGTGAAACTTCTATCCATGATAATCTTTTTGCGTACTTTGGCCATAGTTTTCCGAGTCATCTGTTGGTATTGCACTTTTCACGGTTGAGATAATAAATAGCTCAAAAATTTGTGCAGAGCTTTATGCATTGTCAAGATATCTTGATGCTAATACTAGATCCTCCCATGCCTCTGGATCTGACCAAGTGGAAGGTCAACAAAATGAAAAGCAGCATGATGAATCTGATTTAAGGCTCGCACAACTTCAACATCAGCTTCCTCATAATGAGCCTGGGGTTCTAATGCACCTTGTTGAAGATGCTGCTGGTGAGGATGAGGAGGATGAAGATACGAAGGAGTGCAAGAATTTCTTTAAGGATATGAAGTTCTTCTTGGGTCGTGAGGTGAGATTGATTTTGCATTGGCATATAGATATTTCTTGTTGGTAGTCCATACATTTGTCCTTCTATAAACCCTGTTGTCTCCGTACATTCGATATTTTGCGGAAGTGCGGGATTTGCTTGCTAGGAATTGAAAGTGTTTCTCCTCCCTCTTCCCTTTCTTAATAGATAGGGAGGGAGAAGTACTGACACGATGTTTTAATCTTTGAATGTGTAAAGGAAGTGGGTCAAGGGAGCTTAAGAAAAGAAGTGAACGTAGTGTGTGCTTTCCTAATTCATGGAAATAAAACAAATGTAAGAAAATCAAGCTGTGGGAAATGAGTTGTGTCTGGTAAAATGTCGGGAAAATTCTTTTTGATGAGTTTTTACATTTGGATTCTTCTTTTGCATGGTTCGTTTGTACTATTGGAAACCGAATAACGAGGTTCAAGTGGTGACTGCATTTTGCACCAATTGCGTCATCATGCCCAGTTGAATGTGACGCAGCATACATTACCAAATTGTATCTATGTTACCTTTCATATCCATCCTTTTGACTGAGACAAGAAACATGCTTCCCTCACTTACATGACTATATTTCTATTATCAGGATATTAGCCTCTATTTGAGTTAAAACTTCCAGCTTGTACTGGTTTTACATGCTGATAGTGTGGTATTTTGTAATGTTGCGGACACTGAAATATTTTCCAGCGGATGTGAGAGCAAAAATTCTGTAAAAATTTCATGTAAACCAACGTGCATGGTAGATCTTAGATATTAATTTTTTTAAGTTGGCAGTTTGCACAGTGATGAAGTAAAGTACATATTGCTGGCATGCATCCACATGTCTGCTCCACGAATGGATCAGTCTTCATCTTAGGTGCATCTTTCATGCAGAACTTTTGTCATTCTGCACTCTCTTCTATTAATTATTCATGTGATATTCAGGTTCCTAGAGAGTCATTGCTTTTCGTTATTCCTGCTTTTGGAGGTATTGTTTCTTGGGAGGGAGATGGGGCTCCATTTAGGGAGGCTGATCAGAGCATTACCCATCAGGTGTCGTCTTTATGCTCCCAATTGTTCTGTTTTCTCCTTATGTTCTTATCGTTTCTTTTGGTATTACCTATGCTTGATGATTGCATTTTGCTGTGCAGATTGTTGATAGACCAACTCAAGGTCATAAATTCCTCTCTAGAGAGTATGTTCAGCCTCAATGGATTTACGACTGTGTGAATGCAAGAATTATCTTGCCAACTGAGGGTTACCTGGTGGGAAGGTAAAGTGGACATGTCTTCGAAATTTATCTATGCATTGTTTTTATTCCCAAGCGGTGATGTTCTGACAAGGTTATTTGTTTCTCTTTTTCCTTTTCTAATAGAAGTTGGAATTGGTGCTCAAATAATATGTCCCTCTCTTTCTTCCATATTATCTGTCGAGTATTTGGTACTCACCGTGATTGCAAAAAACTGCATGACGTGCCAATGCAGTGCTGGAGATATTAGCATGCTTGGTTGGAGTTACGCTTCAGAATATATCCGCAGGGTCTGGGACTCACTATAAATGTAAATGGATAAGATGGGAACCGTCTGGAAAACTTTCCAGTTGTGAAATATTATAAGGTCTGGCCTGCAATGGAACCAGCCATTAGCTTAAACTGATTCATCCAAGATCAGTGCAAGATTTACTCCAACCAATAGTACAAACGCACTTGACTTAAGGCTAAATGGTGATTGTTGTAACATGGTATGTGCAAAGAAAGTAAGAGTAAAGCTTCTCAGGAAAAAAAAAACAAAAATAAAGGGGGCTTGTTGCTATATATATGGACCCAATCACTGAAAATAAGGAACATTACATTTGACCAATAATTTCTATCCATTATTTGGACTAGCTATAGGATTTTGTGATAGGTCTACTGCAGACTCAGAAGGGTACTTATAGAAACAACTTTTGTTGGTCTAATATTGAATGTATGAAAATAGCCTTATCTGTTTTGTTTAATCACCTCTCAGGCTAATTCTTGTTATTAAAATATAAATTTAATATAATTTGTTTACTTTCATTGCCTTCAATTTACACAATAACCACAAAAACTCCTGATATAATTGTCCCATGCATTGCACAGTCCAATCTAGTGCTCTACATTAGTTGGATGGACATTTTGGAATTGATGAATTTCTGCTATTTTTTCCGTAGGTTCTTTGCATCCTTATTGCTTTGTTCTCTAGGATTGACGTCATTTTTTGCAAGCAGGGTTCCTCCACCACACTTGTCGCCTTTTGTCGATAATGAAGCAGAGGGTTATGTGCCAGACTATGCAGAGACCATTAAGCGCTTGCAGGCTGCTGCCAGAAATGAGGTTCTTCCAATGCCAGGCACCGTAAAAGAAGACTTGGAAGATCCTCAGCGTCTCTTGGTTGAAGGGATCATCGACCGTGCTGAGGCAAATGAAGCTGCTGAGAAGAAGCGGAAGGTATTCAATCTCTTGATGGCTGATCATGATTTTCTAGTGTAGCATTTTTACTGTTTGTTTTGGACGAGTTCACACTGTAGATTTTGTTGCAAGTTGTCATAACTCAGAAATTCTTGTCAATCCAGATGGCGACTCTCGAAAAACAGTATCACGACGAGTTAAAAATGGAACTAGAGGGAGCCCAGTATTCTTCATCTATGGTTAATCAAAACATAGAGAGCAATGCAGCGAGCGGAGAAGCTAGGGAGGAATCGGTTCCTGATCTGCAACAAATTGCCGATGATAGTGCAAATATGTCGAAGATTGTGATGTCACGGAAGAAGAGGAGGCTTTTAGAAGCCATGGAGGTAACTTATAATGTTTACTGTGTTTTCTCCTTAAATTTGTTGGCTTATCTGCAGTTTTTCTCGTGCAATGACACTCGGCCCTTGCTCTATGCAGATAGGGAAGAAACGTAAACAGGCTAATGTTGATCTTCTTAACGAACGGAAGAAGAAAAATGAAGCAGGTCAGGCGCCAAAGAAGAAATAATTCTGCCCGGAATTTTGAGCTTTTTTTCCGAGTATTTGATGTTTATGTATTCTGCTTTATTCTGTTGGAAGGATAGTGTACTGCCAATCAAAGGTATTGGCTGAAATTTTGCAGAAATATGGATGATGAAAATGTGTAAATTGTATTCTTCTCAAAGCTTATTAAGAGCGAGGTTGTTCAACTTGCCACCGGGAATGGACATAGTTCTAGCTAAGATTTAGTTTGTTTCATTTTTATAAGCAATAAAAACGATTATTTTTAAAAAATAGTTTTTAAATTATCTATTATTTGCGAAACAAACGAAGTCTAAGAATATTGTTCTTCCTTTTGACACTTGGCTATCCACATATGATTCTTGAGCAAACGTAGATACTAGTTATTCTTGGTAATTTTTTTGAAAACGTACCGGCTACTTTCTTGGAATGCACACAACCCACCAGTAGTGTTATAAGAGTACTACTGTTATTTGAATCTCTTTTATTATCAATCATTTCGGAAATTCACTGAATTTTATTTTGGTTGAACACCAACGTGTTAAAATCATTAAGTTTTATACAAAATTATCAAACTTATTGATGTTTATTTGATTTTTTAATAATTTCGACTCTTTCGGTAAATTATCGACATTTATTTAACTCAGTTGTAACGCGATATTTTTTTGTTTGGTATTAAAAGAGCAAATGATATAATACATGAGTTCTACTTATTTCAATACCCCATTGATACTTCCAGCGTATTTTAGCACATATTCCTTTCTAACAAAAAATATTTTTCTTAGTTTTCTTGTTTCATTGGTTATGGATTAGCAATAATTCGATTGCTATCGTTGCAACTAGGATCTTAGATAGAAATAACACGGGATAACATGCACCTAAAGTAATTAGAACATAAATAAAAACGTGAGATTCAATCAACCAATCTCGAATCATGTCACGTGGGATTTCGCTAAAAATTTTAGTGTCCTTCTTATATCAGTTAGGTGGTTATCCAAGTTAGTTTTCGCACATTTAGACTTGTCCATATCTTTCGCACATTTAGACTTGTCCATACCTTTCGCAACAATCTTATGGGCGCGCTTTTCTAAAAAAGCGAATTGTTGATTTATGAACCTATCACATTATTGATGCTGATATATTCCTAACAAGATCTATCTATATATACTGGTCACGACTCAATGATAATGGGGAGTTTTTATAAATTCATGGCCAAAAAGTAGATAAAATAGCAACCTGATATTTTTTATACGAAAAACAAATAATATTCAAATCATAATTTTCAATGCAGAAATTTAAGAGTCAAAATTTTACGCTAATATGCTGGAAAATATTGGGGGTGGGGTAAATTAGCAACATGGGCATCAAGCCCTTTTTTCCATTTATATATATAATACATTCGATAATTCCGTTCCAAAACTTTCCCTTGGGTATGAATAATACTTAATTAACATTGATTAAGTGAGAATTTTTATTTATTTTTCAATGATTTAGCAAAATAAAAAGTTTATAAATTTTGGCTCCGGCTAAAAAGCAACTAACATTATCGTGGAAAATGGTGAGAAAGTCATTGAATCAGCATGAAATTTGATTTTAGAGTTGAAATTTCGTGGCATGCAATCTTATTTGCATGTTTTTTCAGTCAGATACGAGGAAAGTGAACAGGAGGAGGAGGAGGAGGTTGTCGTTCGACCGAAACATAGGTGGTCCGCTCACCTACGACGGCGGCGGCGGCAACAAGAGCTCGCCGCTCTTGTGCTTACACCTTCTCTACGGAACCACCGTCCGAAGCAGACAACGCGAGGCCATCCATTCTCCACGAACAGACCTTCCTGAATCGCTCCCGTCCCTCTCACGATGCTCTCCCTCAAACGCGTGACCAAGACCAGGGCCCTTCTCCTTCCCCAGCCCCTCGTCCTCGACCACGCCCTCCTCGCCGCCGCCCCGCCACAGCACTCCGCCGCCTCCCTCCTCCACGCGCCGCAGCGGGCCGGCGTCCCTGGCGCCGCCCTTAGCACGAGGGAGCTCGTGCTCTCCTTCGCGGAGTGGTTCCGGTCGGGCAACAACTCCCTGTTCGACCGGATCTTCGAGATCCTGGGCTCGAGCCCCGACGATGGCCTCGGGCTGGCCGACTTGGCGCTCTCGCGACTGGGCCTCCGCCTGACGGAGCGCCTCGTGCTGGACGTCCTCGATTACGGGACGAGGAGGCGCGGCGGCGTGCTTCCTTGCCTCAAGTTCTTCGACTGGGCGGGCCGTCAGTGCGGGTTCTACCACACGCGCGCGACCTTCCATGCGATTTTTAAGATCCTGTCCACCGCGAAGCTCATGTCGCTGATGATCGACTTCCTCGAGAGCTGTCAGCTGCAGAATTATTTCCACAGGATCAGGTTTCATGATACATTGGTGATGGGGTACGCGGTCGCTGGGTAGCCCGAGTTTGCACTCCAGCTGTTTGGTAAAATGCGCTTCCAGGGTTTGGACTTTGGATACGTTCGCCTATCACGTGTTCCTGAATGCGTTGGTGGAGGAGTGCTGTTTCGACACTGTCAAGATGGTCGCGGAGCAGATTTCGCTGAGGGGGTTCGAGAGTGAGATCACGCACTCGATCGTGATGAAGTGCTTTTGCAAGAGGAAGCAGATGGATGAGGCGGAGGAGTATATGTGCGGGTTGGCTAGCGAAGGGAAGCATTTGAGCGAGCACTTGTTGTGCACGTTTGTCGATGCTCTTTACCGGAATGAGAAGTTTGAGCGGGCATGTGCTTTGATGGAGGAGTCTGCGGAGTTAGGCGTTGTGCCAATGGACCGTGTTTTATGGTGTGTGGTTGGGAGACCTTGTCCGAGCTGGGAAAATAGACAGAGCCTTGGAGTTTTTTCAGCCCAAGAAGTATTTGGAAGGATATATTCCTGATATGTATCGCTATAATATGTTGATATGCAAGCTTTTGAGGCAAAATCGTCTCGAGGAGGTGTTTGACATGCTGATGGAGATGAAGGAAGCTCACGTTCTACCCGATAAGGTCACCCTAAATGCTGCTCTATGCTTCTTTTGTAAAGCTGGAATGGTGGAAGTTGCCCTCCAATTGTTTGATTTGGGGGCCAAATTCGGGCTCTCAATCAATGGGATGGCTTACAACTATTTGATCAATACATTGTGCAGCGATGGGAGCATGGACGAAGCATATCGTGTCTTGAAGAACTCTATGGTGCAAGGTCATTTCCCTGGTAAAAAAACCTTCGACGTCCTGCAGATGCTTTGTGCAGTGAGGGAAAGCTTGATAAGATGACAGAGTTGGTGGGCGCGGCGCTGGATCGGAACTTTATGCCCAGTCTTCCCACATATGAAAGTTCATATTGGCCCTGTCTAGGGCTAGGTGGGTAGAGGAAGCTTATTTAATACATGGGGAGATCAATAAGGTTGCTCATTTCACAAGGAAAACGGCTAACTTGAACTTGATTCGTGGCTTTAACAGGTCAGGTAAGGGGGATATTGCAGCCAGGCTTCTTATTGAGATGCGAGACAAGGGTCATGTTGTAGGTAGGCCATTGTTCAGGGCGGTAATCTGCTGCTTTTTTTCCATGGAAAATCCAGAAAACCGATTCCTAAGATTCCTGGAAATGGAGCTGTCTCGCAGTGAACCAAGCATTCAGTTGTATAAGAATTTCATTGATGGAGCTGGGCGTGCCAAGAGACCCAAACTGGCTAGAGAAGTATATGAGATGATGAGGAGAAACAACATTCAACCCGATGTGCAGGCTGACTTTCTCATGTTACAGAGTTATTTAAAGAGCGAGAAAGTTTCGGACGCTCTCAATTTTTTCAGTGATATATGCCAAAGGAGAGAGGTTAGCACAAAACTTTACAATACCCTTGTTGCCGGTCTCTGCACGATTAGAAAGGCAGACGTTGCATGGGAGTACATGACCCAGATGAAGGAAAAAGGGTTGGTTCCAGGTGCTGAATGTTATGAGCTTCTCGTGCAGCTCCTGTGCTCACAAGGGCAGTATGATGCTGCATTTGATGCTATTGCTGACTTGAAGAAGGTCGGACGCCCCATCACGTCCTTTATCGGCAATGTGCTTTTGTTGCATTCTTTGAAAGGCCCAAGGCTATACATGGCATGGGCACGTTCAAGAAAGGAGTATGATCAGATGTCTGAGATTTCAGAGCTTGGCAAACTCCTTAGAGCATTTACTGGAGGAATTATAACCAGTGAAGTTTGTCGTGGACATAGAAGAATTGATCAAACGTTGCTTCCGGCCCAATCTTCACACTTATAACATGTTACTGGGAAAACTGAGCATGACTGATGTGGACGGTGCTATCGAGTTCTCCAACAGGTTATGCAAAAAAGGGTTCGAACCTGAACTGTGGACTCATGACATTTTAGTGCATTCTCTTATCATACATGGAAGAGCAACCGAGGCTAAGAGATGGGTGAAGGAGATTAGTCGTACATACCAGTCTCGCCGCGCTTTTAGATATTTATCACGCCGGCAGTCATCACTGGCCGCAAATTACATCTAGTCATTCAGGATAGGACCTCAATTTTGGTGAGAAAATGATATGCTTGGCATTTTGGTCTGATGGTTGTGTCAAAGGTCAAAATGACATCGAACAGTGTAGATTACAATTTTTTCGTGAGGTGTGCTCTAGTCGAAGAAGAGAATCAAATGTAAGTTTGCTCTTTACCATATCAAATAATCTAATAACCATTTGCTTTGATTCTTGGTGGTGCTGTGTGCATGGTCTACTGCATCATATGAGATTTCCATGTTCACATCATTACTAACTACTAGCTAGTTACTTCTACACATCTTCCCTGCTTCACAGATAAATTCTTTCTTGCCTTTTGTGCTTCATTCTGATTTCTGAGCTAATGCATGACTCTGATGAGCCTGATATCAACGGCAACACCAACATCTTGTTTGCAACATGGTATGTGCAAAGAAAGAAATAGTAAGCTTCTCAGGAAAAAGCAACAATAATAAGGGGGTTTGTTGCTATATTAGAATATAGACCCAATTGTTGAAACGAAGGAAGATTACATTTGACTAATAGTATCTATCCATTATTTGGACTAGCTATAAGATTTTGTGATAGGTCTCAGACTCAGAAGGGTACTCACCGAAACAACTTTTGTTGGTCTAATCTCAGGCTAATTCTTGTTATTAAAATATAATTTTGTTTTCTTTCATTGCCTTCATTACACTAGCTATTTTACAGAATAACTACTCGTACTCCTGATAAGATTGTCCCGTGCATTGCACAGTCCAGCCTAGTGCTCTACATTAGTTGGATCGACATCTTGGAATCGATGAATTTTAGCTATTTTTGCCATAGGCTCTTTGCATGTTTATTGCATTGCTCTCTAGCATTTGACATCATTTTTTGCGAGCAGGGTTCCTCCACCTTACTTGTCGCCTTTGATCGATAATGAAGCTGAGGGTTATGTGCCAGACTATGTGGAGTCCATTAAGCACTTGCAGGCTGCTGCCAGAAATGAGGTTCTTCTAATGCCAGGCACCGTAAACGAAGACTTGGAAGATCCTCAGCGTCTCTTGGTTGAAGGGATCATTGACTGTGCTGAGGCAAATGAAGCTGATGAGAAGAAGCGGAAGGAATATAATCTCTTGATGGCTGACCGTGATTTTCTAGTGTAGCAATTTTACTGTTTGTTTTGTCGAGTTTACGCCGTAGATTTTGTCACAAGTTGTCAAAACTCAGAAATTCTTGTCAATCCAGATGGCAACTCTCGAAAAACAGTATCATGACGTGTTAAAAATGGAACTAGAGGGAGCCCAGTATTCTTCATCTTTGATAAATAAAAACAGAGAGCAATGCAGCGAGTGGAGAAGCTAGGGAGGAATCGGTTCCTGATCTGCAACAAATTGCCGACCATTGTACAAATATGTCGGAGATCATGATGTCACGGAAAAAGATGAGGCTTTTAGAAGCCATGGAGGTAGCTTATAATGTATACCGTGTTTCCTTGTTAAATTTGTTGCTTATCTTGAGATTTTATCATGCAATGACAATCGGCCCTTGCTCTATGCAGATAGGGAAGAAATGTAAACAGGCTAGTGTCGATCTTCTTGAAGAATGGAAGAAGAAAAATGAAGCAGGACAGACGCCAAAGGCGAAATCATTCAGCCCGGAATTTTGAGCTTTATTTGGAGTATTCGATTTCTTTATAATGTGCTTTATTCTGTTGGAAGAATAGTGTATTGCCAATTAGAGGAATTGGCTGAAATTTTTGCAGAAATATAAATGATAGGAATGCGTAAATTGTATACTTCTCAAAACTTCAAGAGCGAGGTCGTTCAACTTGCCCGTGGGAATGGACTTTAGTTCTAGCTAAGAATATGTTTGTTCACCCTCGACACTTTGCTTTCCACAGATGATTCTGAGCAGATGTAGTTGCTTTTCTTCCTGGTAATCTTTTTGAAAACGTAATAGCAACTTTCTTGGTACGGCACGCATGAGTAACCCACCCACACTGTTATATAAGTACTACTGCTGTTTTGAATCTTTTATATTACCAATCATTTCAGGAATTCACCAACGATTATATGGGTTGAATACCGATATGTTAAATCATTAAGTTTTATGCGAAATTATCAAACTTAATTTGAAAGACTTACTGATGTTTATGTGATTTTTTTAAAGACTTTCGATTGTTCCGGTAATTTATTGAAAGTTTGTTTTAGTTGATTACGAACGTGTTAAACTTACCAAGTAAGAGTTGGTAATTTGTGTAATTGTTAGTGGCTTCATCAGGTTGCTAAGTTTGCACAATTAAATGTTGGTGGACTGTAGCAACCAATAGAAATTTCAGAACAATAAGATGAACATTTGTAATTTTGAGTTAAACGGGGTACGGTTGAGCTTCAATAATAAGTGTTATTATATAGTTTGAACGATTGTTACTTCTGAGTCAATCAAATACATGGTGGTAAGAGATTCAAATATAGGATTAGTATCTCGAAAATCTCGATAAGCTCCAGAAATGAAAAAGGGAACTTATTGAAGTAAAAAAGATAGGGATAACTAATTAAATAAGAGTTCGTATGATAAATGGGAGATAAATTGGTATATCACTCAAACTAAAGTTGGTAATTATCTATACGAATCACAATAACTTTCACACGTCGGGTAAACTCGAAAATAAATATCAATAAACCCTTGTGACAGTTGACAATATAGAAATAATTAAATAAAAATTAGAAAGTAACTAAAATAATATTGTTTTAGATCCTAAATAGTTTGGTAGCTTATTGGAGATTATAGATTATTAGAATAATTGGTAATTATAGAAGTACAAACAAATATCGGTATTATTAAAAAAAAAAACTGATTTCCTAACGCCAAACAAGTTACCGTTTAGAATTTAGTTATCAACGCCCTGCGAAAATTGCCAACGTTTTTCTAAAGATTTACGAAAAGATCCGCGGTCTCTTTCCCGCGCCATTACCTTCTCCTTCATCTTCTAAACCCTGAAGTCCTTGCTCGATCGCTGCTCGATTTCTTCGTTCTCTTCAGAGTCGAATCCGCATGGATGTTAGCTTCAGGGAGAGCTCTAGTTCACTTACTCATGAGCACAAATGGATCCAAGGCAAGCGAAAACAGAGAACATGGTAACACTACGACCTGCAATCTCATAGCTGTTTGCGTGATCACTCGCTAACTCTGATTGTAAACACACTCGGGCCTGCGTAGAAGCAGACCATGTTTGCGTGAACACGCATGGCTATACACACTAATACAAAAAAACCCCAATCGGAGCTCCCGCAATCTCGGAGCTGTATGCGTGATCACTCACTAATCCTGATTGTAAACACACTCGGGCCGCGATGACGCAGACCATGTTTATGCTACAGGTATGACCTTAGAGACAGAAATGTACAATGCCCATTTGCTCACGCAGAGCATTCTTTCTTCTGGTTCTTTTCCACCGCTGGGACTCATAATACTCACTTTGGTAATTGTGTCTTCGAATGAGAAGATTTGCCGGTTATGGCTTTCTTCACTTTCGATATTGAGTGCTTGACCTTCGAGCCAACCCCTGATAGTATGCCATGGGATTTCTTATGCGGCACCTTGACATCGATGTCTTTGGAAGCTTCCACCATGACAAGAGCATCGTGTCCCAGTTCTGTCCTTTCATGCTCGTCTTCTCCATGCTCATCTCTTTCTTCATCTCTTTTCACTTCTTCAGGTGGCACAGTGTCCGATTCGTCCGTTGGTCTTGTCTCTTTAGACGAAGGCTCGGTGGTTGGCAAATTGCCTTCTGGGATCTTGTTTAAGAGGTCAGACAATGAGGCGACAGACGTGTCTTTCGACATATCCTCCTCACTTGTCTTTTCATCAGAACTGCACATTGTCTTATGCGGCGCCTTGACATCGATGTCTTTGGAAGCTTCCACCATGACAAGAGCATCGTGTCCCAGTTCCGTCCTTTCATGCTCATCTCTTTCTTCATCTCTTTTCACTTCTTCAGGTGGCACAGTGTCCGATTCGTCTGTTGGTCTTGTCTCTTTAGACGAAGGCTCGGTGGTTGGCAAATTGCCTTCTGGGATCTTGTTTAAGAGGTCAGACAATGAGACGACAGACGTGTCTTTCGACATATCCTCCTCACTTGTCTTTTCATCAGAACTGCACATTGTCTTATGCGGCGCCTTGACATCGATGTCTTTGGAAGCTTCCACCATGACAAGAGCATCGTGTCCCAGTTCTGTCCTTTCATGCTCGTCTTCTCCATGCTCATCTCTTTCTTCATCTCTTTTCACTTCTTCAGGTGGCACAGTGTCCGATTCGTCCGTTGGTCTTGTCTCTTTAGACGAAGGCTCGGTGGTTGGCAAATTGCCTTCTGGGATCTTGTTTAAGAGGTCAGACAATGAGGCGACAGACGTGTCTTTCGACATATCCTCCTCACTTGTCTTTTCATCAGAACTGCACATTGTCTTATGCGGCGCCTTGACATCGATGTCTTTGGAAGCTTCCACCATGACAAGAGCATCGTGTCCCAGTTCCGTCCTTTCATGCTCATCTCTTTCTTCATCTCTTTTCACTTCTTCAGGTGGCACAGTGTCCGATTCGTCTGTTGGTCTTGTCTCTTTAGACGAAGGCTCGGTGGTTGGCAAATTGCCTTCTGGGATCTTGTTTAAGAGGTCAGACAATGAGACGACAGACGTGTCTTTCGACATATCCTCCTCACTTGTCTTTTCATCAGAACTGCACATTGTCTTATGCGGCGCCTTGACATCGATGTCTTTGGAAGCTTCCACCATGACAAGAGCATCGTGTCCCAGTTCTGTCCTTTCATGCTCGTCTTCTTCATGCTCATCTCTTTCTTCATCTCTTTTCACTTCTTCAGGTGGCACAGTGTCCGATTCGTCCGTTGGTCTTGTCTCTTTAGACGAAGGCTCGGTGGTTGGCAAATTGCCTTCTGGGATCTTGTTTAAGAGGTCAGACAATGAGGCGACAGACGTGTCTTTCGACATATCCTCCTCACTTGTCTTTTCATCAGAACTGCACATTGTCTTATGCGGCGCCTTGACATCGATGTCTTTGGAAGCTTCCACCATGACAAGAGCATCGTGTCCCAGTTCCGTCCTTTCATGCTCATCTCTTTCTTCATCTCTTTTCACTTCTTCAGGTGGCACAGTGTCCGATTCGTCTGTTGGTCTTGTCTCTTTAGACGAAGGCTCGGTGGTTGGCAAATTGCCTTCTGGGATCTTGTTTAAGAGGTCAGACAATGAGACGACAGACGTGTCTTTCGACATATCCTCCTCACTTGTCTTTTCATCAGAACTGCACATTGTCTTATGCGGCGCCTTGACATCGATGTCTTTGGAAGCTTCCACCATGACAAGAGCATCGTGTCCCAGTTCTGTCCTTTCATGCTCGTCTTCTTCATGCTCATCTCTTTCTTCATCTCTTTTCACTTCTTCAGGTGGCACAGTGTCCGATTCGTCCGTTGGTCTTGTCTCTTTAGACGAAGGCTCGGTGGTTGGCAAATTGCCTTCTGGGATCTTGTTTAAGAGGTCAGACAATGAGACGACAGACGTGTCTTTCGACATATCCTCCTCACTTGTCTTTTCATCAGAACTGCACATTGTCTTATGCGGCGCTTTGACATCGATGTCTTTGGAAGCTTCCACCATGACAAGAGCATCGTGTCCCAGTTCTGTCCTTTCATGCTCGTCTTCTTCATGCTCATCTCTTTCTTCATCTCTTTTCACTTCTTCAGGTGGCACAGTGTCCGATTCGTCCGTTGGTCTTGTCTCTTTAGACGAAGGCTCGGTGGTTGGCAAATTGCCTTCTGGGATCTTGTTTAAGAGGTCAGACAATGAGACGACAGACGTGTCTTTCGACATATCCTCCTCACTTGTTTTTTCATGAGAACTGCACATTCTCTCTCCTCCATATTCAATTCCTTTCAGTTCTAGATCAGCTTTCGAAGGATCCCCAAGTTCCATATTGCTTGCTTCGGAGTTTTGAATGGTTTCAACAATTCTTCCCTTCACTGTAGGTGACCTGTCTTCATTGCCTTCTGTTAGTATAGCATCTGGAGTCGTACTCAGACAAGCTTCCCCTGAAACTGGCATTTCAGGCATGGCAATTGAGGCATAATCTTTCTGTTCTAGAACAGGATTGGTTTCCTTTGCTTCTTCAAGACCCAAGTCATCTCCTTTTCGAGTCTTCTCCACACTTGATTCCTAGACATGAGATGTAACAGAATGTCAATTACCCTTTTATATTTTCCACACTTCATAGATTTAACTTTCTTATTACTGTGTTTTCTTCAGATTTGATGGTCACGTCATTTTCTTTCCTATCAAGGAGTAAATTCTATTTCTAAGGAATTGGCAGGCAAAGGAACAAGGTGATCTCAGGAGCAAGGTCTCATGCCTTGTTGGTTGGTACAGCGTATTATGTTATCCAATGGGAGTGAGTCGAGGTTTCATTGGTTCTTACTTTGTTACATCTTGTCATGGCGTCTGTCGTGCTGCTTCCAGAGTTTGTTTTACTGTTCTGGTCCTCTGATTCAGTTGCTCCTTCTGACGTGATGTTTCCCTCAGCTTCATCGATAGAGTTTTTATCTGCTATCTCCATTTCAACATGCACCTTGTCAACTTCTTCCGGAGCAATATCTTCGTAAACTGCACTGTGTTTGCTTTTGTCCTGCAAAGGAAAAACATTATACAGATTAAGGCTGAAGCTTGATACACACAGAATTTTGCACAGGACAGAAATTCAGTCTGGTTCAGTTGCTGACCTCCTGGTATTGAAGTTCATTAGCCTTGCTGCGGAATGTGTCATGTATCTCCCCTTCAACAATTTTTTCATGATGCAGTTCATCTTCTTCACTACTCCCTTTAGTTATTTCTTGATTAATTGGGCGGCTGTCAATATCTTCAAGCTGTTCGACAATCTGATATATTTTCATCCTTAGTTAATAATTAGCATAATAACGTATAACTTGACATATAACTAATCAACATATGCATAATGGTATTTGTTGGTTCCACTGTCTATCATACCTGCCCTTCGGCGTTTTCACCCTGCGAGGTTTCATTTGCTTTTGATGTTTCCTCTCCTTTCTCTTCAGCTCTTATATCCGGTGCCAATGCGTGGACTTGGTTTTCCTCAACTCCAGTATCCTCTGGTTCATTAAAGTCTTCCTGATTGTTAACCTGTGATGCAGATTTGACCAAGTCGTCACTATCTCCTTGCTCATGACTCTCAGCTGCACTCGTTAGACCCGCAACTATCTCACTATCTGATGGAAAATCAGTGCATTGAGTTTCATTTTGAGTCTCAGGTTCCAAACCTCCCTCCTGTGTACTGCAGCATTCATTGTACTTTTCAGCTAGGTCGTCCTGTATGGTTTCACTGCCTCTAGAATGGATTTTTGGAGGTTCGAACTCTCTATTTTCCTTCTGCCAAACTCCTTCCTTTGCCTCTGCTGCTGAGGATAATAGTACAGTTTCAGTTTCTTGCACATTCTGTGTGTCCCGTTTCCCTTCTTTCGCCCCAGTGGTAGATGTAAATTCATCTTTATGTTCCTCTTGAAGCAATGCAGAGACTGGGGTCTGAATTTGCACCTCCAGTTCTTTTGCTGATGTATTCTGGTCAGATGTTGCATCTGCTTCATGAACTAATTCTGGGCAACGAGATCTACTTTCGCTCACATCCAGCTCTTCTGCAGTTGTTTCCTGCATTGCATCAATAATGTCCGTACCTGGATCTTTGGAATCTAGCACTGCTTCAGAAGCTATCGTTCTTCTCCCCAATTCATCTGCCTTCGGATTTTCAGCAGTCACATTCTCTCTCTCCACATTCTCATCGTCTGTAGTTAAATGCTTCTCTTCAGGCTGTGTCTCAAATTTTTCTTGGAGCAGACTAGTCTCAATCTCTACTTTTTTGGGCAATTCCTTGTCAAAGCCAGTACCAGAGTCATCTACAGGATTTTCTTCTTTAGGAGCCATGCAGGAGCTGGGAGTTGATGTTAATGAGGTCTTTGGTGCAGTGTCAACCTTATCATAGCAAGTATCCAGATCCTTTGTTAATATCTCGCTATCTTTGGTTGCATGCTCAGTTGGTGCAACAGAGCCACGATTTTCTTCTTCCTGTGTCTTTTCCTGATGCAATAATTCCTGGATTTGTGCATCGCATTTACTGTCCAATAATTCCTCAACATCCAAATTTCCTCCTTTGGTCTTTTCAGTTGAATATGATGCTTCTATATGTTCCTTTGATACTGCATTGGAGTCTACCTGTGTACAGATAATTCCTTGCGTCATAACATTGGGGGGGGTGGGGGGGAAGAGGTTGGTTTATAGCAGGAGTACGATTTTTTTTTTTCTTGTCAAATAACATGTCTAAAGATATTATCACTTATGCCAAATCTGACCTCATAGATTGCATGGTTCGCAGGTGACAAGGCAACTGTTTCATTTGGGCTATAGTTCTCCTCGACCTGATGCTCTTTCATCGAGTTTTTGCATTCATCTGCATCTCCTGGACCAATGAACACCTGTTTGACAGACAAGAGAACAAAATGGAGACGCAGCTATAAGAAAATATGGACTATTGGATATGGGGAAATGCATCCTGAAGTTTCTGTCAGGTTTCCTTTTGTACCTCTTCATGAAGAATTTCGTCCTTCAGAGTATCAGCTGCTTCACTTGCAATGTCACAATGTTTTTCAGGCTCCAAATCATCAGCTGCTGCCTTTGAATCTGTAATTTTTACGTCCTCATAAGCTGCGGAAATTTCATGTGCTTGAATTTCTGGTACTTCTTCCCTAGGTTCTGTAACTTCTGTTGTGTTACCCATGTTTCGTTGGTCAGCTGATGCAGAACTCGCAGATCTTCTCTCGCATTCTTCTTCTGGAAGCTCTAGTTTCAGATTTTCAACTTGATCGCTTCCTTCCTTGTCCTCTTCAAATGATGTGTCCTTGGTGACTTGATTGGCTTGGATCTCGAATTCTGTATCTTCATGCTTCATTGAGTCTGCCTTTTTGCACACTTCTGTCACATCTGTCAATATCATTCTCTCATTAATCTGCACCATCTCTCCATCTAAGCTCTTTTCTCCAAAATTGTCATCCGTGGTTGCTGCTTCACCCCCTTTCTCCGTCAGAAACAACGAGGAGTCATTTTCACCTGTCACATTGGTTCCGGACTCACTTACATGTGGATTCTGAATGGTTGCATTCTCTTTATCTGTATCAGATAGTTGACAAACAGAGGTAGAAGAGGTCTCTTCAAGATTTTCCTTGTCAATGTTTTTGCTGCTGAGAGTTAGACCAGGCTCTGTTGCTTCTGGTGATGATCCCTCTACCTCAGCAGGGGATGCCTCCACAGGCTTGTCATCTTGCTGGACTGCCAGCGTCCCAGTCTCTGTTCTCAGAGAGGTCATTGCTGAAGAATCAGTCTCGTCATAACAGCTGCCTGCCTCCTCTTTGATCTCTTTTGTGCCATCAAAATCCCGTGAGGCATCTTTGGTTTGTGCAATGTAGATGCCACCTCCATTCAGAATATTATCTTTTTCCAATGCTACTGTGGCATATGATTCACTTTTGCTTGCTAGATTCTTCTCAATCTCTGGCTTCTCTGCATTTGTTTGCTCATCGCAGTGTGTTATTTCTCCTGCAGATACTGAGCCTGTGTGCATGTCCTGTATAACAGATCTTTTTATCCATATAGTTCCAGCAGAAGAAGAGTAGCAGATGAGTTTAAAGAAAAGAAAAAGGTTCATTTATGCTAAATCATACCTGATTGATTATGCTGTTTCCAGGCGTTGTTCCATGAGTTTCCTTTGACTTGACATCTTTCATAGTCTCTTGCTCGTTTATCTCTTCACTCCCATCAGTCTTTTCTCGTTCATTTTGCATCTATTCGCACAATATCAAACATTACCAGAATGAGTTGTGAAAACGTGATTCAAATATGAACAAGAAATTCATTATCATTCTTTTCTTTCAATGTATTTCGATACCTCTTGTTCGACATTATCTGCTATAATTGCATCCTCACTCTGTTCTGCAGGTTCTGAAATTGCTGCTGCTTCCAAATTCGCATCCTGAATTTCACCACCCTCTGATTCTTCAAAGGTCTCCACTGTCTGAACTTCTGACTCGTCTACTTGTGCTGTTTTGCTTGTCTTGAACATTACATCAGATGCTTTCTCATATGGTCCGCTGAGCTCTTTGCTTTTAATACTACTCAATGGAGAATCGGAAAATTCTGTCTCCTTTTCTTTTTCTTCGGGGGCTGTGTTTAGAGCTTCACCATGAGTGTTCTGTTCTTTTTCATCTTCATTAGTATCCTGTGTACTTTCATTTGCTGAAATCTCTAATTCAGTTACTCCGGGATTTCTTGGCTCTCCCCTCTCCAAGCATTCTGTATCTGTCTTCTCTGCAAAGGAAGACAGTTCTAGATTCTCCTTTAGTTCCATCTCTCCTGCCACTTTTTCATTTCCTTCTATATTTTCAACCTTCTCTATGTTCTCCTCCCCTCCTCTTGGAAGCCATGCAAACACAGGTGTCTGAACCAGCAACTCCTGTTTCTTTGCCGAGAGAGTCTGGTCAGCAGTTGTTTCTTCTCTAAAAAATGTCTTTCCTTGATCAGTTTTGGATACAGTTACTTGGTGGGCAGTTCCTTCTGATTCTGCTTCATTTTCAACCAAGCCAAGCTTTTCATCTGTTGATGTTTTCTCTGCTCCATCAATTGTTTCGTCATGTGCAGAATTGCTATCATGAGATAGTTCAGAAACCATTCTGATTCTCTCAAAATCATCTGCATTTGAATTTCGAACTGTCACACTATCTGGTGGCACTGTGGATGTCCCGAAGGCAGTCTCTTCTTCCTGAGGCTCCTGCAGGGCAATCTCTGTTTCCGCTGCAGCTATAGTTGTGGCATTAAACTCATCAGGGGTATCTACTTCCTCTATGATGTTCTTTCCAACGTCTTTGACAGTCTCCTCTTCCTGAGGCTCCCGCAGGGCAATCTCTGTTTCCGCTGCAGCTATAGTTGTGTCATTAAACTCATCAGGGGTATCTACTTCCTCTATGATGTTCTTTCCGACGTCTTTGGTTGCATCCACAGTTTTCCAAACGAGGACGCTGTCTTCTAGCTTGTCATCTGTCTTGCTTTTGCTGGTTGGAATCTCCTCATTATCTGCATTTTCTGTTTCTGCCTCTTCAACTTGATCTGTTGCTTCTGTATCTTCAGCTACTACTGGGCCAAAATCTTTCTTCTGTTCAACAGATAAAGCTATATTGTCATGTTTATCGATAAAACGATGAAAGCGACATGTAAGCATTCTAAAGAAAAGCTCTTGTTTTTGCTCATACTAACCTCACTAATTTTGCCGCTCCCAAGTAATGATGCATTGTCAGCTTCCCTGGTCTCGTTTTCTTCCCCTCCTGCCTTTGTATAACTGTCAAGCACCTGGACAACATTTTAATGTTATTCAATGGGAAGTTCATGGACCAACTAAATGTTCATCAAACTATTTTTCATACCCCTTCACTAGTAATTGCATTCTGAGACACATTATTTGCTTCAATTGCATCTTCACGCTTCTCTTCAGGCTTGACATCATCCATGACTTCCTCAACTTGCTTACCCTTCGTTTCAGCATCCACTGATCCCATGGAACTTTCATTTGCTTGAACATCTAAAACAATTTCACGTGTATTTTCACTTGTGTTTAACACAACGCCAGATTCTTCTTCTAGGGGAAATTTGATTTCTGTGGTTTCTGGCACTGCAATGAAAGTTGTGGCATTAAACTCATCAGTGCTAACTGCTTCAGTAATGATCTCCTTCTCAACGTCTTTGGTTGCATCTTCAGTTTTTGAAACAGAGACGCTGTCTTTTAGCCTGTCATGAATCTGGCTTTCACTGGTTTGAGTTTCCTCATTATCTGCATGTCCTGCTTTTGCCAGTTCAATTTGATCTGTTGCTTCAGTAACTTCAGCTAGTGCTTTGCCGAAGTCTTTCTTCTGTATAACAAATAAAGCTATATTATCATGTTCATGGCAAAAAGATAATCGCAGCCTGTAAGCATTCTCAAGGAAAGATATAATTTTTTGTGCACACTGACCTCACTGATGTTGCAGCTCTCAAGCAGTGGTGCCTTCATATGTGCGTCAGTCATCTGTATGACAAGTGGTGAAAATGATTAACTAAGCATTCGATAATTGATGGATAATTTAATGGAAAATTCAATGAAGATCAACTAAATTTTTGTCAACTTTTCTTCATACCCCTTCATCAGTTATCACATTCTGCGACAAATCAATTTCTTCAATTCCATCCTCACACTTCTCTGCAGGCTCAACATCCGCAATGACTGCCTCAACTTTCATTGAATTCATTTCAGCATCCTCTGATTCTATGGAACTTTCATTTGTTTGGACGTTGGACATCATTTCATGCATATGCTCACCTTTTCTGCACATAACGCCCAATGCTTCCTCCCTCAGAATGCTAATATCGGCAGCTGTTTCCACAGCGGCTATGGTAGTGGCATTAAGCTCATTAAGGGTATCTGTTTTCTTTATGATGTTGTCGAAGTCATTGGTTGGATCTTCAGTTTTCGAAACAGAAATACTGTCTTTTAGCTTGTCACAAATTTGCTCTTTATCTGCATTTCCTGCTTGTGCTTGTTCATCTTGATCTATTTCTTCAGTATCTTCAGCTAGTATGGGGCCAAAGTAGTCTTTCTTCTGTTGAATAGAAAAAATCTAATAACCATGTTTGTGGATAGTAAAGTAATATCCATATGTAAGCATTCTCAAGGAAAGCTATAATTTATGTGCTCATACTAACCTCGCTGATTTTGATATCACCTTCTCCATTCTCATGTTCTTCCCCATTTTGAGTTTCTTCTGACTTTTTGTTTTCATCAGGCACCTGTAAAACACATTTCGATGTTTGACTAACAGCACATTGGATAAATCATAAGAGGTGAAGAGTCTATGGGAAAATCATACCCCTTCATTGGTTATTCCATTCAGCGACATATCATTTTCTCCAGTTGCATCCTCACACTTCTCTTCGGGCTTGACATCAGCAGCAACTGCCTCAACTTTCATACCTTTTGTTTCGTCATGCTCCAATTCTATGGAACTTCTATTTTCCTGAACATCTGACATGACTTCATGCACATATTCACTTAACACACCACTAGATGCTTCCTTGGCTGGAATGCCAATTTCTGCAGTTTCAACTGCAGCTGCAGTCAGGGCATTGAAATCATCAAGCGTTGCTGTTTCCTTTACAACCTCCTTCTTGAAGTCATTGGTAGCATCTGCAGTTTTTAAAGTAGAGATACTTTCGTCATCATTCTCTATTTTGCTGATTTGAATCTCCTCATTATCTGCATTTCCTGCTTGTGCTTGTTCAACTTGATCTATTGCTTGAGTATCTTCTCGTACTGGGACAAAGTCCTTCATCTGTTGAACACATAAATCTACATCTCATTTTTGTGGATAGGAAGATAATAGCAACATGTGACAGCATTCTCCAGCAAAGCTATTGTGTGTGCTCATCTACTAACCTCACCAATTTTGCAGCTCTCGAGTAATAATGTCTTATCTCCTTCCCCTGTCTCGAGTTCTTCCTCATTTTGAGTCTCTTCCGTCTTTAATTGTACGTGAAGCACCTGTCCAACACATTTCATGAATGGCTAACAGACATTTGGTAATAGATTAAAAATGTGAAACTCATGGATCAACTCATCAAATTTCTGCATACCGCTTCATCGGTGATCACATTCTGCGACATATCATTTGCTTCAATTGCATCCTCACACTGCTGTTCAGGCTCAACATCAGCAATGGTTGCCTCGACTTTCATGCCTTTCAAATCAACATCCTCTAATTTTGTGAAACTTTCATTTGGCTGAACATCTGGCACGACTTCATGCACATTTTCACTTTTGCTTGATACAATGCCAGATGCTTCCTCTGTGATAACACTAACTTCAGCAGTTGTATCATCGACCTCTGGAGAATCAGGATTTGTGGTCTTGCATTCTTTTTCCTGAGTCTCAACTCTCAGAACTTCTCCATGAGTGCAGCCATCTTTCTGTCCATTTGGAGTGTCTTTGTCACCCTCAGAATCGCCATTGTCTATTTTGGAGACTCCATCCTTATCAGGCTCTTTCGTATCAAAGCATGCTTCCTCTGTCTGCACTGTACCTGAAGATAATTGTAGACTCTCATTTAATTGCGTTTCAACCTCCTCTTCATTGTCATCTTTAATCTTCTCATCTGCAGTTTTAGGTCTATTTTCTTTCTCTTCCATAAGAGACATTGAAGTTGATGTCAGGAGCTCAAGTGTTGATTCTCGAGGGATAGTCTGATCAGGTGCGCTTCCATCTTTGGCTGCTTCTCCATTTTGGGTAGCGGATGTAGCTAGCCTTTCAGAAATTTCTTCATGCTTTTCTGTTTCTTCTGCATCTGTGTTTTCAATAGATGAGCAGTTCTCCATTTCAGTACTTTCTTTAGCATCTGAAGCTCTTGTTTCATCCATTTTGTCTGAAGGTAGTTCAATTTCTTCTTCTGTTATAGTTGGATTTTCAACAACAGTAATCTCTCGTTCTGCGCTCTTAGAATCACTTTCTGAAGATTTAGGCAGCAAGTTGGTGGAGGTTTGATAACACTCTGTGCCATCAGTCTCTTCACATTGTTTACTGTGGTCAGTTTCTGTTCTTTCTGGAGACCCCATGTCTGAGCAAATACCAGATGCCTCGTTGGGTCTGTCATCTAGCTGTTCTTTTTGTAGTCTCACCTCTTCCTGTTCGATTTCTGCAGCAGCAATATCCCTAATGATACCACTGTCCGGTTCCTTGATTATATCCTCCTCAGTGGTTTCCATTGGTGTGATGACGAGACCAACTGGCTCTACCTCTTCTTCCACTTCTCCCGCAATACATGTCTCCCTTGCCAATCTTGAATGTTCTTCAATCTCTATGTTCATTGTCTCTGTCTGTTCAGTCAACTCCATTGTTTTGAGATTTTGAGTGGATATTGTGTCAGTAGCTCCCATCTGTTAAATTATGGTAGCTTAAGTCACTTTTTGACAATAAAGTACTCACTAGTAGAATCTCAGTACCACGTGGATTACAACTTCATCTGGAGTTTATAAAATTCATCTATGTTAGTTACTTCCTCTATAAGCCATTCTTTTACCTTTCATTAGCATTTTCAGTGAGACTATTCAGTTTTGACAAGATGTAGACAAAAAGAAATGGAAATGGAATTGAAAATTCAATTGAGTAATTTTTTTGACCTCTTATTCTTGCAAACTATTATCGTTACCTGACTAATTTTGTTAACACAGTGTTATGAATTTATGACCATCTTGTATCCCTATGTAGAACAAGTCCCTACTCTTGAGTTCATGTTCTCCCTGTTTTTTCCTAAATTACTCCTATTCTTGATCTGCCACTTGGACATAAGACTGTGATGTAAATGTCACTGGGATGTGTGAAATCATGCTTCTCAACTTTTAGATTGCTTTCTTAGTAGTTTCTATAAGTTTTTTTTTCGTTCCGTTTTTTATTGAGTGCTGTATCTATCCCCATAATTGGTTAAATTGTGCTCTAATTCTTAGTAGCAGAGAACAAAAATTCACCTCTACTGATTTATGTCGGTATCTTCACATTTGTCATCTGCATATCAGCACTCAAGTAGCGGTGTGAAATAAATTTTTGGCTTTGCAATTTAGCTGTCTTATGAAGTGTGGTTTCATCTATCTTGAGCATCTTATTATTGACTAATTTCAGAGATGAAAATGTGTTAGATTACTGCTGCAGAACCTTTAAACAGAATCAAATCATCAACTTCCAAGTTGCAATTGAAGCTGCATGTTCCATCTTGTGTACGATGACAGTAAAGAAAATGACACTCTTACCTCTTCTCCAATGGGAGCACTGACTTCAGAGTGGAATGCTGCTTTATTTGGCACATAATCTTCCTTTAAGTTGTCTTCAGCATTCTCTGTGGAAACATTTTCTTCTGGGATTCTGTTCTTAATATCTGTCTCAGGTTCAAATGATTCCTGATGCTTCAAGGCTTCATCATGTGTCTCACCTTCAATTTCCTTCATTTCTAAATGTGTATCTACAGATCTCACATCTGATAAAGCATTATGTTGGTCCACTTGAACCTGCTTTTCTGTTTCTCCTGTTCCATTGGTGGCTGAGATATATGTACCTTCTGCAATATTGAGATCAACAAAGTGCACCTCAGGGGGAACATGTAGATCTTCACTCACTTCCTTTTGAGCACTCCCCTTTGCAGTTTCAACCTCCTCAGATTCAGAGACTGTCTTTGTAGATTCACTTTCTTGTGGCATCAAGACACCTTCAGTTGAATGAGTGCCATAAGGATGTTCTTCGTTCTTGTCTGGGCCTTCATATTCTGCAGAAGCCTCACATTCTTCCTCACCAGATTCAGTTTTCAGGATTGAACAGAGGCTTCCTTGTAAAGTGTCCACAGCTGGGTTTTCAGTAGTAACTAACTCTTTGGATTCTTTATGTTCTGCATCCAATTTTTCAGACTCTGTCGATTCTTTCATTGCATCAGCTGATGCTGGAATCTCCTCCTTTTCCTGACCTGAGTCAGTTGAGTCATCTTCCTTCACATTGCTGTCTGTATTTTCCAAACTTCTTTCCTGCTTTGCCGATGTTGGAAGTTCATCTACTCCAGAAGCAATATCTGTACTTCCTGCATTATTTTTCGCTTCTGATTTATTATCATTAGCGGGAATGCCATCTTCTATTGCAGAAACTCGTGCAGCTTGGGAACCCTTAGCAAAACGCAATTCTAAACTCTCAGCTGCTCCATTAACCTCAGAATTGGTTTCAGGGGGTGCACAAGGGGAGTCCGATTGGTAATATTCATCATGCTCCTTTGGCGGCATTTCTTTCTCTGAGCATTCATCAATGCTGGTAGATTGGATCTTATTACATGTCTCTGTATTGTCCTTTTCGGTGTTGGCAGTATTCTCAATTGAGCGTGCTGCTTCCACCTGTTCTGTGAAGTCCGTCGTGTCTTTACCCTGTTAAGTATAATTCGTCAGCTAGCCTTATGGAAATCAAATGACGGGGAATGGTTTCAAAGACATTTAATGTGATCTCACCTCTTCTTTTAAGGAGATTGAATCACTCATAAACTCTGACTTCTGGTTTTCAATCTCTTGTTCATCCACTGGAGGAGAAAGCTTGGATTTTGCATCTTCCTCTCGTTCACAATCAACCGTTTTCTCGCATGAAGTGAATGTAACTAATTGCATATGTACCTGGACAAGATTAATCAATATTATCTTGTCAACTGATGGAAAACTTATTTGAGAAAAAATACAAATTTGAGTTTGATTGTCTGTACTGGAATATAAAAGCTTTAGTGTTTCTTTTGTTGATAAAATTGTTCTTCACAATTTGAGTTGTCACATAAATTGATACCAGACCTTGTGGTAGTTTAAGCATTTATTACGTGGATGTAGATAAAATAAATCCGAGGAGAATTGCTTAAGATGGCATTTTGTTATGGGAAAAGTTACTGTGTTGTGTAGGTAGGTTAGCATGAAAATGCACCTAGTGCCTGTACAAGCAAGAGATGATAGAAGGAATTTGTCCATAATTCCTTCAACCACATAGTAGAACTTAGGGCTATTAGCTTCCATTATGTGTATTAATTATTCTCTGCGGAAAGTCAGAAGAACCTTGAAACTTTTTTAGGAGACTGAAGTTGATTGACCCTGTGGAAGATGGAAATCTTGTAACATTCAATAAGGATGTGAAGAATCAAGTTTTGATGTAGCCAACCTCCTCATTATTTTCTTCGTCTCGATCGTCTTTTAAGGGTCTGCCTTCGCTAATATCCTCTGCAAGTACCTCAAAATCTCTTGTTACATTTGTTTCCTCCGTGAAATTATTGGTGTGGTCGATAGCTTCTTCAGTTGATGGATTGATCTGGCTTCCCTGTTGCAGTTAACGGTCCATGATAGGTCAAAGGTAATAGAGAAAAAGCTCACATATTGAGATTGCAGGGACATAAGGGAGTGTTCATATCTTCTTTGCATTTAAGGGGGTTCAAGTCATTATTAGGCATAATGGAGGCAGTTCAAGAATCAGGTGCTTGTGGTCGTACCATCACATTGTCCTCTCTATGGGCTATTACTTCGGTAGTCCTCTCTTGAATAGGATCCTCTTTGATCAAGTCTGGTCCTGTAGATTCTCCAGTCTCCTTGTTTCCTTTAAGCAGAATTAGATCTTCCAGACCCTCAGTTATGCTAGATCTCCCTGTTTGTTCATAGGTCTGCACACAGGGGAAGTTGTTCATGGATATAAATCAGAGGGACTAGACAAAGATGCTTAGAATTAGCTTTGACAATTTTGAGGAATGGACCGTGTAGATGTTAGAGTTATTCCCTACATATGCATACTAAGGTTACACAAGGGCACAAGTATGATCTCATTTGACAGAGTAATCAGTGGTCTCTGTCTTGATAAAGAAAAAGTGGAACAAAATTCATTACTTTTACCTTGTTTATCTCATTTTGTTCGTACTTGACATTGTCCTTATTATCTCCTTTTGCTGACAATTCTTCATGGCAAAGAATGGTTCCATCCGTTTCTGGACTATTAGTACTATCTGCCTCAGTTGGTTCAGGAATCTCATTTAACGATCTTTTGAACTCATTTGCCCCTTCATTCTTGTTCACTGTTTCTTCAAAATCTTTTTCGGGCGTTGATGCTTCCTCCATAACCTCGTCCAGCCCAGTGATGCTGCTGTTATCAGCTGAAATGACAGCAGATGTCCCTTTTCCTTCTCCTTCCACTTCCCGTGTCATTTCCTCATGCATTGGAGGAGGAATTTGAAGAGACATTTCAGAGCTTTCATTGTCTTGAGGTGCATCGTCTTCCAAACTCCTATCTGCTCCAGCTGGTTCAGACTCCTCCGATAACTGTGTTTAATTGAGTTTTCAGGTTACTTTTATCATACAAAAAATAACACATCTTGATCCACACATATTGCTATGAAGCTAACCTTGATTTCACATTCATTTTCCTTCTGTGTAGAATCAGAGCTCTCAGCTGGACTTGTTCTGATGGTTTCTTCTGTGAGGTCTGTGGTATTGCAGGACTTTGCCTTGAGTTCTTCATTTTCGTCCACTTCTGTAGCTTTTTCCTTCTCCTCACAAGAGCTGTCATGTTCAGCTCTGCATGTTGGAGCTGTTTCCAGAACGATTTCTGGTTCAAAAGTCGGTTGAAGTATCTCATCCACAACACTTTCCGTACTGTAGATATCACCTGAGGCAGCTATGTCAGTTGCCGCATCTTCAAAATCATGTCCTGCACATGTTTCCCCAAGTCATCAGTACCCGATCAACTCTCTCTCTCTCTCTCTCTCTCTCTCTCTCTCTCTCTCTCTCTCTCTCTCTCTCTCTCTCTCTCTATATATATATATATATATATGTACATATATGTGTATGTATATCTATATATGTGTGTGTGTGTGTGTGTGTGTGTGTGTGTGTATGTGTATGTATATGCATGTGCATGCATTGTATCCTCATCCACTCATGCATATCACTGTATGCATCATTGCCAATTAGGTTGCAATTATGGAGTGTTGGACCTGTTAACAGCTTCTCAAGTCTGATTCTTTCCAGAAATTTGCTTATAAACATATTCTGATGCCTTGACTTTGAGCACATCGTCTCTATGGTTTTCATCGGGTTGATTATAAGAAACCAATGACAAAACTCTGCAAATATTTTCGAAATGCTTCATTTATGTTATGATTGTCCAATGTGAAGTCTGGATTGAAGCCTTTAAGCGCTGGTTTGGTTGTTGGAATAAAGCCAGTGGAATAAAAAGTAGTTCTTTCATCTCCTTTTTCTTACTTGCATTTGGTAACTTGGAATTGAGAATTATATCGAATCTGGAAACAAAAAAAGCTTCTTTACCATCTTATGTCCATGATGGGCCTGTGCAAGTATGGATAGGAATGAATGAGTAGGAGTAAGAACACTCTACAGAAAAGTCATGTCTGCACATGAATCGATGGCTTTGGAAACTTTTGTAAGCAGAGATTTTTGACATGGCATTAATATTTTCATAAACTAATGGATATGCTTCTTTACCATCTCGAATAGGATCCTCTCCAATCAAGTCTGGTACTGTGGATTCTCCCATCTCCTTGTCAGCTTTAAGCAGAATTAGATCTTCCGGACCCTCAGTTATGCTAGATCTCCCCGTTTGCTCATAGCTCTGCACACAGGGGAAGATTGTTCATCAATACGAATCAGAGGGACTTGAAAAAGATGCTTAACATTAGCTTTGACTATTTTGAGGATTGGACCATGTAGATGTTAGAGTTATTCCCTACATATGCATGCTAAGGGTTACTCAAGGGCACAAGTATGATCTCATTTGACAGAGAAATCATTTGTCTCCGTCATGATAAAGAAAAAATGGAATGAAATTCATTACTTTTACCTTGTTTATCTCATTTGGTTCGTACTTGACATTGTCCTCATTATTTCCTTTTGCTGACAATTCTTCATGGCAAAGAACAGTTCCGTCCGTTTTTGGACTACTGGTACTATCTGCCTCAGTTGGTTCAGGTATCTCATTTAACAATCTTTTGAATTCATTTGCCGCTTCATTCTTGTTCACTGTTTCTTCAAAATCCTTTTCAGGCGTTGATGCTTCCTCCATAACCTCGTCCAGCCCAGTGACGCTGCTGTTATCAGCTGAAATGACAGCAGATGTCCTTTTTTCTTCTCCTTCCACTTCCCGTGTCATTTCCCGATGCATTGGCAGAGGAATTTGAGGAGACATTTCAGAGCTTTCATTGTCTTGAGGTGCACCGTCTTCCAAACTCCTATCTGCTCCAGCTGGTTCAGACTCCTCCGATAACTGTGTTTAATTGAGTTTTCAGGTTACTTTTATCATGCAAAAAATAACACATTTTGATTTACACATATTGCTATGAAGCTAACCTTGATTTCACATTCATTTTCCTTCTGTGTAGAATCAGAGCTCTCAGCTGGACTTGTTCTGATGGTTTCTTCTGTGAGGTCTGTGGTATTGCAGGACTTTGCCTTGAGTTCTTCATTTTCGTCCACTTCTGTAGCTTTTTCCTTCTCTCCACAAGAGTTGTCATGTTCAGCTCTGCATGTTGGAGCTGTTTCCAGAACGATTTCTGGTTCAACAGTTGCCACATCTTCAGGATCATGTCCTGCACACGTTTCCCAAGCCATCAGTACCCGATCAACTCTCTCTCTCTCTCTCTCTCTCTCTCTCTCTCTCTCTCTCTCTCTCTCTCTCTCTCTCTCTCTCTGCATATGCTTGTGCATGCATTGTAACCTCATTTACACATGCATATATCACTCTATGCATCATTGCTGATTAGGTTGCAATCATGGGGTGTTGGAGCTGTTAACAACTTCTCAAGTCTGATTCTTTCCAGATATTTGCTTTTAAACATATTCTGATGCCTTGAGTTTGAGCACATCATCTCTATGGTTTTCATCGGGTTGATTAGAGGAAAGCAATGACAAAACCATGCAAACATTTTCGAAATGCTTCATTTAGGTTATGATTGTCCAATGTGAAGTCTGGATTGAAGCCTTTAAGCGCTGGTTTGGTTGTCGGAATAGAGCCAGTGGAAAAAAAAGTAGTTCTTTCATCTTCTTTTTTTTCTTTCATTTGGTAACTTGGAATTGAGATGGATATCGAATCTGGAAACAAAAAGTGCTTCTTTACTGTCTTTTGTCCATGATGGGCTTGTGCAAGTGTGGATAGGAATGAATGAGTAGGAGTAAGAAGACTCTACAGAAAAGTCATGTTTGCACATGAATCAATTTGGGGTTAGCTTTGGAAACTTTTGCAAGCAGAGATGTTTGACATCGCAATAATATCTTCATAATCTAATGGATATGCTTCCTTACCATCTTGAATAGGATCCTCTTCAATCAAGTCTGGTATTGTGGATTCTCCAGTCTCCTTGTTGGCTTTAAGCAGAATTAGATCTTCCGGACCCTCAGTTATGCTAGATCTCCCCGTTTGCTCATAGCTCTGCACACAGGGGAAGATTGTTCATCAATACGAATCAGAGGGACTTGAAAAAGATGCTTAACATTAGCTTTGACTATTTTGAGGATTGGACCATGTAGATGTTAGAGTTATTCCCTACATATGCATGCTAAGGGTTACTCAAGGGCACAAGTATGATCTCATTTGACAGAGAAATCATTTGTCTCCGTCATGATAAAGAAAAAATGGAATGAAATTCATTACTTTTACCTTGTTTATCTCATTTGGTTCGTACTTGACATTGTCCTCATTATTTCCTTTTGCTGACAATTCTTCATGGCAAAGAACGGTACCGTCTGTTTTTGGACTACTGGTACTATCTGCCTCAGTTGGTTCAGGAATCTCATTTAACGATCCTTTGAACTCATTTGCCCCTTCATTCTTGTTCACTGTTTCTTCAAAATCTTTTTCGGGCGTTGATGCTTCCTCCATAACCTCGTCCAGCCCAGTGATGCTGCTGTTATCAGCTGAAATGACAGCAGATGTCCCTTTTCCTTCTCCTTCCACTTCCCGTGTCATTTCCTCATGCATTGGAGGAGGAATTTGAAGAGACATTTCAGAGCTTTCATTGTCTTGAGGTGCATCGTCTTCCAAACTCCTATCTGCTCCAGCTGGTTCAGACTCCTCCGATAACTGTGTTTAATTGAGTTTTCAGGTTACTTTTATCATACAAAAAATAACACATCTTGATCCACACATATTGCTATGAAGCTAACCTTGATTTCACATTCATTTTCCTTCTGTGTAGAATCAGAGCTCTCAGCTGGACTTGTTCTGATGGTTTCTTCTGTGAGGTCTGTGGTATTGCAGGACTTTGCCTTGAGTTCTTCATTTTCGTCCACTTCTGTAGCTTTTTCCTTCTCCTCACAAGAGCTGTCATGTTCAGCTCTGCATGTTGGAGCTGTTTCCAGAACGATTTCTGGTTCAAAAGTCGGTTGAAGTATCTCATCAGCGACACTTTCTGTACTGTAGATGTCACCTGAGGCAGCAATATCAGTAGCCACATCTTCAGGATCATGTCCTGCACATGTTTCCCAAGCCATCAGTACCCAATCAACTCTCTCTCTCTCTCTCTCTCTCTCTCTCTCTCTCTCTCTCTCTCTCTCTCTCTCTCTCTCTCTCTCTCTCTCTCTCTCTGTGAATGCATGTGCGTGCATTGTAACCTCATTCACACATGCATATCACTGTATGCATCATTGCTGATTAGGTTGCAATCATGGGGTGTGGGTGCTGTTAACAGCTTCTCAAGTCTGATTCTTTCCAGAAAATTGCTTTTAAACGTATTCTAATGCCTAGAGTTTGAGCACATCATCTCTGTGGTTCTCATTGGGTTGATTATAGGAAAGCAATGAAAAAACCATGCAAATATTTTCGAAATGCTTCATTTAGGTTGTGATTATCCAATGTGAAGTCTGAACTGAGCACTTTAAGCGCTGGTTTAGTTGTTGGAATAAAGCCAGTGGAATGGGAAGTAGTTATTTCATCTTCCTTTTTAGCCTTCATTTGGTTACTTGGAATTGAGATGGATATAGAATCCGGAAACAAAAGTGCTACTTTACCATCTTCTTTCCATGATGGGCTTATGCGAGTGTGGATAGGAATGGATGAGTAGGAGTAAGAAGACTCCACAGAAAAGTCATGTATCGACAATTTGGGTTGACTTTGGAAACTTTTGAAAGCAGAGATGTTTTACATGGCAATGATATCTTCATAAACTAATATGCTTCTTTACCATCTTGAATAGGATCCTCTTCGATCAAGTCTGGTACTGTGGATTCTCCAGTCTCCTTGTTGGCTTTCAACAGAATTAGATCTTCCAGACCCTCAGTTGTCCTAGATCTCCCCGTTTGCTCGTAGATCTGCACACAGGGGAAGTTTGTTCATAGATATGAATCAAAGGGACTTGACAAAGATGCTTAAAATTAGCTTTGACTATTTTCAAGGAATGGACCATGTAGATGTTAGAGTTATTCCCTACATAAGCATACTAAGGGTTACTCAAGGGCACAAGTATGATCTCATTTGACAGTGAAATCATTTGTCTCCTTCATGATAAAGAAAAGGTGGAATAAAATTCATTATTTTTACCTTGTTTTTCTCATTCTGTTCGTACATGACATTGTCATCATTATTTCCTTTTGTCAACAATTCTACATGGCAAAGGACGGTTCCATCCATTTTTGGACTACTGGTACTATCTGCCTCAGTTGGTTCAGGTATCTCATTTAATGATCTTTTGAACTCATTTGCCGCTTCATTCTTGTTCACTGTTTTTTCAAAATCTTTTTCAGGCGTTGATGCTTCCTCCATAACCTCGTCCAGCCCAGTGATGCTGCTGTTATCAGCTAAAATGAAAACAGATGTCCCTTTTTCTTCTCCTTCCACTTCCCGTGTCATTTCTTCATGCATTGGCGGAGGAATTTGAAGAGACATTTCAGAGCTTTCATTGTCTTGAGGTGCATCATCTTCCAAAGTCCTATCTGCTCCAGCTGGTTCAGACTCGTCCGATATCTGTGTTTAATTGAGTTTTCAGGTTACTTTTGTCATACAAAAAAATAACACATCTTGATCCACACACATTGCTATGAAGCTAACCTTGATTTCACACTCATTTTCCTCCTGTGCAGTTTCAGAGTTCTCAGCTGGACTTGTTCTGATGGTTTCTTCTGTGGGGTCTGTGGTATCGCAGGGCTTTGCCTTGAGTTCTTCATTTTCATCCACTTCTATTGCTTTTTCCTTCTCCTCACAGCAGCTGTCATGTTGAGCTCTGCGAGCTGTTTCCAGAATGATTTCTGGTTCAGAAGTTGGTTGAAGTATCTCAACAGCGACACTTTCTGTACTGTAGATATCACCTGAGGCAGTTATATCAGTTGCCACATCTTCAGGATTATGCCCTGCACATGTTTCTCAAGTCATCAGTACCCGATAATCAAACGGGTAATATCTGAAACCTTTACGATAAAGTGATGACATTAAACCTTGCATTCGGTATATATGCAACAACCAATTCTCTTCTATCTAATCTCTAGCTTAGTTAGTTGTTTATCTGAGACGCTTGCAATTATCGAAGTTTTAACTGCACCGTACAAGCCACTTGTTCAGGAACCAACCTTCTCTAGATGGATGCCCTGCATCCTGAAATTCTGTGCTTCTGCATGTTTCAGATCCATCTTCAGTTTTTGTTTCCATTGGCTTGCATGCTTCCCACTCTCCAGTAACTTTTTCACCTTCAATTTCCCGATCAGCCTCTTCAGTTCTCTGTTGGTCTCCTTCTGGATTTAGTGGAGAGTTCTGCAAATAAAATGTACAATTTTAAGCTTTGGAATTTGAATTGTGCCAACCTTGTGGATAATTTTAAAGGTTCTGGACTTATTTAGACTTTACAAGTATGAAAATAAAACCTCTTGTATTTCTTCATTGTTTGGCCTGTTATCCACGGAGTTGTCTTCATCTACCTTTTGGGTAAAGCCACCTTCACAGCTCTTGCTACGCGCCTCCTCTTTGATACATGAAACTGCTTTCGGAAGCACCTTAATATCAATTTCAGGTTGCTCATTACCCAGTAGACTTTGCTGTAAGAAACTTTCCTCTGATTCTGCTTTGACTGGTGATGATTCTTTTGCAATGTGATCTTTAGCATCAGTTATTCCTTGACCACTGACGTCCATGACCACCTCACCTGTCAAATATCCACTATCATTTCTCTCCCCGTCTGAAGCTTCTGTGCTAATCGGATTGCTATAATCTCTCTGCATAGATTCTTCATGCTTTGCTGATGAACTGTCAGGGTTTTCTTTTCGGTCCATGCCGTCCTCATCTTCTGCCAAGGTTTTCTGAACAACTTGGATAATTGTCTCCTGAGTCAAATCATTTGCTTCCTCCACATCCATTTTGAGCACAACCTCTTCGTCAATTTGATGTGAGCTATGTGCTACTGGTTCTATGATAACAGCAGAACCTGTTGAGTTGCTTTTGTATTCTTCATTTTCTCCTGCTGGCATCACACGTTTCATTTCTGCACTTAATTCGGTCAGATCTTGGCTTTCAGTACTGGCGGTTTCTTTGAGCTCGACTGTATCCACTCCATGTTCATGCTTCATTGGCATGTCCGCAGCCACTATGGTGGATGACTCATCAAGCTTTTTGTCTCCCTCATCGCTGATGATGGTGAATTCTGTGTCGTCATTTGGAGTGTCTGAACTTGCTCCTACCGCTGCTATGGAGGCATCTCTGGCTCCATTCTGTATGATTTTGTCAATCTCAACCTTTTCATTTTCTGTTTGTTTGCATATATCCAGTGATTGTGGGGCCTTCTGTTCAGCTGGTAAATCCAACAATTTCTCCGATATTTCACTCTCTACATCGAATATGTTTTCTCCTACATTTTTGGGTACAAATGTAGGATCCATATTCGCAACATTGTCTGTGCAGTCAACTTTAGGACCACAGCCCGTGTCGACATTTTGGTCCAAGACTTCTTCTGTTGTTTGCTCTTCAACTATATTGAAATTTGTCTCCACCGTCTTTGCAACCGGAACAGCACTTGTCACATCATCAGTATCATAATCCTTGTCACTCTTCTCTTCTTGGATTTGTTTCCCCTCATCTGTCATCCTGTCATCAGTTTCTAATGTTTCAGCTCTCTGTAGTTGTTTGCTATCCTCTGCCATAACAATTCCTGCTTCAGAGGACGATTCTAAAAACTTCTCCCCCTCTGAGGCTCTGTCGTTGTCTTTTCTGTCAACACGCGTGCTTTCTGCAAAATCACAACTTGATTGCACGTCTTCTGCATTTTTCAAGAGTTCGGTGATTTCTGCAGGCAGGTCCTGCATGCCCGGGGATTTCTTTGGTTCCTCTGAGGAAAATTTGTTTGGGATTGGATCAAGGAGCTCACATGTGATGCTTCTCTTTTCCCCTTCACTTTCCTACAAACGGAGTCTTCAATCATTTATGGAAATATAACATAGATTACCTCCACTCTAAAATAGATAGGACACCTGTCTAAGCTACTATTGTGAGAGACAGTAGTTTTGTCCAAGCCTTGTACAACATTTTAAAGACAAATAAGAAGGTTAAGTTAGTTTTTCCTGAACTTGAGATAATTGAAGGTCTACTCAAGCTAGATTACGCAGTTTTATCAGTCCAATAGCTAACTGAAATTTCTCTGAATGTATCACGATGCACTCTTGTGACAAGACCTGCAGATTTTATGCTTTAGTTGGTCTCCATAGTGTCAGTTAGCCTGATTTAGTTGCTTCTGCTTAAATCGAACTCGGAAACATATGCCCTCAGAAGTCAAACTCAAAAAAAAACGCCGAATACATCTTTGGAGATTACATACTGTCTATAGATGATTATACATGCTGGTTTGTCTGTAAAATCTCTTTTGAATCCAGTCGTATGGTTTAACATGCGAACTGATGTTTTCCCACTGAAATACCCACAACCTTTTAGATACGATATTGGTCGAAAGAAATCACAGGATCAATTTTACTAGTTTGACATTTAGCCAAAAAGTCCTCGTGCAGCATATACATATTGTATGTTAACAAAAGTTATACATACACTTTAAACTCGCCACTGTAAGAAGGAAGTAAAGAAATCGGTGACGTACCCCCTTGAAGGGATTCTGCTGCTTTTCTTTTGTTTAAACAGAGCATGGCCACTTTACAAGTGGGATACGTAATAACTGATATTTCATCTTCATCACATGATAATCTGTAATTTAGGCGTCTCGTCTTTTGTTTGTGCGTAAGTTTTTGTAGGTCGGATAAACTAGTATAGCTAATCCTTAAGCAGAGTTTTTGTGCAGCTGAATGGATCTATTAGCTCATTTCCTAGTAAAAAGGCGCTGCCTGGCATCTGGGCTGTCTTTGTTTTCTTCTTTAATCAAAAGATGGAAAAATTTCTTGACATTTTAGATTAGCTTGTCCATGTCTGGCACTCTGGTCACTAAGGTTTAGCTACTATAGACTTCTCTTATATGCAGAAACTAAGACTGAGGACATTGCAGGGTCTCCCACTCTGTTTGATGTTATGAGAAATGTTTTGAGTGAAGACAGAAGCTAGGAAACCTCAGATCAGTATCAGTCACAAGTTAGATCAACTAGTTCACTTATAATTCCTCTGGGTAGTTAACTAAAGTGCGTGTACTCCTTTTCTGTGTGACTGGTGTCAACAAACAGCTTGACATTACTCCAGTATTAAAGCTCAGTAACTGAGCTAAATATCCCATTATCCTTAAAAAGCTCCCATCTCTCGTGAAGTTCTGCGTTGTTTTCTGAATTCTGATTGAGATTTCTAGAGTTCCAACATCTTTGACGAATCCTAGTGATGATATCGCCGACTTTTCGACCCGTCTTATGCATGCTAACTAGGAAAGTTTGCTTGCTGAAGCACCGAGAAGCTTAATACAGCAAGAGACATTTAAAACGCGGTCCCGATGACACCATGATGATATGTTCAAGCAGACATGTCATATGCAGGAGAAGATCTTCCTTACCAGCGTCACTGCTTCTGCAATCTTGATTTCCGTCGCCATCGTTCATGTACTGTCACTCGGGGTGGTGGATTATCATGAACTCTGCATGTGCTGAGCCTCTTCTTGAAGTGAGCTAACAGTTTTCTCTTTTATTTTTCCTTTCTATGACAATTCTTGAAGCTGAGCTGAAAGAATTTAAAGATCATTAGATCGCGGTTATTATTTCATGATAGGTATAGCAAAAGCAGGCGAGAACTGACAAAATGGCACTTGATATATGTTATTAGTTTGGTGAGTTGGCCAAGCATGTGATGGTCCTACTGATTGATTTTGGGCACATGCCTTAGAGATTAATCCTACTTTACTAAAAAGGGTCAGTTTCAGTTAAATCAACCTGCATTACACTTCCAACTTTTTCTATTACTTTAACCGATCGTAAGAAGTGGTACTACTCTTCACTTTTTCCCCACTTATCGAAGCTAGATTACTATTAATCTGTCTCTTGTGAAATGTTCTGTTGGGGGGTGTTTTCCCGGGAGGATGTTCTTTTTAACTTAATCATCCGCTTTCGATTCTCCCTAGCATAGCTTATGAACAGTATCTGGTGAAAAATAAAGAGACCCTATTCAGTGATGCACTGATAGATCATGGAACTGCATTTTCTTGTCAGAGTCACATGAGCATTTGCTGCTACTGAACCGATCTATACGTCTTTAAGAAGACTTAGCTTGGCGTTGGGGCTCATCTGCAATGGTGTAGATCTCTCTCTTGTTATGTCATCAGCTGTTTTCAAGTTCTCAGACTGCTGCTGCTTGCGCATGGGCATTTGTCACCTCCGCTGGTATACATCAGTGAAACTTTTGAAACTCGACATTTCAATTTGATTTTCCAAAATGCAATGAATAAAGATGACAAAAGGCCTTGAAAATTTCCAAGTGGGTTTCGATTGGCTAATCTTTGTCAACCATGCATTTTGGGCCCTTAATGATGGTTAACGATAAGATAAAGATAGATGATGAGGTTGATTGGACTTTTCAAGCACACCATGCTCAGAAATTCTTGTGGGTGGCATGGACCAACATATAATATGGACATGGTGGGTATGCCTCCTAATCATCTATTTTAAGAATCTTAACAATCACAGGCACAATGCATTACGTAGATCATCATGTGCATTATTGCAGAATAACATCATGTTAAACACATTAGGTCAGGGTCGGCTGTTGGGGCGGTTCGTGGGGGGTCCAATCAATGAGACGTCCCAAGAACCAATGCACTACACCGAGTACGAACTGCCCGAGGCGATCTGTCTAGCATTCGACTGTTGTTACGTCGATTCTAGTGCATCCGGCATCATTCAGATTGATCTTTTCCTCTCTTTCTCGATACCGATTCATCGAATATGATTTTGAGATCCGACCATGATTCCGGCACAGATGTATACTGATCTATGTGCAAGGTGGAGGGGATGTGCACATGTTGGGATGGAGATCAATCGTGCAAAGATTGAAACCACTCACGTGGACATGGGTCCACAAGGATCGAGCCATCGGTAAACTTTGGTTCCTTTAGTGCTTCCTTTATCTGTAAATCCAACATGAAAACGCTATTCGAGTTTTCTGGCAATTTTGCGAATCATGTCGCTCGGGGAAAAGGAGATAATGCCGTCCTACGTGGAAAGAGCGCACTAGATAACAAAGAAACAATCTCAATCACACCGCCCAAGCTTTGCCGCATTATTGATATTCTTCGCCGCCCATTGAGACGGATAGATGGGCGGTCGCAACCACAGGTTGGCCCGTTTTGAAATTCTTCGTACATTTGATGACGACATGAATTTGGGTACGACCACGGAGTTGTCGCATTTCGGCCGTAAGTTCATACCGTGGAAAATTGGACGGCAATTGGGGGTTTAGTTACGTGATTCGTTGGGAACAATTGGCATTCTGATTCTCAAGAATCCGAGCGTTTGCTGACCAAAGCACCACCGACCCTTTGGAATTCCACGGATCGAGAAGTGAACGCCGTCGGGTTCTCTTCAGATTCATCGGACGATTATGTTTGATTTAAAATAGCGCGACAAGTTACGCCGTCGGTCGGACGTGGGATTCCATGTGCGGAACCTTGGAGTCCTTGCGATTCCGGATCTCTATATGCATTTCGCGCAGCCAAATTTCGAAGATGAAGGAAAAGGAGCTTGCTTCTAAGGCAGAATCTCCTCCAAGGTGATTCTTTTCAAAGAATCATTTGAAATTGCGCACATCATTTGATCGCACGAGTCACTAAACAGGAACGATCCAAGTTAGGTACACATCCACCCAAACTGCTCCGTCACGAAACACTTTTCACTAAGAACGAAACGACAATCGAATTCTACTAGTTTGATACGTATCCGACTCGAATTGCTTCGAGTCTCTCTCATCTGCATGGCCAGCGCAAAAGGGTCTTCGTCTATTGGCTTTTCTAGTCCATGAAGATCAAGCTGAGCTTGCAGCTTTGACTGGTAGATATGGTGCCATTCCTCGTCCTCTTTTTGTTTGACTTTATAGATAAGAAAAGATCGGTAGCTTCTGTCGTTGTTTTGGGCTGCTGAACTGTGATAGATTGGTAGGTGTGAGAGGCCCCTGAGAAGTGGAGTGGCTGAAGCTCTTTTTCCATGCATCTTGGTGGGTTTTTCCATTTGTTTCTCTTTGCTTTTTTGTTGGTTCTCTTTTGGGGTTTGCTATCTTTGGCCATTGGAGTTGGCTGATCTGGACGTGCACTATCTATCGGTGACAGGGAGATCATGAGAGCCAAGGGCAAAGGGGGAGAGACAGGATAAAATTCCAGTTGCAGTATGCATCTGCATTGTAGTGATGTTGTCTACTGTTTGATCACGTTCTTTGGCAGGACCCCCGCTGGCTTACTTTCCCGGTTTGATTTTTCAAACCGAGCCCTGTGGTTTCAACCTAGGAACATTTTCAATCCAAAGTCCAAATCCCGAATCGACTTTTATCGCGAGTTAGACCGAAGTCGTGACTTCAATCTGGTACGGCGGCTTGATTCCAGTCTGGGCTGCTAGTGATAGGTTTGCATTTGGATCGAAAAATGGCTGAGCTATTTGAACCTCGAAAGAGTTGGAAGAGTGGTTGAGTACTTAATTCGGATGCGATAAGTAGAGTTTCAGGATGTGTTGCTCCGAGTGAACTCTATGGTTTTTGTTCATCATCTTGTTGGGTAGTGCCAAGTACATGACAAGAACAGAGCAAGAATTCTGTAAAGTGCAATGGGAAAAACAAAATACTTTTAAGTAATCGAAGTCGGTTAACTAATATATCAAATTGTACGTTCGCACATTTTGTGGGCTTTTGACTAATAAGGTTAAAAATAAAATCAAAAATACCATTTGAGCATCTAAAAAAAATTAAATTTTACTTCAAAGTGAGGTGGCTAGAGGTATTGTAAGTCATACTATGAAGTTTTGAAATTTTTGATTTTTATGTTTTTTTCACCTAAAAAAATTTAAATTTCACTCAAAGTGGATGGCCACGTGTGTATTATAAGTCATTACGTGAAGTTTTGAAATTTTTGATTTTTGCTTTTTACCTCCAAAATTAAAATTTCACTCCAAAGTGGGTGCCCACGTAGTCATTAGCTAGTCAAATTTACAAAGTTTTGAAATTTTTGAGTTTTTTTTTGGCACCTTAAAAAATTTAAATTTCACTCAAAGTGGGTAGTACGGGTATTCTAAACCATTCAAAAGTTTTGAAATTTTTGAGTTTTTGAATTTTTTTGGGCACCTTAAAAAATTTAAATTTCACTCAAAGTGGATGGCCACATGTATTCCTAAACTGTTCAGTAAAGTTTTGAAATTTTATTTCTTGATTTTTTTGAAAAAATTACACCTACACAAAATTTCTTTTTATTAATAATATTTTGAATTTTTTAATATTTATTTCTTTTTTTCTCTTTTTCTCTTTTTTTTTTTTTTTTTTTTTTTTCTTTCTTTCCCCTTCCTTTCTTGGCCATGGCGGCCGCCGGCCATTTGGTGAGGGCCGCGACGCCCGCCGGCCCGGCCTGTTGCCGACGGCGGTGGCCGGCGGGTGGCGGGGCGAAGAACAACAACAACCAAAAAAAAAAAAAACCAAAAGAATTAGTTTTAAAAAATTGTTCAGAATTAGGAGAAATACTTTTAAGTAATCGAAGTCGGTTAACTCATATATCAAATTGTGCGGTCACACATTTTCAGGGCTTTTGACTAATAAGCATGTTTAGCCAAATTCGTGTCATTACAGATGATCATGAAAATATTTTCTATGAGTCTAAAACATAAGTGTTAACATAACATTTTCTCCTTCGGAAGAAAATAAGAAAACAAACACAGCGGGCGATCAATGCGTTTAGTAGCAACCATTACATTTCGAAATAATTTCTGCTCATAATTGATTTTTTTTATTTCTCGAAAACAATTTGAAGCATGTTTAGCCAAATTCGTGTCATTACAGATGATCATGAAAATATTTTCTATGAGTCTAAAACATAAGTGTTAACATAACATTTTTGTCCCTCGGAAGAAAATAAGAAAACGAACCTGGCTGGGCAGTCAGCTTAGTCTTTCGAAAGCATGCAAAAGTTTCTTATCGATCTTAATTGCTTTGTGACCCATTTTGTGTGGGAAAGAGGCGAGATTTGCATGCAAAAGTTTCTCATCGATCTTAATTGCTTTGTGACCCATTTTGTGTGGGAAAGATGCGGGGATTTACACTGTCGGACGTGGTTTAATGCGCGCCCGTTTCGCACGAGGACATAAGTTCGAGTACTAGAAATGAGATGAATTCTTATGTCCTAGCCAAACATGCAAAAGAAGTTACGATCTCCAAGCATCCTTCGGTTACTTCGACCTTTTAAGTTGCTAGTAGATGTAATGTCACGCAACGGGGGCAAGACCCCTATGCGATGTCGAGAGAGTGTCGCCGGCGACGGTTGTCCTTTCGGTCCTAATAAAATGAAAGATATATATTTTTGTTTTTGTATATAGTTTTCCAATTCATCGTTCTTTTCTTTCCACTTTTTCCATCCTAGGAGTCTTTGACCCGCAACCGCAAGTGACAAGACATAACATAAGACTGCCATTGATTATAAATAATAATAATAATAATAATAATAATAAATTAATAAATAAAAAGAGAGAGAAAAGTCATGAAAATGAGATGGTCGAATTATCGACGTGGCAACATGTCAGCGCTTAGCTCATGCTCCTGCTTTTCATTGGACGGTTGTGGTTGGCGAAGAATGCCGCCATTGAAAGCAAATCCGCCAACAGCGGCCAGGCCATCCTTACGTCATTTGTCAATTTATGACGTCGCACGTTCGTCTTCTTCTTCAGAATATTCGTTTTTTTCTTTTTGTTTTCCTTTTTCCTTTTTTCGTTGCACTGAGCATTACCAGATTAATTCTTTTGGCCCGACCCTAAATCATATGCAACGTGACCAGGGTTCGCGAAAAAAAGAAAAAACGGATTACCTTTAAACCTCGAGAGTTTTAAAGTCGGAACGAACCAGTCTCTCGCATTTCTCGATGTGCAAAGACCCAGTTCAATTAGTTTCTCGATATAGACTTCAGTTCATTCGATTACGACTCCCCCCCAAAGAAAGTGTCCTCGAGAGCTACATCGCCAATAATGCGGTAGGAATCGATCGAGGCCATCTCCATCCGATGTCGATGACATTACTCGGGCTTTGATCGGGTCACGCGTGGTGGCGCATCGAATGCATTAATACCGTCTCCACTCGAACCCCGTTCCAAACTAGGGCTGGGGGGCCACGCGTTACTGTGGCTCTGAAACAGTGCTCGAATTTCTTGGAAGTGATTATTATAATGGGAAAGAAAGGGTGTCTACAGGTTGGACCAGTTTACTATTATGGAGTTTTTGGAACATTGAAAGGTGCTATTCAATGTGGCCTCATGCAGATCAATGATTGCGTCGGTGGGGATGTATACACAGCGACGCCAATCGATACAGCTTTTGCTCGACTTGCAGGGGAGCTATTTCTCGAGCCCGTGCCATTTAGATCGAGCATTATGTCGTGAGATTTCATCGAGTCCTGATCCCAAATTATTTTGTCTTAGATGTATGACTTGCGAATGCATGTTGTGTCCAAAACAAAGGAGAGCATGCACGTTCGGTTGTAGATGTCTGTTATATTTCACAATATATATGTGTGTATAGTTGGCTTTTCATATTAATTTTCCGATGTTATGTGAAAAATTACCCGCGCCGATAGATAAACATAAAAGGTTTCGATACTTTGTTCCAGATAAGGTCGTGATAGGATAAAAGTCAGGATAGGATATGTTTTATCCTATCCTGTATACAGGATAAGCTTACGATTTTTTCGATAATTTGTTCTAGATAAGGTCGTCGTGGTTCCCATCCTGTCCTTTTAGGTCCATTTGCTGCTAGGGATTCGACATAGCAAGAGCTATGGACGAATGACAGATAAAAAAAATGTATTCGCATTCCTAGATGGATAGAATAATTGGCAAAGATTTAAATACGTGGTATGCTAAAATAAATTATTTTCGGAAGAATGTTGGAACTTCGAAATGAAAACCATAACGAGTACGAAATGTCGACGTGATACCATCCATACAGATAGTTACGTGTGTTAGAGATATGTATTTGTGATATTCTATGATTATGTATATTATTCTGTGATTCTGCATATCTTCATTTATTTGTTACTTTAGATAGTCATTATGTAAAGCCTATAAATAGGTTCGTGTACTATTTACTAGAAGATGTATAGAATATTATTTTTCTCTTCATTCACAGTTCTCAACTACGTGTTGTCAATTTTAGCTCGATGTACTGCAGTGTCGTTGAGAAGAGAGCCGCGGTAAGGATAAAAGAAATTTGGACGGCGTGCTACCTTCATCTCCCCGAAACGGGGCAAAAGAAGAATTTCGCCCACAAGTTCCCTTAGACACTTGCTAAATAATCAAATAAAGAACCTTAAACTCCAGCCCATCGGTCTTCACCCCGTTATCCATAAATCGATGTTTTGGAAATCGAACCGCGGTTTATCAAACACGTATGGCAAGTGTGTCGGCGGCGCCTGCACCATGTTCCATTTAAATTAAGCGTGCTTTAAATGGAAAACGATACGGATTTTTTTTTTATTTTTTTTTGGGGGGGAGTCGAGGAATCCATAGGGAGGTAAGATTGGTGGGAAAATGTCAAATTGGGTTATTTTATTATTATTTTTATTGTTTTTTTTTTCTCTCGGGTATGTGCCGGGGTGATTTGGGCCCGGACTGGCCATCCCCCACTTCCCCAAAATAGATAAGAGCAGAGCCCGAGAAGGAAAAAAATAATGGTGTCAGAGATAGAGGGACAGAGAGAGAGAGGGGCAAAATCGGAAAGGGAGCAACAGCGAGAGGGGCAAAACGGGGAAATCGATCCGGAATTTCCCAGTCAAAGCGCGGGAAAAAGAGCCGTTGCAAGCCCGAACCAAAGCCCCTTTCGCGCCAAAAAACCTCCCCCCCCCCACCCTTCACTCGGTTTCTCGATTCTCCCTGCCCGTGAAATCCCCGGGCAGCTCCCCCCCCTCTCTCTCTCTTCTCTCTTCTTTTTTTTTTTTTTTTTTTTTTCAGATATCGGTTCTTGCCCTTTTGGTCTTAAAAATTGTTATCTTATTCTCTCTCTCTCTTTTTGGCCCCAGGATGAGAATTTCTCGGAGGAAATAAATTTTTTTGAATTTCTATTTTTTATTTTCACGAAACATCTAATCCTTTTACGTAAATTGAATATCGATGTGCATGATGTTATATAGTTTTTCATAATTTTAGAAATTTGAATACCTTTTCAATTTTCACTACCGTTCTTTTTTTTTCTTGGGGGTCAATTTTCCATTAATGCTTTTTTTTTGGTCGAAATTTCTTCACTAATATGTACCAAGGGTAAGCAAAAATAGGAGCAGAAAAGAAGAAATTTTTTTCTCAAGTGCATTCAAATATACAATAAAAATAATCCAATGCCCAGCATCTCTCTCTCTCTCTCTCTCTCTTACTCTCAAACCTCGGTCACCCAATCCCCCCTTACCCCACGGGCAGTGCACCCTCTTTTCTCCCACAGTTCGCACCGTCAAACTCTGCATTATATAATCTCTCTCTTTCTCTCTCCTTGGTAATCTCTTTCTCATTTTCACACCCCACAATCTCTCTCTCTCCCCGAGACCCTTTTCCCTTATTCCCTCCTCCTCCTCCTCCTCCTCATCCTCTCAGAGCCCTCCAGCTAGCTTCTCCGTCTTTGTTCTGATTCCCAAATTGAAACCAAAAAAAAATATTCCATCTTTTGCTTCGCTTTGCGGGCTTGCCCTGTTCTTCCGCTGCTCTGCGCTCCAAAGAGGGAGGGAAAAAGCTCAAAGCTCCCTTCTTTTTTCCTCGGGCTTTCTTCGAATTTTCTTTCCCGTCGATTCTCTCTTTCCCGCTGAGGATCATGGGTTTCTCGGAGAAGCCGCAGGTGGGGGCAGGCTTGGAATCCGAAGGAAGCAAGAAGTGGGTGATCGCCGGAATCTCCATACGAGCCTCGCTCAAGCCGGTGAGCACCCAGCCGAAGCCCAGGGCGAGCGGGGACGACGCCGACGAGGAAGAGAGGGAGACGCCCTCGACGACCCCGACGTCGAGAGAATCCAGGATACCCGAGAAGCTGCGGTGCCCGCCCGCCCCGAGAAAGAGGAGGCCCTCGTCGTCGTCGAGGTGTCATTTCAATGGCGTCAGGGAGTTCTTCAATCCTCCCGATTTGGAGTCAGTGTTCAAGCGCCACGTTGAGAGGACAAACTGAAGAAGAAGCAGAAGAAGAAGAAGAAGAAGAAGAAGAAGAAAGTAGTTTTGGTTAATTTTTAGGAGGAAGCAGTTTCTTTTTTTCTTTTCGGATATTTTTGTCGTGAGTTTCTATTGATTGTTCCTTTGTTTTCTGCAATCTCCTCTGCTGAGGGAAGCTGACGCTGTACTATAGATTTATTACGTCATGATGACTTCCTGAGATAATTATGGTTAGTTTGTATTTTGACAGGCCTGGTTTTTTATTTAAATTTTTGGGGTGCGGCCTGAACATCGAAGGTCTGTGGACGTTTCGGTTTTCGTATATATTTTTCTCGACTATTCCAAAATCTATCCTCGTACATTTACATCTCTTACAAATTTTGGCTGAGTAGAGATTAAAAATTGGGTTGATGATATGTTTGTCGAAATTAGTGAATTGGAGGGACAAAATTTACCATGTATCATATGCATATGTTGATTCGATAATAACAAGACCCGAAGAGTGTCAATATATAAAATACAGACGACATACTCTAATAGTTTAAATTGACATCACAATTAAAGGTCTCGAGTTTGATTCTTTCGTAATCAAATCGGCTTTCCTTGGATCCTTAACTAGGAGCTTTCCTTAGATTTTTGGTGTTCAGTTAAGAGGTAACTTCAATGAATTGAACTTTCACTCTTATGAGGAATTCCACAACCTGTCTCCTATTATATAAGCGAGCTTCATGGATGCGTTCTTTATTTTTTACGTGCTGCTATTTACACGCTTCGCACCCACAATCCCCAGGATATCTTTTTCTTTCCTGCTGAGTGGAGATACCCTTTAGTTGCATTACATCCCAAGAATTCCTGAAATCCGGATGTAACCTAGGATGAAGTCTTTTAAGGACTTACTCAAGCCCTAAAGGTCTCAAGTTTGATTATTTTGTGCCTTCCCTCGAGGAAAATACACACACAATATATACCGGGTTGCCCTCCTCCCTTCCTATCCTCGCCTTCTTCTTATCTCGGTCGGGACTACCATTCAAATGGTTTTGGCCATTAATACTACGGAAAAGACCAATCAACCATTCAATACAAATTGACAACCACATTGAACCAAATTGCGTCTAATAATAATAAGAAAAAAGAATCCTTCCCATTGAAGTAGTGAATAATTATGAATAATTTTGGTTAGTTTAGTACGAGAGTTTTGAGCGTACGAAGAAAAGTCACTTTTTTAGTCTTACGATATTTCGAGCGGGATGAACGGATGACCCTATAATCATTTGATATTTAATTTTAATTGAAATGAGTTTTATATTTATTTTATTCTATAATTGATGCATGATTTTTTCATGTAATATTTTTCTCAAATTATGTATTTTTTTACTTTTTTATTATTTGTCCTTATTCATGTAGTTTGTGTAAGGATTTTCATTGGCCCTTCTTTATATTTTGAAGCCAAAATGAGTTGCCAAAATTTCAATGTAGTTCCTTCAAACCTCCACTTTACTATTTCTTATGAATAGATGGATATCAATTTTGAAATAATACCATTCCCCATGTACCGAAGGTCTAGCCAATCATTTATAGGCTCGGTAGGGTTTGATCAAACTGATCAAAAGGAATCCATAGTGATATCTACCGATGAAATTAATCTAAATTCGTTTTCTCGGGATGTATAGAACAGAATAAGATAGCGTAAACTGTCTCGTTGAAAATAATCACGAGTTCCTTCTTAAGTGTTCAATGACTCCCTAAAAACCTTATCCCTGTCCCAGCTCAATTTTCTTGATACATTATCTGTAACATCGTTCACTTCTCTTTTCTCTTGACAAAACATGAAAGAATCGGCACGAGAGACTCCTTTGTTTAATCTTTTGAAGTATCCATTTCGTACCGGTTCCCGATTTCGCCAAATGGGATGAGGTTCAATTGATCAGTATCACCCCCCCTCTCTAAATTGTTTTTGCCTATAGTAGTGTGCATGGAACCGCATAACAATCCAAATTTTTTTGGCCAAGCCAGGGCACAAGAATGGCCGACAAGTTTTGATAGTGAAAAATGGCATGGCGGGCGATGGGAATTCTTTTTCGTGGCCGAGAGATGCTGCACGGACGCATCATTGTTAATTTGACAGTGAGACAAATCCCTTCACTATCTTTATCAGTTCAAACGCAACAAAGTACCACATCTCCATGTCCATCCACTATTTTTTCATCTCCAAATGCCCCACAAGCTCACGATGGGTCCCGCCCTCATATGGAATTATACATGTACCGAAGCCACAAGTCCCTCTTGAATTCTCATATCTGATGTCACACGTTATAAAAGACACAAACCCCAAACAGTACCGATCTTTGAGAATCCAATGTGGGGTTGGGGGAGATGTTCCAAATACACGCTTGAATCAAAAGGGTCTTCAAGCAGACCTTTTCTTCTATGTGTTCTTTGGCTGTATTGCTGTGGACTTGATGATATGGAAAACATGTTGAATAGACGGAGTGTTCTCTGTCATTTAGTCTATATGCAAGTTGAGGTACTTGTGCGGGCTTCTGGGTGTGGTGTGGTGGGGGGATACGTGAGGCATGTTGATCGCATTGAAAGCGCCACCGAATAGTATACTTGAGGGGGAATATAAAACGATATCTGTGTGCATGAAGGAAGAATTTTGTTGGAAAAAAGTGGGTGGTGAAAACTTGTTGACCTAATCTAGGGTTTCGATTTGGGCGTCGGAACAAAATATGCTTCGCTTTCTAGGGATCAGAGCCCTTTTAGCAAAGCATGTAAGCCAAAAGTTTGAGTAAGCATTTCTAGGGTTTTAGCTTTGTCTTGATTGTAAATGATCATGGGTGCTTTGAATTGGACAAATCTGCATGTCCCATTTCTGCTAACATCTTTTGGGGCCGGTTCGCAATTTGCATGGAACCTTTGCAAGATAGTTCATAGGTTCATGTACATATGCACGTGCGTACGTACGTACATACATGTGTGCAACACAAAATTTGTCGGGATCACATCTTTTCTAACCCCGTCTTTCAAATTTCTTAAAAATGAGCACACGAAAAAGGGTTGTCCCATCTTTCAAATTTCTTAAAATGAGCACACGGAAAGAGGGTTGTCTAGATATAATAATTATTGGACCTCGATGTGGGTACGCGTGTGGAAGAGCCCCTAAGTCGTGCATAGAAGGATTTGGGCGCGCAGATTGACTTATCATGGCAAAGCCTTGCAACCAATCTACGCCACTAATCATGGCATCAATCTCAACCCTTTTGCCAAAAAATCGGACGAGCTATCATTTCCAATTCCAAGCGTTTCTTCTCTTGATCTGGTCTTGTTGACTAGGTCGATATGAATTGCACGACCTGTGCAATTTGCGAATGTTCCTCTCGCCCACACGCATACACAATCTGTCGGGGACCCTTTTTCTGGGTTGATTCTTAAGCAATCATTCCCGAAAACGTGTTTCTTTTCTCAATAACAAGACCGGGCAATGCCGCGTTAGAAGCATCTCCCGAGACCGCTGCACTAGTCCATGAACTTTATCATCATTTGCTGATTTAAACCAGAATTGTCGGTCAAATATCAATCCACTATAGGCTTTAGTGATCTTTTGGACTCATCGATGATATTGCGCTCATTTTCCCGAAAATGAGTACTTTAAAAAATATTTTTGAAAAAGTGATTGCTTATATCGATCGTTTAAAAAAAATTAGTCAATAGAAAAAATTTTCATTATCTATAACAATCCATGCCTAAATTTTTTTGTGACTGATGAAATTTTTTTCCATTAATCTATTTTTGTAAGCGACATGAATGATTATTTTTCGGAAAATATTTTCCAAGTCACTTATTTTTCGCGAAACAAACACCCCATCAATGACACTGGTGACGGAACCCAGAATTTTATTTTGGGAAATTAATTTACTATTCACAAAGAAAGAATGAAATCGAAATTTTTTTTTTTTTGGTCGAATGAAATCGAAATTGGAAAACCCATTTATTAATGTACATAACATTGTCTGATCATCAGCATTAATTGGCAAAATGGCCAAGACCAAGACCATTAATAAGAAAGGTCCTCGCAGAGTCTCAGCCTAACACCAGATTAAACTAAAGTTTTCCATTTTACCTCGACCTTGTTTGACCCCAAAGTTCAGAGAAGTCAGAGCAGCATCATCGTTTCACTCGAGCCATGTGACCAAATAATTGCAGGGTCTGTGCGGGATAACTTTTTATACCCGGGTCAAAATTGCCTAGGGTTTTGCTTCATGCCCCTCCGGGATAGAGACGATGAATAAAGAAATGCAAAGAAAGTGCAAAAATTTCACGGGGCACACAGGTATCTCGAACAATTCTTTGCCAACCACGAGCACGTACCACGAAGGTACACGTAACACGAAGGTACACGTAACACGTGCTCCCTGTCAAAAAACCCTCGAAATAGAAATACCCCCCCACCCCAGCAGCTCGTAGGATCCAATAATGCATGGGATGGGGAGGGCTTCGGTGTACAGTGTAGACGTAGCCATAGCCCATAGGGGTCTGTGTAGAGAGAGAGAGAGGGGAGAGAGAGAGAGAGGTGCATCGAATCCGATGCAGTGCATGGAGGAGGAGGAGGAGGAGGAGGGAGGGGAGTCGTCCTCATCACGCACACGCGAGCGAGGGGGATTGGGTGGGGCCTCTCTGCATGGAATCCTATGAACAAGAACGAGCAAGAGTGCAAGAACGCGAGGGAGATTCTTGAGGTTTGTTTTTTTATTATAATGAGGTTGAAAAGTACCGTCTGTCATTTGAAGCCAATCAAGAACCCCCCACGACCTTCAAAAGCTTGCCCCCCCCCTCCCTTTCCCCTGCTGCTTTTGTATTCGGGCCTTTTGAAAGATGACGACCCGGCAATTGATTTGTCAAATTTTCTCCTTTTTTTTTTTTTCGGGGTGGGGGAGGAGCTATTATAATTTTTTATTATTATTATTCCACGCGGTTTCGGACCTGCCCCGAAAAAGCCAAAGGGCCGCCGCCCCCACCGCTCCCCGGCTTCGGTGCCTGCCCGAGCTGCCCGGGCTTGTGTGTTATTTATGGCGGGAAAACTCCCGAAGCGCAGGCGAATTGAGCCGAACGGCCCCGTTTCGAGTTGGCGCCAAAAGACGAAAGAGAGGGGGGGGGGGCGAAAATAACGGATGATAATGTCCGGTGTTCTTCGTGTCCCCCGCGGCGGGGCCGATCTTTTCCCCCGGGCCCCGGGCTCGCCTCCGCCGCTGGTCTCGTGGGTCCCGCGTAGCCTGATGGGGTTGAGTCGATGCGAGAACTTCCACGGCGTGGCTCGTTTTTCGGCTCGTGCCGTGTCCTCGTTACTCTAGCTAGTCATATTGCTGTGTTGGACGTTGCATCGCCACAACAACACTATGTGTTTCAATTAACATTCGTGACAGTATTGTTCTTGGTACGTGCCAGTGATTTTTCGAATAAACTAATAACTTGGCACCGATGAGTCCCGTTGTCAGGCTAGTACGTTCTAACCGAAGAAAGTGATTGATTCGCAAAATTTTGCCCCCTCTTTTGGGTGGGTAAGTTCTAGTTCTACGTAACGTTGTGCCTTGGAAAAATGCGAACGAATCCGTGAACTTCTCCCGCTGCACTATTTTTCGCGGCAGCCTATTCGTCGACCGAGTACTTAGGCTTGCACAACTTGCGTATCTTGCTCTACCAATAGGCCGGTTTGGACGATTCCATCAGTGATATCCAAAATTGCTTAATGTAGGTACAAGTTATGGTTTGCTAACGAGTAACGCATTCGAAGTTACATTTTACCGCGAGAAGTCACTAATCGAGTGAAAAGTTTCTTTTTATTACCGACAGGTTAAATTTCACTTATTCTCGAGTGAAGTCGTTACAAACTCGTGAAAATTATTTTTTCTTACAAGTTCCAAGCAGAGATCGTTAAATCACTTATGAACCGAAATATATTGATATATTACATGAATGACTATGAGTAGTCTATAAAATACAAGTAATTCATACCTTCTTCACTTGCTTGGTGACTTATTAAATAAAAAAGCATATATATATATATATATATATGTATGCGCGCGACTGACTAGTACCTTATTCACGTTAAAAAATAATTTTCCAAGCGTGATTAATATTCATTCATTTAAAAAACAAGTCTGCGCATGAAAATTAGTCATTGCAGCAAATTTCACATGAAATTTGTCCACGGGATTAGTAACTTCCCAAAAAGAAAGCAAATTAATCAGAATATCTAATCTATAATAATGCCTGCTTTGTTATCCAAGTTTGGCCCAACAAAGAAGCCCGTGGGCCTTTACATTTAGACGATAGCGGTATAGACTCCGCAGCTTTTGTCATTTAAGTAAAATTAAACGACATATAGTATTATTAGGCTGTTTGAGGCTCTTTGCAAAAATTCCAAGGAATCTTCGGTGGGCGCGACTAGACATGGCCATGGGCCGGTTTCGGCCCGGAACCGGCCTTTCCCGGGTCAAACCCGGGACCGGCCCGTTGACCGGGCCCGTGGTTCGGAACCAGAACCGGTTCCGCCCCATGTCCTAGGCACGACCCTCTCCCGTTTCGCATTTACAACGAGTATTGAGCATAAATGGATGATTTCAATTCATACTTGTTTGGTAAAAATCCACTAATTAAAATTTTTCTTTTAAGACGACGAGCTCATGAAAAATACTTTTATCAATAACGAATAATCTCTAGCGAGAATTTTATATCTGATGATTAAAACATTTTCCGTCGTATTCTTGTGGAGTAATTGTAGAATACAATGAGTCCAAAAATGAAATAAGAAATAAAAACAAAATAGTGGAAATGAATCAAACCCAAACAGGCCATTGATTCCTACACTGTAGGTGGCACTCGGGATGTCAGGCCACGGTTTGGAACCTCTCCCGTTTGTGCATTTACAACGAGTATTGAACGAAAAATCGTAAAAATAGATTATGAATTCAAAAAATAATGAATTGTCAAATTGGTAAAAAATCCACTTAATTGAAATTTTTCTTTTTAAGAAGACGAGCTAATGAAAAATACTTTTATCAATAACGAATAATATCTAGCGAGAATTTTATATCTGATAATTAAAACATTTTCCGTTATAATCTTGCCGAGTAATTGTACAATATAATGAGTCCAAAAATGAAATAAAAAATAAAAACAAAATAGTGGAAATTAAATCAAACCCAAAACAGGTCCATTGATTCCTACACTGTAGGTGGCACTAGGGAGTGACCGGGTTATGCGCGAGACGTTCCTCTTCCTTCTCCTTCCAAAGCTTAGCTCAGAGCCGGAGGAAGCTCCGATCCTCCTTCTACACTACCAATGTCCTTCGTCTCTCGCTCCAGCAGTCTCTCCCTCCACGACCGTCGCTCACCGCATTACCGTCGCTCCGCCTTTGGAGCCAGGCCGCACCGCCTCTCGTTCCCCGCCGATCGCCGGAGGTTCAAGCTCCGCCGCCTCGGGAGCATCGACGCGTGGTTCGCGGTCCGTTGCTCGCTGCGTGGCCGCGGAAGTGGAGCGGGACGCGGCGGTTTCGAGAGCGCTCGGAGTCGGCTGCGGTCGGTCGCTTCGTTTCTGCCCGGAGGCGGTTGGTGGAGCTTGCGCGGTGATCGGGAGGGCGCGGGAGCTGCAGATGCCGAGGCGGTCTCCGTGGCGACCGCTCTGCGTTGGATTTGGGGCTTGGTTGCTGAAGATAGACTGGTGATTTGTGTTGCGTTTGGCTCTCTCGCAGTCGCTGCGGTACGCGGTTCATTTTCCTTGAAGCTTGCGTTGCTTGGCTTGATGAATATTGACTCATTCGAATGGAAGAACTAGCGCATTGGACGTTTCCGGAATAGCTGAAGCACAAATACAGAATAAATCTAATAGCGTTGACGAAATGTTGGCAAAGGCTTTAGAACATTGAAATTCATTCCGCTTTTGTGATGCTTGTGTCATTGATTCGTTTGTCAAATTAAGATGCTTATATGTGGATTGTTCCAGCGTGTCCTTTTGTTGATATTGAGAATGCAGGATCTTAACATCTTAGTACTGGTTGGTTCGAGTAGGGAGAAGTACCTATGTATGTTGCTTTTGTAGATACAACGTGACATTAACTTTGGCCGATTTCTTACATGCTTGCTGGATGCATGTGAAGTGAATTTGACAGAGAATCCTCTTTAGTCCTGTCAATTTGCTTGCTTTGGAAATGATGGCGATCGGTGAATATTGTTTGATCGGCTGTTTCCTACTTTCTTGTTTAAATTCTGCTCAAATTTTGGTGGTGAAGTTTGCTTTCTGTACAGCTTTCAGAAATCACAATGCCAAGCCTACTGGCAGCTTCCCTATTCACTGCGCAGAGTGGTTGCGGAGCCCTGTTTTATAGGCAGGTCCGGCTTTTGGGTATACTGTGTTGCACTTCAGGAATATGCAGGTCAGTTTTGCTTCATGTTTATATTTTTATAATTGTCAATAAAATAGCCATAGTCACCAGTAAGGTGAGCTATTTTTCCCTTAAAGTTATGTCCAAAAGAACATATATGGCTTTCTCATCTAGGTGCACTCTTGTATTCTAGATGTCTCGATCCAGAGTCAGTAGTAATGATGGAGATTTCATGCTTCCTTTTTCGTGATATGATCTGATAGGAAAAATCTTCCTTGTATTTGGATGTACAATCAGTTTGGTGCCTCTCCTATAACATTGTCTTTTGAAATTACAGTGGCTTGCGCAGTGGATGCTTTGCCATTGCAAATACAATCTTGGTGAGTCAATTGCTTTAAGTGCTCTCTCTTCCATTGTGAATTTCTCGTTCTCTTAAATGCGAACTCAAGTCAAATGAAGAATTCAAACCGATGTTTTCTCCCTGCTAAAGGGGTGTTTATAGGGTTTGAACTCTAGATATGGGTTGTTTAGGATAGATGGGGGCCATTGCCTTATAAAGGACTAAGATTCCAAACAATTTGGTGCTATTTCCCTTCCATGCATATGTTATTTCAACATTGCAATTTGTAATCTGTGGATTTTTAGTGCTTCCTGCTGGGATAAATGACTGACCTAATAGTGTTCTTTTTTGTATTAGAGAGAGCTTGAGTAAGCCCTTTGGTCTAGTTTGGTGCCTTTTACTTGCCTACTGGTTCAGAAGCATAACTAAGTAGAAGGGAAACTCTCGAGCAATGATACCAAGTTTAATCATCAATGACTTTTTCTTTGCTATTGGGAGAATTCTTTTGAACAAGAGAATTTCATCCATCAGATGCCATTGCTGTCTTCATTTGAAGTTGACGTGATGACAAGGCTTGAAGTTGTTTACTCTTCGGGGGAAAAAGTTGTTGGGCCACTTGCAATGAGTCCTTATAGGAGTCTGTGGAAGACCATTCCTACTTCTTTGAGAACAACTGTTGCCTTTCCTCTCCGTTAGCTATTCTGTCCAAAAAGTCCTTTGACCGCTGTTTATTTCGTCTTCATCAGTTGAAGAGGGATCTCCTTCTGTGCCATACTGCAGTGTTCTTTCTGTTTGTTGTTTATTTTTTTATATATTTTTTCCTTTGCGGCAACTTGATCTTAAAATATTTGTGTTATCTACACTTACATAAGAAGTTTATTCATCTCTTCTGTTTCCTCTTTGCTACAATAAGCGTGCCCTTCTTTGTTACATGATATTTTTGGAGCACGGATTTTTCAATTTGTGCCCTTGGATTACTAACTGAGTAGAGGCGGTGATTGCTGTATCCTTGCAGGTCAAGCGTCTCCGGGAAACTATATTTTCGTCACTTCTTTTTCAGGTTAATAGTTGTAATTGTTGTAGAGCTTTGCATCTCAAGGACAAGCTCCGCAGTAGAGAAGTTACATCTTCTAATTTTCAGCTGTTTGTTACTTTTCTTTGGAAGACCAATATGATTTTTCCAACTTCTTTGGCCCAGGATATAGGTTTTTTCGACACAAAACCAGTTGGTGATCTGACGAGTAGGCTCGGATCAGATTGTCAACAACTGTCTCATGTTATTGGGAACGATATGAACCTAATTATACGAAATGTCCTTCAGGTTGGATACAGATTTTTATTTAGATTTTGCGTGAAGGCTTAAACATTAGTGCGTCGCTTTTTATGTTTAGGGGACAGGAGCATTGGTTAATTTGCTCAGTTTGTCATGGCCCCTTACGATGTCAACATTGGTTATATGCTCAGTCCTATCTGCAATCTTTTTGGTTTACGGCCGGTAAGCTTTTTTACCAACCTAAATTTGATTATCTTAAGAATGATCTTTTCTTTTTCTAATTGCATGACTTACCCATTACCTTTACATATTGTTATATACTCCGGCGGATCAGGAATGTTAATGCTAACACGATAAATCCAAAAAAAAAAGTATTTATTGTCAAGTATGGGCATATGGTTTTATATTGGACTGCCTCCTTTCCCGCGTCATCTCGAGCGAAGCTGCAAACAGTAGTTCTATTAACCTTCAGCTGTGAGCATAATGCATAATTATTATGTGATTATGTGCCTATGCATGAGTGCTGGGAACATATATTGCCTTTTTTATTGCTTGTATTTGGTATGCTTTCTACACTTGTTTCAATTCTTGGTATTTTGGTAGGTACCAGAGGAATGCCGCGAAGTTAAGCCAAGAATTTACTGCCAAAGCCAACGAAGTATAGGCGGAAAAATTATCTTCGTTTTAAGTACTTTGCTGCCATTGCAATTTCTTGATGTCGTGCTTTTGCGTTCTATTTAAAGGTTGCTGAAGACACTCTTACCTTGATGAAGACTGTCCGAGTTTATGGAACAGAAGGAATGGAAATTGGAAGGCAATGATTCCCACTAGTAATTGCCTAACAAGTGTTTTTGTTTTTACTGATTTATTTAATTATGTGGCTTATGCAACTTACCTGATTCTATGGCTAATCTATTGCAAGCCTTTCATTTGTGTGGTGCTAGGTATAAGCTATTGCTTGAGAGGTTAGGTTCTGTAAGCATTCGTGAAGCTGCGGCTTATGGATTATGGAATCTGAGTTTCAACACCCTTTATCGTTCAACACAGGTTTTGCATTTTTCCTTTTGGTTGGAACCTGCAAATGTATGCTTTTCCAAAAATTTCATTGTTCCCATGTTCATGCTGTAACTGGCTTTATTACCATACCTTGTGAATGTTTCTGTCTCAAATTTAATCCAGAATTCGTATATTATTCATCGATACTCTGGTAGAAAATTTTCATGCATCATCCAGATCAGAAGCACAGTGCAAAGTCAGTTCTCATCAATGGTCTACATAGTCGAGAATTCCAAATCTTGATATCTTTGGTTCGGTTGTAATCTACTGCAGATAAATGTTGAATATGACACTGTTTGGATGGACACGTTTCTAAATGCTGCATGATTGCTTTCTTCATAAAAGTCAATGATCTTACTATGATTTTTCTTCCAAAATCTAATTTTAGGTTTTGGCAGTGCTGTTAGGAGGATTGTCCATTCTAACAGGCTACGTGTCCCCTGAGCAACTTACTAAGTATATCTTATACTGCGAGTGGATGATTTATGCAACTTGGAGGTTGGTGGATAGCTTAACGTCATTGTTGCGGTCCATCGGAGCTAGCGAAGAGGTTTTCCATTTAATGAGCCTGTCGCCAAGTCATCAGTACCTGTCAAAAGGCAAGCACACTGAAGAGAATGCTACCATTCATGAAAAAGCTGAAGAAGGAATTGATTCCCAGTAATCTAAGCTGCCTGGCCATTCTTTTGTGCTACAGATATCTAACATTGCATACATGGAAATTCTTAACACATGTCCATGAGTTTTCGAGTCGGTTAATGTGCATCTGAACATGCAGACTCTCTTGCATGTTTGGCACATTTGACATCCTTACCTGAGCCCTTAACCCATGCTTCAAATCACAATTGAAATTCTTGCATGTAAGACGTACAGACCGCGGCTTTGCCGTAGTTTTCCGTGTCCATAGCACATCTTTCCCAATGCCTTTTCTTTTGGGTAAAACATCCGGTGGGCGACCGACCTGCAGTTCCATAAGCATCAATGATGTTTTGTTAGCTGAGCCCTTTGCATTGGCTGAATGAACTTTCCAGGAATCATGCTTTCATTGTTCTAATCTTGCATAACTTTCTTGTTGCAGGATTTTCTGTTAATAAATTGCTGCCTTCCATATTGATCCAATATTTTCTCTGCCATATCAATTGTACACAGGGTTGAAAATGCGAAAGCTAAGGGGACACATTCAGTTCGTTAATGTTTCCTTCCAGTATCCTTCAAGGATTACGGTATAAATTAAGTCAGTCATTTCGATCCCCTGTTGAATAGTTTCTCCTCTAATAAGTGCATAGTAGTATATGTATATGTCTACCTCTCTTCCTTTTGCTGGTCATCTATGTTTAGTGACAACCGTTTCAATTAAATTGAGTAACCAGGTCCATATAATCACTAGTGATGCTCAATCCCTTCGAATAGGTAGGATTTGTATGTTGCTATATTGTTGAAGGAGGGGCTATTTACCAATTCTGGAGGTTGTGGAGTCGGCATCAATTTGATTGATGAAGACTTACACCTATACCATCACAGTGCTTGACTTTTAATTGTCGAGACTCGAGATGACTTTTGTATATGATGTCATGTTTTTATTCTTTAAAATGGGAAAATAACTTTAATAGTATTCTAATTATTTTGCTAAATTTTAAATAGGTACCAGTTCTAGCAAATGTTAACTTCTCTATACAACCAAATGAAGTGGTTGCAATCGTAAGAGACTGTGCCTTCGGAATAATTTTTTTCTTTTATGTGGGCTGAATATCTTGTGATCGATTTGCTGCGTTCTTTGACTAGGTTGGTGCAAGTGGTTGTGGAAAAAGCTCATTACTTGGTCTTTTGCTTCGTTTCTATGAGCCAGTTGATGGTCAGGTAAGCTACACTAATTTTGTGCATATGTTGAATCAGGAATTTTCAATAAACTTGGCAGTAACGACTTCTCTCTGCACCACAGATTTATATTTGCTCCTGATAATTAAAATTCCCTAAATTTGCAGATTTATATTGATGACTTCCCCATTAAGGAATTGGATATAAGATGTCTCAGAGGAAAAATTGGATTTGTGGGACAGGTTAGGCGTACAATTATATTTAACGGCACGAGACTTATCTCAGGCTCTGTGGCCGCCTGTAAGTACCAGTTGTGTATCATTGACAGGAACCTCATCTCTTTCACATGGATATCTCATCAAACATTAGCTATGGATGCTCTAGAAATATCAATCAGGAAGATGTAGAATGGGCTGCAAAGCAAGCTGGTGCCCACGATTTTATTTCATCTCTTCCCGATGGATATCAGACCGTCGTTCGTGATGGCTTGCTCAGCGGCGGACAGAAGCAGAGAATTGCTATTGCTAGAGCCATCCTGAGAGATCCTGCTCTTCTCATCCTGGATGAAGCGACCAGTGCCCTGGATACAGAAAGTGAACAACGAATCAAGGTATATGCAGCAAAACATTCGTTCCTCTTGTTCAACCTGGTGGAATGTGTGGAAGCAAAATAACACATGGAGGCTAAAGCCGAGTGATTGCGGCTAACGTGTGATTTGCCTTGTCATCAGGACCTAGTCTTCAATAAAACAGAGAGAACCGTCATTGTCATAGCACACAGGTGAGTCGCACACCATAGCTGTCGTCCTGTCTGTCTTCCCTTGTGGCTTATGAGATGGGAGTACCTATCTGGGTTGTTGACTGTTTGCAGGCTCAGTACTGTTGAAAATGCCGATAGAATCATCATGATGGATGGTGGTCAAGTTGTGGAGGTAAGGGCTCTTATCTAGTTCCAAAATGGAAATTTTCATTCATCCACGAAAACAAGATTAGAACAAAGAGGTTCTCTCTTTCGCATCATATCTCAGAGGCACCCGAGGACGGAAAATAATATGTATATATAGGCAAAACAACGAAATCGGTCCTTAACTTAGTACCGGGCTACGTGGCATAGATTAGGCATGCCTCCATAAGCAGCTGCGGCACTATTCCGTAGAACATCTTGTGCACCTTTGGCATGATGAGCATGATGGGTATGCCGAATTAATCGCGTGCACTCCACAGGTGGGAACACACAAGGAACTCCTCCTGAGGGATGGCTTCTACGCTCGCCTGATCAAATATCAGCAAGATTCAATTGGGTTCTGATTTGGGAAGACGATGCTAGAAGGACGAGCATATCGGAACTTTTGACCACAGGTGCGCAGCTTTAAGGGCCCGTTTGGTAACGTGCCAAACAGTGAAAATTTCCGTTCTTTTGTTCCCGAAATAGTTTGGGAACGTAAAGCGTTTGGTAAACTTTTTATTTCCGGGCACATTTTTGCAAAAATTTGTGCCGAGAAACAGTTTTGGAAGAGAAACAAGAAGTAAAAAAAGTTGCTTCTTGTTTCTCGCACAATTTTGAGAATCAGTTTTTTTTCTTCTTTTCTTTTTTTCTTTTCTTATTTTTGTGTTGTTCTTCCCAGCCGGCCGGCGACTAGCCACGGCCCGGGCGGGCGAGGGCTCGGCGAGGCCGACTTGCCCAGCGGCGAGGGTCCAGCCCTCGCCCTCGCCGAGGGCGACGACCCTCGCCCTCCGCCGGCGGCCGGTCGCCGGCGACCGCCATGGCCAAAGAAGAAAATGGTAGAAAGAAAAAAAAATTTAACAATTCAAAATATTATTTGGGAACAGAAATTTTGTGTAGTTACCAAACGCATTTCTGTTCTTTTCTACTCTAGGAATAGAAATTTTGGACAGTTTATCAAACGCCTTCAAATATTCGAAATTGTTTCCTAGGCACAATAAAAAAAATCATTTCTTCGTAAAATAGTTCTGGCACAGAATGGTATTCATGCGCACCCTAAACGGCCGGAAAAGTGCCAAAAAAGTCCTAAACCTTTTGCATTAGTGCCAATTTAGTCCTAAACCTTTTTTGGTGCCAATTCGGTCCCTAAACTTTTGCATTGGTGCCAATTTAGTCCTAAACCTTTTTTGGTGCCAATTAAGTCCTAAACCTTTTAAATTGGTGCCAATTCAGTCCTAAACTTTTTGTTTTTGTGCCAATTTGACCGGAATGACTAAATTGGCACAAAAACAAAAGGTTTAGGACTGAATTGGCACCAAAAAAAGGTTTAGGAATAAATTGGCACCAATTAAAAATGGCACTAATGCAAAAGGTTTAGGACTTTTTTGGTACTTTTCCCCTAAACGGCCTATTGACAGGGCTCATTCCCTGTTCTTTTGTCTTTTTGTTCTTTTTTGGATCATCATTAGCGGCAAGTTAAAATGGGACTAGGTGGATTGCTTCAAAAAAGGCACTCCCAACGCAATCGGATTGCTTCACCCATGTGAGTCCCCATCTCTTCTCATTGTAGCTGTACGATGTCCTATTCACGTAACATGAAGTGTTTTCTGTGCGGGGCATCTATTACGCTTGCCCCTTACTTTGCATCGGAAGAAGAATTCCTCCAATTAATAAATCCGCGATAATTTGCAATATCAGCCTCCCAAGGAATAAAAATCGACGGTTGATGGGGGGCCTAGGCACCAAAGTAACACAAAAACCATTGGACCTAACGCCTTCCTACAGAAAGCAGAAGATACAGTCTTATTTGCACTGTACTGGGTCTGGATAGATTATCATTTTATTTTAACGGACTACAGAATACATCACAGGGTGAGAGAGAGATCATAGTCTCTCGAGGGCTTCGGCAGCAAAATCTCCGGGTTGAGGGACTTGCTGGTGAGGGAGACCCTTCGCCCGTCTCGCTTCATCGCCCGTCTTGTCCATCTCTCGCGGGTTATGAGCCTTTGGCGGCGATGGTGGCGGGTCGTCCACTGCTCCTTTAATTTCCTTCCCCGTTTTCTTGTCACTCTCTTGTTGTCGTCGGTCTCTCTTTCTCTGGTCGTCCATGGCCGATACCTCCTCCTCTTCCCCCTCCGTGGACACCATGGCCGCGCCGTTTGCCAACTAAAAAACAGAGCTTCTTCTGCCGGCGGCTGCGCATGCAAACATCGCGACACGTCGTGCATGCCTGCAGGACACGTGTGGCTTCGCTTTTCCATCTAATCTCACTTCACCGGCAGAATTTCAGGCAGTGACGCAGCTACTCTACGAGCACAGAGGCGCATAGCCTACTCTATACACGAGCAGGCTCGAGCTGAGTTTTACTCGATCTTGGTGGAATTCTAGTCAAAATTTGACATGTGTCTGTCCTTTTTGGCGTCGAACACGTGTCTGTTTAACCATCTAATTGTTACAAAAACCTATGTCCTAAATCCCTCTGTTACCGCTGTAGACGTGTTGGATTTTAAAGATTCGACGGACATCCTGCAGAAGACAATGAACCTGCGATGCATTCACCCTCGAATTGGGTGGATCTCGCACGCAGAGCAGTTTGAATTTATTGGATTGAATGGTTCGGATGAATAACTGGATATTCTTCTGTCGGAGGCAGAACAGATGACATGATTCCTGACCATGGGGAGGATGTTAATAAAAAAGGAATGGCATTACCGAGGGCACTCGCATGTTATCATTTGGCTATAAAATTAACTAACTCTTAACAACGCCAACCGAAAAGCGGAAATGATTAACTCAAGAAGGGCACAAATCTTTGATAGCCAGGCTACGGTCCACTGGTCTTGACTGGGTCCGTTGTGCTTCTCTTCTCCTTCAATGTCCAAGGTTTCGACATTCCTTTGAATTTACTAGCGGGGCACACATCTTACTTTTCGTAGCAAGCAACTCTCTTTATCAAGCTCGGTACACTGTTCGCTCTGTTTGCCGAATAGAGGGATCTTTCTCATCTCACAAGGCAAGTCCATCAAATTTGGCAAGAAGATGAAGGAAGCGGTTCAAGTAAATTCATGATTGGCTGACCAATTCTTAGAAACCCATGTTCAAGAGCTTAAACAATGAAGTGAAAGGCTTGACTTTCCGGGTTTTCATCATCGTCGACAAAAGCAAGTGTTTTGTTTTTTCCATCATCCCTTTTTTCATGCGATTTTTATTTCCACTCCACCTTTGAACGATCCAAAATCCAATCTTTTTATTCACTACTTCTGTTTCAATTTGACAATGACTTTAAATATTTTCCCCTACGATCTCAAAGTACATAGTTATGCTTTGGCATTTCAATTAGAATGTTTCGGTGATTTTATCATAATTATCCTAGTATTGATGGGAAAAGTAGGATGAATGAAATATATAATATATACATAATTCATTTTAACCATTTAGAGATGTACTATATAGATGTAGAAGCTCAATTTCTTTCATTGTTGAAAATATTGTCAATTTGTATCTTTTAATATGGAACGTGGATGAAGATGCATACCAGCACAATTCCTGTGGACATTACTGCTCATCTAGATCTTACTATTCTCTGTTCAACATTTTGCCGGGTATTGTTTGCCCTCCTTTATATTAAAGTTTAAATACCTATATTATGTTCATGTTATTGAAGAGGTTTATCTATTTCTGATGTTTTTGGATTATAAAAAAATTGGTTCTTCCGTTTATATATTTACATTTCGAGTTTTCATTTACTTGAATTCTATAGATTCATTATCTCTATATTTTCTTCTTCATTTTCCAAAAAAATTTATATCCTCACGCGTATATCTCAAGTGCAAAAAGTGTATTATTTTCTACCGTGAATTATCACTCACGAGACCATGAAAAGGTAAAGAAAACAGTAACAAGAAACAAAGGACATGCAATGATTAAAATCTACAAAGTTAATTTTTGAAATTACTGAGTTTACTACCTCGCTCTCGGCGACGAAGGATTACATTAAATGTTCAGAGATAATATTAGTTAAAATTCAGAAATCACGTTGAATAAATTAAAATTTTAAAAAATTATATTATATATTAAATTAAAGTTTATGAATCATTTATGTCGTTTTTCAACAGAAGGAAACAATACTTTTGCAGCTTGCTTTCCGATTGGTTCGCTCTTCGTAACGTTATTTTCCTCGTTTCCTCCGAAAGAACACAGACCGAATCGTTGATCCAAAGATCCCCAACCCAGGTCAGCTCATGATTCGATTACTGTCCTTTTGGGCGTTTGTCCCGAAACTTTTTGGCCTCTTTTGGTGTGGGAGCCGCCACCGGAAGGAAAAGAAATGCTCAAAAACGAGCTCTTGCCTATGGCATTGTCTCTCGCCACCTGCATAAGATTTCACGAAACAAGAACAGAACTCAAACAAGAAAACAGTTCCGTCTCCCTCCCTCCCTCTCTCTCTCTCTCTCTCTCTCTCTGATCAATACCGAGGACAAACACCACTGGCAAAGACGGCATCTTTATGGCGGTTTTTGCGATTCCGCAAGAGCTGGATCGCTCGAAATCCTCCGGATTTTCCATTTCCTTGCGACGCGACGAAACATTGGCCGCGACCCCCTTTCTTCGTGAAAAGGGATGATCGTCACTCTTGTTTTGGTCGCATTAGCTGACTCCAAAACGCTGCATTTCTCTTGTTTCGATCTAAACGAAGAGACCCTCCTTCACGTCACACCTCCTGCAATTCTTGTTTTAACGCACCTCTTGTTCGGTCATGGGGTCTCTAGCCGTGTTTCTCCTTCTTTTGAGCGACTCGCGGGTCTCTGCTTTCTCTGAGTTTGCACTCTCTCTCTGATCAGGTACTCTCTCTCTCTCTCTCTCTCTCTCTCTCTCTCTCTCTGTGTGCTGGGTATCCTCCTGCTGTGTTTTTCTTGGATGTTAGGGTGAAATTAGATTCGGTTCATGTGGGCTCGAGGAAAAACTGTTAAAACTGTTTTGCTCTTGCTTCTTTTCTTCAACGACTGTTTACTTGATGAACTCGTCTAGAGCGGCTTTGACTTGTCATGCGGTGGTTAATGTGTCTCGAGTTTCTTCCACGGAATTTGGCAATTGGGTTGGGGTGTCGACAAGAAGTAGACCTTCAGTGGAGTACAAAACAGGGTCTTTCACGCATATGGGATTTTAGTTAGGATGTTTATGGGACAATGGTATCCATTTGGGTCACTTCTCCGCTTGCTTAGATAAAACGTATCGGTTTCTGCAACTCCCACGTAGGCGTGTGCTCTTTGAACAAATCTCCTCGGTTCTAGAAGTTTTTGTATGTGGCGAGCCAGTTAAGTTGATGATTCTTCGAGCAATGACTTCGGGACGTGGAGAGATTACTAATTGTTGATTGCTACATCATTGAATATTGCCGTAGTTACCTGGAGTTAAGTGACTCTTACGTGAAATCAATAGATGCATTTGATTTTGTTTCTGAAAGAACTCATTTTCGCCCACAGGAAAAACTTCTTCGACATCGGGAGCTCCTTGGCTTTATCATCCTCCAACACCTAGAGCCAGAGAATTCAGGAGCATGTCTTCTTCCACATCCTCTGCTCCGGCAACTCTTATCGGGTGTGAAATGAAGCCCATTTACGACCAAAAACTTTTCACAAATGATGACCAGCCACTCTTGGAAATGACACATGATAGCACACAAAGTGATGGATTGCCCAGCTTGGCACAGCAATTTTATGACTCAAAAGAAGGACCAGAGAACCTGAATGGCTATTTTGATAAGAAAGTGGAGATCTCTTCTGGAAAAGGCACAACGGTGATGAAAGCCGACTCACACACTGAGCATCCTCCAGATGATTCCAGGAATCCCAGTTCAGGTGATGTTGTGGATGGAAGCCATATTTTAAGTGATTGCAAGGCCGTTTCCCTGAATTCTTTGAGTCAGTCGCCGTCTCAGTCTGGTTCAGCGATGCTCTTCTGTCCAAGTCCTAAAGGCAGCTTACGCTCTTCTGCTCCTTATGTGGAAGCCAAAGAAAGTTGCGCCGGCACTGAATTGAGTGAGTGCACAGATGGCAACAAGAAGTCCAGCGAAAGTGAAGTTGCCAACCCATCCGTCATAACTGATTGCAGGAACACCAGCATTGTGAGTGATGTCGGTGATGAGAGCAGCTGCGGTAATTTTAGCAGCATTATGAGCAGGCCGCACAAGGCAAGAGATAGAAGATGGAAAGCAATCCAGGCTGCCAAATCTCGTCACGGGCTATTGGGCTTAGAGCACTTCAGGATGTTGAAGAAGTTGGGTTGTGGCGATATCGGTAGTGTATACCTATCGGAGCTGATAGACGACGGGAATTACTTTGCCATGAAGGTTATGGATAAACCAACACTGACTAGTAGGAAAAAACTTGCAAGGGCACATACGGAGAGGGAGATATTGCAGTCTTTGGATCATCCTTTCTTACCCACTTTATACGCGCACTTTGAGACGGAGAAATTTTCTTGCTTGGTGTTGGAGTTTTGCCCAGGAGGAGACTTGCACACGCTTAGGCAAAGGCAACCCGGGAAGTATTTTCTAGAGCGTGCAGCCAGGTCAAATGTTGTTGTGCTTTTCTCCTTTGTGTTTCCATTTCCATATTGCTAGCCGTTGAGTAGATCGAGTCTGTGAGGAGAAATCTAGCTGAACGCAGTCCCGTGCAACTGCAGGGTCTTTTCAATCTGGCTGATACCAATCATATGCTGCAGGTTTTATGCAGCTGAAGTCCTCCTAGCTTTGGAGTACTTGCACATGCTTGGGATCATATACAGGGACCTCAAGCCGGAAAACGTTTTGGTCCTAGAAGACGGGCATATAATGCTGGTGGATTTCGACCTCTCTCTAAGATGCTCTGTCAGCCCGATTCTGGTCAAGTCCTCTAACCCAATCTCCAAGGCGGGGAGCTCGACTTCCTGTGTACAGCCTTCCTGTTTCGCACCGCTCATCTTTTTCCGTAAGCTCAAGAAGGAAAAGAAGCCCAAGCAAAAGAAAGAATCGTTTCATCAAGAAAACGTTCTGCCCGAGCTCGTGGCCGAGCCCACGGAAGCTAGATCAATGTCGTTTGTCGGGACCCACGAGTACTTGGCACCCGAAATCATCAAAGGCGAGGGCCATGGAAGTGCCGTGGACTGGTGGACGTTCGGCATATTTCTTTACGAGCTCATGTTTGGTAGGACTCCCTTCAAGGGTGCGGGGAACGGAAGCACTTTATTAAACATCATCGGGCAGCACTTGAAATTCCCGGAATCGCCCTCCGTGAGCCTCGCCGCGAGAGACTTGATCCGGAGTTTGCTCTTGAAAGATCCCAAAAACCGTCTTGCTTACAGTCGTGGAGCCGCCGAAGTTAAACAGCATCAATTTTTCAGGAGCATCAACTGGGCACTGATTCGTTGCGCCAGTCCGCCGCTGGTGCCTAAGCAAGCAACGGACGGGCTTATGAAGGACACGACAAAGCGAGCGCACGGCGCCGGCATCGCTGCGGAATCCATCGGTAATTGTTCAGATTTCGACGTTTTCTAAGTTCTCTGATCCTCTCTTTCCTTTGCCGCCTCGAAACCAGCTTTATATACATGGTCATCTTGGCTTCCCCTACATACATAGAACAGCAAATGCACTCCAACAAAAGTGTGCGTTGCATTGCATTGAAAAAAGAAGAATTGGTTCATTCGATCCGCTTCCAGTCTCGTTGACTTCGTTTATTAATCCTTTCCAGTCTCTCTAGACTTTCTTTCCCATTCCCTGCGTGTCCTGTCGTCCTTAACTTGACCGGGGAGCGAAGCATTCTTTCTCAGCTTTCCTTCCACGCCGCGACTCGCATCGTTCCCCCGCCGCTCAGCTCTCGCTTCAGTAACAAAGAAAGCCTCGACGGCCGACATGTTCCGTCAGTCTCGGGTCGAATTACGTAAATCTTCAGATACGAGTAGCGGTATAGAAATGGTGGGTGTTCGAACATGGATCGAGGGGTGGTCAGAACGATCACGTAAACTTCTGCTTCCAGAACGAGATGGGTGAGAGCAGTCGATTCCCTTTCACAAAGTGTGAAAGGGACGTGGCCGTAGAACATTGCACGCGTCCCCAGTGGCCGGAAGGCGCAGCCCCACCAGTCTTCCCGGTCGTAAGCGCTCGCGTCATCCACCGGCAACGAGCCGTGCAGTGTCGCCTAGCCGGGCCCCCCAACCTACGCAGGTTCTTTTAAGGAAAGAGGGGAGGTTTCGATTCAGACGTCAACTGCTTAACAGTCTCGAAACAGTCTCGAAATTTGACAGAAACGGTCTCGAAATTTTGGCTAAACGTCCAATTTAGTCCTGTGATTTCTAAACTTTCAATTTATTCAATGTGATCCATAAATTTTTAATTTATTCATATATGTTCAATATAGTCCCTGAACTTTATAAAAATATTCGATATAGTCCTTTAATTAATTCAAGTTCAGGGACTGTATTATACATTTTCATATAGTTCAGGGACTAAATTGAACATGTACTAAAAGTTCAGGAACCATATTGAACAAATTAAAAGTTCAGAGATCACATTGAACATTGGGTTAAAGTTCATAGACTACACTGAACAAATTAAAAGTTCAGGAATCAAATTGTACATTGAGCCAAAGTTCAGCAAGTGTTTGTGTCATTATCCCTATTATTTGTGGTCAGTCCATAGTTTCAATAGAAAACGATGGATTTTTCTTTCTATATTATTTGTGGTCAGTCCATAGTTTCAATAGACAACGGTAGATTTTTCTTTCTATTTTTTCTTTTCATTTTGCGACTGTAGTTTTCACTTTTTCATATTCTTGCTTCCTTTTATTTCAGTACAAATAAATGATTTGGAAAACACATTTCTTAAAAATGATAACTTGTATCGCTTGAAATAATTAATCAATGAAAAATATTTTTGTTACCGATAACAATTTATGTCTAAACATTTTTGCCACGATGAATTTTTTTTTCGTTGTGAGCGGTTTTAAGCAATCGTTTTTAAGAAAATATTTTACAAGTTCTTAATGTTCCGCGAAATAAATGCACCCGTCTTCCTTCATATATATATTTTTTGGTAATACCATCTGTCTACTATCATTGCTGCGTCTTCGGAATCAATTCATTACTCAATTTACATTCATAAAAATGTTGGGGAACCGAATTATTATAAATTCGAAGTGAGAATGAAGACGGTGAATAAATTTACGTAAAAGAAACATACGAATGTTGCTATTTGAAAAGAAGTGGAATCACGTACTCGTCATCGTCGCAAAATTTTCGCAAATTTTAAGTAATAAATGACATTTTAGGAAGAAAGTAAGATCGAGATCTCTCGAAAATAACACATCTCCGTTTCTTCACATATCGGTGTAGACGTGACGGTACAACTACAACTTCAGTCGTTGCCTAATCATGTGGAATGCGGACTATTCATGCGAAGTACCGAAAATATTTGCGAAGAATTAAATCGCCGCGACCTGATCTCGCGAAAGCCGGGCCCTTCGTGTTCGCTCTCGTCGAGCTATGGCCACGGCGATCTATGACCGAGCCTCGGCTAAACCTCTCGAGCAACGGGAATGCATCGCCTGCTTAGTATTATCGGGATTATTTCTTTTTTTGGTCTTAAGTTTTATCGAGTTGAAAAGAGGAGGGGGGGGAGGCAACAAACAACGTGATAAAAGGAAATATATGAAATTTGTGCATTCAAGTGTGGTTTTAGGGCGTGTTTGTTCAGCGAAAAATAAGCGATTTAAAAAATAATTTCTTAAAAATGATGGTTATATCGCGTGTAAAAACGAATTAACAAAAAATATTTTCATTATTTACGAAAATATTTAGATATAAATAATTATCGATGCAATTGATATTTTTGCTGAAGATATATTTCAAATTACTGGTCATCGGACGCTGAGAGTTACGAGTCTTACCTGAAATCTTCACTTCCTTTGCGTGACTGACATCGCAAGTTGCAAGGCGTGGCCTTTGGGAACTTGTCGTGCACGCAAAACATGAACTTGCATTAACCATTACATTAAACTATGATGTAAACAAAAACGAGTGGATTTTAATATGGAAATTCTTTGTGTCGTGTCAATTATGATTATAAAATTTCCAACAAAAAAAAAAGAGAGGATATAATTCGAAAATGCCGTCGTCACTGTGTGAAAGAAACAATCTTTCCCAAAAATGTAAATATTTTCATATTCGAAGCATTTCGACGCACGCCCCTTTTAATCTTTAACTGGTATTTTTGCGATATGGACTTTTGATTCGTAAAATATTATGATCGAATTCGTGTCGATTATTCGCCGCGTTGTCATGTCATTGGTGGGTCATCTGCCGTGCCAATTGCCAACTACATTTTTCTCGGCTTTGCTCCTTTGAAACGAGATTCCCCTCCCACCTTTTCTTTTACTTTTATATAGGCCAAGCCAAAGTTAAAAAGAAATTTCCAGAAAGGGTTTTTGCTAATAAGTGCATTCGAACGCGCCCCAAACTAGCCTAGTATGAATTAGGGAAAATTATACTAAAGTCCAAAACGTTCGATCCAATTACAGCAAAGTCCCAAACATTCGACAATATACAATCACGTCCTAAACGTCGTAAATTTGGTGCGATCAAATCATTTCGAGCAACTGCTCGGACAAATTTGCCCATGCGGTATGCTGGAATCTAATGTGGCGTTTTTAAATACTTTCTAGTACATGTGGCATTGATTCTTTCTCTCTAACTTAGTTTTGTTTGATTTTCTCCAAACTTTTCCTTTAAAAATTTGAGTCGTCCTATCAGAGCGTTTATCACCACTTATGCTTAAAAGCATTTAAAAATACCGCGGCAAGTTCCGGCGTACTACGTTAGTAATTTTGCTCGACCGGTTGCGTGGTTGCGTGGAAGGACTCGATCTCATTAAAATTCAAAACGTTTAGGATTTCATTATACGGTGGACAAAACATTTTAGGATTGACGGCACGATCTTTTCCATGAAACAATTATCTTCCGAGACATTTTGACAAATGAGTTTTAACAAAGATTTTGTTTAAAAAGTGGTATAATGCTGCATCAGCGAAATCCACCTTATTTTGAGAAAAAAAAATAGAATTGCGCTTTTTCCACTCCCTTTTTTACCAAAACACTCCTTAGCACGATAATTTGATTATATTATCCTTTGCGGGTTTCACTTTTTAGCATCACTCTTCCCACAATATTCTAAGAAAATTTTAAATATTTTTGGTAGTGTCCCCCTTTTTTTAAATTTTCTATTTCTTTTCTTACGAGTCCCACGTTCACTTTCCTCCGCCTTCTTCATTCTCCTCGTTCTCTTTAGTATAACCACTCAAAGCAATAGAGAGGCAGAGTAATGGGACTTCCATGCTTGTGTAGGTAAGAGGCGACTAAGATGGTCGACCCACAACAACACCTTTTCGAGTTGTTGAGTGAAGGCTTTGCACCACATGTCTTGTGGCAACAATGAGATCATGTTCACAGAAAGTGGTGCATACTGCTGGGGCATGAGGTGGATGTGCACTATGTTTCTGATGAACCCGGCGAAGGTGGAGTCATTCGTGCTGAGAGGAGGAGGAGCTAGTAAGGGTGATGGGAGAGGCTGAGGGTGGCGGCCTTGAGGCAATACTCTCCGCAATTTGAAACACTCCATCGAAAAATCCTTCACCGCAAAAGCAGCGTTGCTCACAAGCAAATTCCCTTTACATATCATTGCCTTCTAGAGCCTAAGCATCAATTTCCTCGCCTTCTTCCCATCTAGCCGTCAAAAAAATCCAACAATTGAGTTTTGTACCATTTTTGTGTGCAACCCTCAGCTCACCCACCTTACGGTACCCATTGATTAAAGTAGTGTAAGAAACACAGCTCGGACGATGCCCCTGCTCCTCATTTCCAAAAACACCCTATGCCCATAATTGGTCTCGAAATATAGCACCATTGATCAATCAATCGGTTAAAATTAGTTAATGAACACATATACTTAGGCTTGACATCTGCCAAACACCTAACGACGCGCACACATGTCATGAGAATCTAGCATTCTAGCGGTAGTCATCTTCGTCAACATCTTGATGATGATATGCAAGCACAAGGACATGACCTTTCTGATTCTCCATTTTTCAATCTCTTGGAGAGAACGAAGAGAAGGAAAAAGATTAAGGAAAGCGAACGTGGGACCTAAAAGAAAAGAAATAGAAAATCAATAAAAAAAATGGACACGATTAACAGTGACTAAGGGATGATGCTAAATAAGCGAGACCCATAAACGGCAATATTGTCATGACATTGCGTTGGAGAGTGCTTTAGCTAAAAAAACAGGGTGGAAAAAGCGCGCAAAAAAAAAAAAATATGTTCGCAATCTTTCTCATAATACTCACGACCAAAAAAACTAATAAAAAAAATCTTTCTCATGATACTCGGATAACAGAACGTAAACGGGCGCGAGGGTCGTGACGAGTCGGCACGTGCCAACGACCCGGTCCGATAAAGAATAGACCCGGCCCATCTCAATAATTCCCGATTTTTTATAAAAAGAAATAAAAAACGAAAATCAGAAAATATCAAATGCGTTTGCACTCTCTCCTCCTCAGTCGCTCTCTCATTTTCGCAACCACAGGTCGTTGTTGTCACCATCATCTCCATCTCCATCGCCATCGCCTCTCTTCCACCTTCGCCGCGACCACACGCCATCGCTGCCGCCGCCTCCTCCTCCTCCTCCGAGCCCTAGCCCCGCTTGCAGCCCGATCCATGGCCGCCGCCGCCGACAGCCCGGCGCCGATCTCCGCCGACGACGAGGCGAAGTTCGGCTTCCAGCGGCCGGAGATGTACAAGGGCAGCCTCGCCAACACCGTCGACCCCCCCTACGGCCGCCACGTCTTCCTCTGCTTCAAGGGCCCCGGGTCGTGGACCCCGAAGGTCGAGGACGCCGACACGGAGATGCTCCCCAAGCTGCTCGGCGCCGCCCTCAAGGCCCGCAAGAGTGAAATCCCCGTCAAGGTTGGTTCGGATTGAAGGTCGAGCGTTTTTGCGCTCGCGCGTGTTGTTGTTGCTTTTTGTTGTGCGGATATCGTGGTTGTGGAGCTGGTTTGGAGTCTGGATCTGACGGGGAAGGTTTGTTGATGGTTTGGATTTTCTTGCATTTTGACTTATGGTTTTCTCCTTGTAGACGAGGTTGACCATGTGTGGAGGATGCAATGGGATCGAGTGTTCGGATGGGGATGTGTTGATCTTCCCTGAGATGATCAAATACAAGTGAGTTCTTCCTTCTGTTTATTTCTTGAAGGGGAGTTTTACATCTGCTGTGAGATGGTTAGCTGTTGCTTTGATACATGACTCGGATTTTCTTATGGAAATTCTACGCGATAATGAGCACAGCGCCCGTACTGAAAGTTCTTCGTTTCTAGTTTAATGTCGTGCTGAGATGCGGGAAGATGATGCTATGGAATTTCCTTTTGGTTGTTGGACTCTGAGAGTTCATCCTGTTTGTGGACACTATAGTTGGTTTTTCTAAATAATTCCTTCTTTTCTTTTGCGCTTGCTAAGTAGTTACTGACATTAATAAGCAATTTATATCGCGGTTCTCCATCCCCATTGCCCCCTCACGTGGGTACCCCAAAAGGGAAAAAGGCCCTTAACACCGATTAAAAAGGCTGTGAAACAGAGTGACTCATCACGCCGTTGCTTTTTTTTTTTGTAAATTTCCCCAAAAGGAGCCTTTTCTCGATCAATCTAAAGATATTTTTGCTCTCATGACAGGGGTCTGACTGAATCAGGTGTGGATAGCTTTGTTGAGGATGTGCTTGTGAATGGAAAACCTTGGGCTTCTGGTGTGCCAGAGGCATTGGCTGGTTCCCATATATTTGTCTGCGCTCATGGCAGTCGAGACCGGAGATGCGGTGTTTGTGGACCCCCCCTTATAGAAAAACTAAATGAGGAGATTGAGTCGCGTGGACTGAAGGATCAGGTGTTTGTTAGCCCATGCTCTCACATAGGTGGCCACAAATATGCTGGGAATTTGATAGTCTTCTCTCCAGATTCTGAGGGAACAATCACGGGTCATTGGTCAGTCCTGGTTTAAACTTTCTTTAAGTTCTTTCTCAAGCTGTAGAGACCACGAAATATTGATTTAAATAGCATTATGTGAGTTGACTTTATGATCTGATTGTAGGTATGGCTATGTAACCCCTGATGATGTGCCTGAAGTTCTCGACGAGCATATTGGGCAAGGAAAAGTGATAGAGAGGCTTTGGAGGTTTGCTCTTTTGCTCTCTGTGCATAGAGCTTTCAACGAGTTTATATCGTTCTTTATGCTCACCAGTACTGAAAAGTATTAGTAGGAATTATCAAATGCTGTAGCTGGTGATGTTAACTATAAGGACTCATTGGTTGTCTTTAGCAGATCAATCACTTAAAGCAGCTATTTTTGCTTGAGCTGTCTCGTACTGGGTCTTATATTCGTTAATGGTCCTCTTTACAAATGATAATTGCTAGTGCTTGTGTTTGATGCTGTCATATGGTCAGGTTCCGTTGATTATCGCTCGTAAACTGGATTTTCTTTTTCCAAGTATGATTGAGAGTTCAATATGTCATGTCTCAAGTCATAGCAAAACCATACGGTAATTTACCTGATAATAATGCTTGCCTTCCTTCACTTGCAAAAAAAAAAAAAAACGCTTTCCTTCACTTGCCAATAAGATTTGATTGATGCGTAGAATCTGCCCACAATCACAGAAAGTGGAAATTAGCCTTGTCATGCTTATAGATGTGTTAAGAAGTATCTCATCCGACCTATCAATTAAGGTACCGAAGCATGTCAAAGCAGCTGCAAGAAGAAGGCATCTGGTTGTGTCGTTCGCTTCGTTTCTTCAGTTTTTTAATATTGTTGCAGAAAGGAGTATCACTTGTTTGGAGTAGAATTTCAGTTTTATTTCTTACTATTGTAGATTAAGTTTGTAGGGATAATATACCCTGCTCATTGTTGTGATGCCTTCTTTAGCTTGAAATGCTTCTTAATACTCTTCTTCTAGTCAGTCTTGCAACTTTTTGAGCTTGAGCGTTTCGCTTTTTCCTATACTTGTGAAAAATCTACTGGTGATAGATTTCATTAGGTCCCGAGGTGATGTTGCTGTCTGTAACTATAAGAGTTTGAGCATCACAGAGAATATGGTATTGTATGGGTTTTAAGTGGCAACCTTTAGGTAGTTCACTTCTATGTCTCTTTCTGTGTCAAACATGGGCCACTTTCTTAATTTTATAACGCTGGTTAGTGCAAGCTTAGGAAAACCTGTAGTCTGTAGTTCGCTCCCTTGCGTATCTGTCTCTCGCTGTGTCAAACATGGGCCACTTTGTATGGGTTGTAGTGGCAGGCTGCATACTCTAGTTCTCTTCCTTGCGTCTATGTCTCTTGCCATGTCAAACATGGGCCACTTTGTATGGGTTGTAGTGCCAGGCTGCGTACTCTAGTTCTCTTCCTTGCGTCTATGTCTCTTGCCATGTCAAACATGGGCCACTTTGTTATTTTTATATCGCAGGTTATTGCAAGCTTTGGAACAAGCTAATTTGTGAAAACTTTTTTTGTCCCCTACTCGTAGTCTTTCTGCAATCACTCTTTGTACTTTATTAAGTGATACACCATATATTTTCTGCTCACATTTGTCGCCGAAAGGTATTATGTGTGTTAATGTATATAACTGTGCAAGATATTGATGATGAGTGGATGCAGGGGCCAAATGGGAGCATCCGCTGGTGAAGGTCAAAAGGCTGATGATCAGAAACTTCCAAACGGAAAAGATCACAAGAAAAGCAGAAAGCATGAAGAAAGCATTGTGCAGGAGAAAAAGGAAGTAGCCTCTGGATGTTGCCAGGGAGTCAATGGCTTTTCTTGTTGCAAAGATGAAAGCGTGGATCAGAGTAGCGCAAGTGAGGAAAAGGAGCAGAAGGGGAAATTTTCCTGCTGGGTGGGAAAGTGGGAACAGAGTGAAGTTCTCACCGCTGCAGCTATCGTAGGAGCTGTGGCGACTGTTGCAGTGGCCTACAGCTTTTATAGGAGGTCTAGCTAAGTATGATATATTCAAGTAATTTGTTAGTAACCATCGATGGATTGGTTCCCCTGCTTTCTCTCATTTTGATAGCATGGTCAAATAAGTACTTGGAACCATGTGGTTTGGGAGGAAAGATATGTGTACGCCCCCCCAATTCCTGCGGGTTCTGCTTGTTTACGCAGAATTAAGCAGAAGATGAATGTTTTTGGTTCCTGATACGAAAGCACAGGTTAATACTGTTATTTTGCATCGCCTTTGGTGTTTCTCCGACTTTGAAGCGAGCTACTTAGTGACGTACCTTATGGAATATTGCTGGTTTTTAGTGATGCGTGGAGTAAACATGTGCTGTGCAGCGTGTGCTTGGCTAGATTCTTCCTTTCTGAGTTCTCTTTTTATGGTTAAGATTTGCCTATACTGCTTCTCTGTGACAACAAAAGCTGAGGACAGTTATTAAATTACGATATCTCTGCACACGATCCGATCAAACAAAGGGTCTTTTCTCGTTTCAGATGGGAACCTTTTGCTTGGCTCTTTTCACATGCGTTTGATCCGCGTCTCTTTTGTCATTTATGGGGGATACTTTAGTGCCAAGTGAATGATAAACGAATGATGTTGGGTAGAGACTACTTAATCAGGATTCAAAACAGGAAATGAAGCGAGCGAACAAGCTGCTGATTGGGTTTCCGAGATCGCGGGCCATTCGTTAAGGCATCTCTATTGCAGAATTCTGCTCGAACGATAAGCAGCGATTTTGGTAAAGACGAAGAGGGGAGGACTTGAAATGGTAGCCTCGCGATTAACATTGACTCGAGACGGAGGAAGAAGCGCCATTAAAGAACGAAAGAAAGTCTCTACATCCTTTTGTCTTCAATTGATAGCAAAATCGGATGCGATCCTTGCTTCTACTGCGATACCGCATGCGAATTCAACGGTAACCCCTTTTCGTTCCTCATTGGAAATAGGAAAGAATACTTGGGATTTGATAAGAAGACTAACTCTGATCATCATGGTGTTTGCTACTCAATAATGGTGGACAAGATGGAGAAATGATAGAAATTGAGACAACTTCGTAAATCTATACGGTGTAATATATATGTAAGGATGATATAATGATCTGACTGGGGGGAGGTTCGAGTCACCTAAGTTTGGCGGCCGTGTCAAAACAAATTCATTTTGTCCAAATTAATAAAGCAATTAGGGAAAGAGCCAATAAGCCCTTGTCATTTGTCGATAATCGCCCCGATGATGTACTCACATAATTGACTAAAGGGTCCTTCCTTGGAGATTCACATTCCGGACTCTTCCGCATCGCTTTCCGGCATTTTTTTTTTGTTAATTTCGCGACCAAGTTACGACATGTCTTAACAAATTTGCTTCTTTCGGACAATTTTTGGTTTCGCACCTTTTCATAGCAATTAACGGGGCAGAGTGGACCCAAAACAACAATCAATGGCCTACGTTAATTTACGGTGGATTTTTTGGGATCGACCTGTTGATGATGTTTGATCAAATTTAGCATCGCATTTACATTTCATATGAGTGTTTGATTTCTTTTTTAAAATTCCCTCCTTTTTCCGAAAGAGGACGGGAAAAATTCGGCCCGACCAAAAAGCCATGAATCTTGTGAGACGTCATTAAATATGGACGAGATAAAAGATGAGAAGAATTTGTGCTTCTCTTGCAAAAAATAAAAGAGAGAAAGAAGGTTGTTCTCTTCATTGCCATTCGTTTATCAAGAAAGGTATGCCATATTCCACCCTCTCCTTTTCTATATTCCCGAAAAAAGAAATGGTTTTTTCTTTTAAAATTCTTGTCAAGAACCCAAAATTAGAAAGTTGGCCGAAAGTTCCCCCAGTGATTTCTTATTGGAGTTTCGTGGCCACACCAGTCCTGCGTCCAACTAAAGCAAATTCATTCTTGCCTCAGGACCGTCTAATTTTCATTTCTTTTAATTTAAGTACAGAACAAAGGATATGCTTTGAGTTTCTTAAATGGTTCTCCAATTTGGTACCCTCTTGATCGAGTCGAGCTTAAGTCGGAGAATCGGACTCTTTCCACCGGGACAACATGTCGATTTCATTTTTTGTGGAACGACTTGGTGCGATATACCGTGATTTTCTTCATTGACACTATTTGGCTATTTTGAACTTAAATTGTCGCCAACTGTTTTAGAAACTTGAACTTTTAATCGGATTTTATTAGCTATTTTATTTTTTATTTTTTGACAAGTAGGGGAGCGAAAAATCTACTGATAATTTCCAAGAGAGATGATATAATGTAGAAGACTTACACCGTACTTACCTATTCATTCAACCAATTATATCTTCTGGGTGCATGCAAATTGACCAACAATAACTTTCGAGCCGGTTGTCTTATTAAGTAAGTCTCTCTTGTAAGACACACATTGAATAATTGATGAAGCGATAAAAAGTTAATACATACGATTCATAATGATTGTGGAGTCGTGCTGGTGTTACATCATATACGCGTATGAAGATCGTGTTATTGACTGGCAAATGCCATCAACAGGGGAGTGAACCGTTTTGATAATAGAAATAGATGCTGTTCTTTTAGCTACTGCCTGCATAATAATGAGAAGAACTTGAACAGAAACTTACATTCACCTTTGAATGAATGGAGAGAGTTTGCTGAAGCTGATGGAGGATTACAGAGCCAATCGTATGTACAGAGAAGCCAATCAGTGTGCGGATGAAGCCAAGCTAAGATGGGGATTGAAGGACCTCAAAGAAGTTGCCTTTCTTGATCACGCAGTTAATGGTGTTAAGCCCATGTTTTTTAGCCGATAAGAACAGGGGCCACTCACCATGTAGGCCCATCGTGAAATTGTCTTGTTGCTGGAAGTCAGTACTTTCGATTAGTCTTCGAATGAAATTACTCAACTTACCGGGGAAAAAGAAAGGTACATTTCATGCTCCTCATAAGGCCTGAAAGAGACTCAACGAACCAGAGCATCCGATGACAAAAGCGCATTTGCCTTTTGTTTTTCCTTTTTCTGGTTTTTAAATATTACCCTCCATTCGTCTCTCTCTCTCTATCCTTCCTCTCGCTCACTGAGACGTGTATGGTACGTTCCTGTTTGTATGTGTGTTGTTAAATATGTAGAGATCAATCAACTATTGCAATTTCATCAACCTTGGACGAGCTTGGAGTTGGTTGCTTGGGTCTCCAAAAATCGAAGCCGATAACAACAAACTATATAATATAAACATTTGGCAACAAGTGTGAGTTCACTCGTCTCTGTTTCATCTCATCTCATCTCATATTAATTAAAGCACTGTCTGTTCTGTTTCTGGGTCTCTCTTTTTCTTCTTCTTTTTATTTTGCCTTTTCATTTCGTTTCGTCTCGAGGCATGAACTGTCGTCAACTTGCAAAAAGGAGAGTTTTTGAGGGTTGGGTTCTTTGTTTTTTTGTGTGTTTTTATTGGTGGGGTTTGGTGAATGAGAAGTTGGGAGTTTGTTTGGTTAGCTTCTGTTAAGTTTTGATGTACAGCTGGAGTGGAACAAAGGGAAAGTGAACCCGTTAGTGAGCAAAATCATAGAGAGGCTGAGCCAAAGACGACCCTCGACGATGCCCTTGAATTTGGTTCACGCTTCTGATGGATTGCCCCGAGTTCTCTTGACTGAGCAATCTGGTTCATCTGCTGAGGTTAGTATCCTCTAGTTCCTGAATACTCTTCTTTTTTCGTTCTCTCTTTTTGGATCTTTTTACGAGGTTGATTCTTGGGGTTGAAATGCTATGTAGACATTATCATGTGGAAAGCTTCTGTAGTAAATCCCTATCTGTTTCTTGTTGTTTGAAGTTTTAATTTTTAAGAAAGACGGGGGGTGGAATTGCTGTATGAATAAAAGAATATGCTTTTGATGATTTGATTATGCTTTGTTCACTGTAATTAATGCCAAATTGGATGGATGAAACATAGTATGTGAATACATAATAGTTATGTGTGATGTTCCCAGAAACATATGTATGAATCGTGTATGTGATGTTTATAGAATCATTCTGTTGGATCTGGAAAGTTGTCTTAAGTTTTTAGTGATGGATCTGAAAATGGTTGTGTTATGTTTGAGCTTTGATTGAAGCATCTGGCTCTAAGATAATGAGTTTCTGATGTTGGATCAGTTTTCTCCACTTCAGGAAGACATGGACCTTTTGACTAGAAGAATGAGCTTTCTAATTTTGCAAACTATGACATGCTTTTCCCCTTAGAGTCTTCAGGAATCTGTTGTTAGTCGTTGTCTGTCACCTACTGATTGAAATTAATGAATTCAGGTACTTCTCTATGGCGGGCAGGTTGTTTCTTGGAAGAATGAGAGAAGAGAGGAGCTCCTCTTTATGAGCAGTAAGGTAAACCTAGTGTCACATATTTGCATCTATGTTCAATACGAGAGTGGTATACGTGCATATATGTAAATGCATGACTTTATGAACATATGATTTTGTTATGGAAGGACGTGAAATGTTGAATTAAGGACTAGCTTCTATCTAGCCAAAAGGGAATCTTCTTCATTGTAGAGGATATAGATTGCCAAGCTTCTAAAGTTATTGAATAGCTTCTTTATGGATTGGTCATATGTATATTAAAGTGATAACTTTTGAGGTCATGAATGCTTGATAAAACCATAGTGTCAGCCATCAAAGGGAGAATGTGTATAGAGGGAATTGCAAGTCCAAAGTTCTTTCTCACCCGTCAATAGTATTTTCAGCATCATCTTTTATAAGTCTTCCAGATGTCTTTGTAAACTTAATACTTTGGTTTTTGTTTTTTTCCGCACGTATGTGTTCCTCAATATTTCTCGAGCAGAAATCTGTACCTGGTGTTCGTATGCATGAATGGGGGCTTTTCACCTCAAATTTGCACTTCAGTTAGTTCATTTGATCTCTCTTGAGACATTAGTTCTCTAAATGACTTCTTTAATATTTTGTAGGCCATCTGGAAGCAACCTAAAGCAATTAGGGGAGGTATACCTGTTTGCTTCCCTCAGGTGAGCAATTGGGAAAATAAGCATTCCTAGCGAACAAATTATTTCCTTTTGGGAATTGTTATACTCACTGTTGCTTCCTTGTTCAGTTTGGAAATCTTGGTTCTCTGGAGCAACATGGATTTGCAAGGAATAGAGTGTGGTCTCTAGATAGTGATCCTTCACCTCTACCTCCAGCTGATGACCAGTCCTCAGTAGATCTGATACTTAAGTCTACAGAAGAGGACCTCAAAACATGGCCCCGTAGGTATGATTGCAAACCTTGATATGTCTGCCAGATGTGTCGCTGTGAAGCCTTCCTAGAGTTCTGTGGTTCTAAGCTTTTGGATTGTTATCTGGTTGTGCGCCAACAGCTTTGAGCTCCGACTCCGCGTTTCTCTGAGTGCTGGAAAGCTCACTTTGATCCCCCGTGTGAGAAATACTGACAACAAGGCCTTCTCGTTTACATTTGCGCTCACAAACCACCTCTCTGTGTCGGACATCAGGTTTGCTTGCCTTTTCATGTAAAAGCTCTACTTTTGCCTGTTCCTTTTAATGCGTTTCCTATAAACCACATCGTACTTTTCTCAATCCTTTGATGCCAAATACTAATGTCTAGAGCTATTGTCTTTCTTTTCTTCTTCTTCTTCTTCTCTTCTTCTTTTTCCCATCAAGCTTCTAGAACTATGATTACATTTCATATCATTAAAATCAAAACCTTAAAGCCTGTGATTGGTTCATGTTTGTTAGTAGCTGAACTTAAAGAGAAGATCATTTTCAATTGGTTTATGCTGTTCAATTTGCAGTGAAGTACGTGTCGAAGGCTTAGAGACCCTCGATTACCTTGATAATTTGATGCAAAGACAAAGGTTCACAGAGCAGGCTGATGCAATCACCTTTGACGGCGAGGTTATGCTCTTTCATGCCAATCCGATTAGGACGCCTACAGGATTTAAGTTCATTCTTGAGTTGTGCTTCCCATGTTACATGTGTTTTATTACTTGCATATTATTGATCTTTCTCAATCAACATTTGTGTTAATTTACTAAACCTTTGTATGTGTTTGGAGGATTTACTGGTTTATATATTCTTAGATTGACAGAGTTTATTTGGGCGCCCCAACAAAGATTGCTATCATAGACCATGAGAAAAAGAGAACCTTTGTGCTGCGGAAGGATGGCATGCCAGATGCAGGTAAATGATGTTCAAAAGTCCGTGTTTCCTTATGTGGTTCCTTTGCTATATGTGGCTATTCATTCTTCACCTTAATCATCTGGGTAACGGTCATATGCTCATATGCTTGCAGTGGTATGGAATCCTTGGGACAAAAAGGCAAAGGCACTTTCTGACATGGGTGATGAGGAGTACAAAACTATGCTGTGTGTGGATTCTGCTGCTATTGAAACACCGATAGTTTTGAAACCCTTTAAAGAGTGGAGAGGCCGGCAAGAACTTTCTACTGTTTCATCAAGTTATTGTAGTGGGCAGTTGGACCCTCGAAAGGTCCTTCGTGGCTTTCACTGAATCTCGGCATGTTTTTAGATAATTTATATAAGTCGCGTGCCCCTGTATATGTACCCATTTCTTTTCTTTGTTGGGAAACCAAAACAGCCATATTTGATAGTTGACCACGTTTTCCTAGGTCACGCTATCAGAGGGTTTAGAAACATAAACATGTTCTATGTCGATCTGTCTGGCATGTGAGGAGTGCTTCTTGTTTAGTGATATTTTCAGACCTTACCCTGCCGTGCATCGTGATATTTGTCAGAGTAATGTTGTGCATCTAAAGGAGTAGGATTCAACAATCGACTCATTACTCTTTGATCAATTGAGCCATGCCTCCCCAACGTTTCCTCTCTCTCTCTCTTTCGCACGTGGCGCATGCACGAGCGCACGAGCATGCAACACACTCATGCAAGTGCGCACATGCTTTCTTTGTTTTTCTCTTATTTACACATGCCTCAAATGTTAACGAAGTTGTCCCTGTACAGATGTAAATGCAAGAGATTGCTTGGAACGTGTGTGGAAACCAATATTATTGTATAGCCATGTAATGATATTTGCTGCTGGAGCTATATTTTGATATGTTTCAGAAATTAAAGTAATAAGTTCTTGAGCATAATCTTACTGCTTCATTGGGTAGAGGAGGAAAACCGGTGCACTCCACTTATTTCCATTTGAGTTCTTTCAATCACGCCTCTAGAAAAGCTTGAGCATGGACATCCCAAACTTTTCTCTGGCTTCCATGTCGAATGCATCGTCTCCGAGATACATATAGATGTATGCCCTGCATAGAAGTTCGCTCTGTATCTTGCTCACGACCTTATCCGTCACTGCACCCCGTAAATTCATTTCTACAGTTACTAATTCAGGATTAGGAACACATACATCTTTTCCGTTCAGTGTTCTTAGATCTCACCTTTAATTTGGAGAGTATATCCTGGAAGGCGAGAAATCTCTATTACAGAACCGGATGTTAGCTTGATATCATCTGATGCTTCACCCATGACCCTGCCATAAACGCTAGAGATGTCACAATAGGGGATGAGATATCTGAACGCTGCGAGATGCACCTTGTTCTTGGTTGTATATATGCCTAATGAATAAAGGGTTGTTGCATATTACTTGTCTGTGAGATCCTCATGCTTCTTCCCACTGGTGAGCTTCTTAATGGCTCCTCCAAGGCCATCGCTGAAGTTGCTTCTTACCATGCTCATGGTGAGGCCGGAAAATACTATCACCAATCTCACCATCATCCCCACATCACTGTCTATTACCTTCTGGTACATTTCCTCTGTCGGCCTTGCCGGGGCTTCCCTGAACTCGGACTTCAGCAAATCTCTCAGCTTCTCATTATCTGCATATATACCTGCAAATTGGGGAATGTCAATGGATGTATTTGCTTCAAGTAAACATCTAACGGCCTCCATTATGTAACATCATGAATGAGCCTCAGAGCTCAGATGTCTCAAGAATCCGGAATTCGATTCATTCTGGATGAGTACTCGGCAAAAGAGTAGGTAACGTTGTTGTTTCGCTGTTTCTTGCACATCTCTAGTTTATCAGTCTACAATTGAATAATTATCTCCTTTTGTTCTTGTAGTAGAGGATTTATCTTTTATGTTCTTCTGCTAGACAAAGGAAGACATCACTTGATCATTTTGCGCGATGATGGTGGTTCATTATTATTCAGTAGCTGGTCGGTTACAAGTTCAGTACCAGAGACTAGAGGTAATCCATGTCGTGACCAGTCACCGATTTATGCTGCTCGGAAAGTGAAGAAGATCAACAGCAGCGATCTGAATTCTGAAAAAATCGCGCGAGGGGGACATGAAAGACACTGTTGTGCATATCGAGGTGTGTTTGATGATATGTACTCACCAAAGCCATAGATCTTGAGTCCCACCCCGAGCATGGACTTTATCCTCAAACCCACAGAGTTCAATTGCTTACCATCCTCCTGTCTAACTGGGAATGAGACCCCAGTCCTCGGCTCCACTTCAACTCCCACCTCCTCCTCTCTCTTTGCCCCGTGATCCTTTGCTTCGTCCCCGCTCGCTTCCTTCTTCCCTCGACCTTTCTCGCACGTCTGATCGCTGGACTCCTCCTGGCCGGCCTCAGAAACCGCCCCTTCGACGACCGCGGCGCCGCTCGCCTCCCCCTCAGCCCGGTTCCCAGCTGCCGAAGCTACATTATTCTGCGATTTGACCTCCGACTCGGCCGTGATTGCCATTGCTCGAGCTTACTTGATGTTGCTGCTCGAGCACAAAGTAGGGAAATGGGTGTGCTTGCACTAGGATGGGAATGCAGTTGGGTGTGACGTTGTATATAACATAAGAATGTGGTGCACGGACACAATTTGTGCTGCCATCAACGGACGTCGGTGTCGGCAATTGGGTGAGGGTGAAGTCAATTTTGGACCGGATCAGCGAGCTGCTTTAGCTTGCTATTGAATTGAGGTGGATCCCTGGTTTCAATGTGTGCCAATCAGTATGGAATTCAGGCGTTCCCATCGTGATAATTTGATTTGACTTGTATTTAACAAAGGCAGGTGGTGGTTGTCCCTTGCACTCTAGGGGCCGGAGAGACGAGAGAACTGTCCCATCGACGCGCCCCCGAGCTTGGGTCATTGAATGTTTGAGCTCGGGTTTAGTTATCGTAGTGTTTCGAGTATCGGATTGATTCGGGTCTTTCGCTTCTTAATTTGATATCGACACGCTACCTTATTCATCGCTTTCCCTGAACACAAAAAATTTAAAGCGGGTTTTCTTTCACTTCGAGAGTTTTTTGCGCGTGAAACTTTCTTAAGTCTAAACATTGGCTTTTTATTATTAGCAGTACGAAAATGAACCCACTAACGGGGTCTCAAAGCATGGCAGTTCTTCAAGTGGCCTACGGAGGGCGGGCTAACCAGTTTTGGGAAAGGGCTTTTTTTTCCACGGGCCTTCGCGACCCAATCAGCCACACTATTGTGCGTGAAATTGGCATGTTAAATGTCGCATCGTATTCTTGTGTCCTCGTGGTTATATCGACTAAATTGCTGTTGCCGCATCACTTGATAAATCGGTTCTGTCCTGCAATTTCGTTCATCACTTGGTGCATCCGACATGCTCAAAACCAGAGTTCAGAGGTACGATGAAGGATTCAATAGTTGTTTGGGCCTTCTTTCTCCTTCTTGTCCGGTTCTTTTTGAAGGAAAAAGGGGGTGTCTTTGATCTCAACTGGGCTTTGAGCATCAACAACACCGTCCTTTCATCGAACGTCCTAGGCCCATCAAGAGCGGCTCAAAAACGCACTCGCTCTCGCCGATGATGATGATTCCCCACGAGTCGCAGCGTTCGCAATGGAGGGACAGCGGAGCAGTAGAAACCGCAAGAGCGCGAAGCGGAGCAGAGCTCAAAGCAACGAGCGAAACCGCGATGCCAAGAAGAGCAAATCGGAGTCGCCTTCTAGTTCTAGCTTCCTGGAAAAGGTCCCTTCTTTCTTTGTGGGTTTTTGGCTGTCTTTCCGATTTCGTTGAATTGGGTTTGTGGGTCGGCGGTAGCAGCTAGCAGGTTGATTATTTTGAGTGGAGATTGTGGTTTCTTTGAGTCTCTGATTCTGTGATGAGAGCTTGTGGTGCCGAATGCGGATGCGTTTTGATGTTAGCTTACCGGTTAATCTGATGCGGTTCTGCAGATGAAAGCGAGGCTGTCCGGTGGGCATTTTAGGATGATCAACGAGAAGCTATACACTTGCACGTACGTGATTCTCTCTGTTCTCATCTGTGTTGTGATGCTCGTCGTTTCGTTTGATGTGGATTGTAGTCGCGCGCCGATGGCGGATGAACGTGATTGATCGAGCCAAATAGCTTGCTTAGGGAGGCCTTGTTACTCAACGGTTTATTCGATGAGCGGGGCCGAGATCTTGTATCTGATACTAGTGTATTTGTACTATCTTTTCAGCGGAGAAGAAGCACTTATCTATTTTAAGGAGGACCCATCACTATTTAATGTGGTAAGATGTTCTTTCTTTTTAATGAAAAAGTCATTCGGTCGATAAACAAGTCTTCACTACTCTACTCTTTTACACTTTGGTGGCTGCATTGTGTATGTGGATTTTTTGGATAAAAAAGCTTCCAATGCTTTGGCGATGAAAGGGATCGGCTATTAAGCATCGCCTATCACCTTCATCCCACTTATTTAAGTGTAAGTTTCTGTGAGTCAGAAATAGTCTGGAGTTGAATACGCGACCACATTTCAGTCTTTCAGAATCTGTGTTCCACAAAGACCGAATTATCAAGGTGTTCGGTTATCAGGGAAATAACGAGTGTAGTACTGCAGATTTTAACCTTTGTCAAGAAACTTGCTTTTGTTTTTTGTTGACCATGGTGGAATGAGTTCATTTTGCTCAAATAACTTCCTGGAATAGCTGCCTGTTTAGTACTGACAAAAAGAAGGAAAAGTGAGCTGCTTAGCTAAGCTCTCATCAGTGATGAATATGTTCTTCAACTTCATATCAGCTGTTTATTGATCGTCCTGTTGGGAATTGTTCCTGTGAAATGTATGTATCTAGGTCTAGATCTTCAAATCAACCTTCTGAGAAGATGAGGCCGTAAAGATTGGTCATTTGAATATGCTTTCTTTAATGTTAAAGCTGGAATGTTTTCGTCTGTTGAGGAAATTGTTTTGGAAAACGGAGCAAAAACAGGTTTTTGGTTGTTCTCAACGAGAATTGTATGATATTAGTTTCTCCTAGAAAGGATACTTGTCCTTCGTATTTTTCTGGTCTGAAATAACAGTTGCCATCTCAAATAAGTTATTTGCATGAATTTTGTCTGCATATCTCTTTATTAGTATGGATGCTATATTCTAAGTTAATTTCGGTTATGAATGATTTTGCTTTTCCGAAAGTTGTTTTAACTCTTTTTGACTTAATTTTCCAGTATCATGCTGGATATCAGGCTCAAATGTCTCAATGGCCTGAACAGCCAGTTCAAAAGATAATAGAATGGCTTCAAGGTCACAGTCCTTCTTTGACTGTGGCTGATTTTGGCTGCGGTGAGAGTTAACAGATTCTGCAATGATTACATTTTTGTTGGAACATCAGATGCACTGGCCATTATCGAAATGTCTGGAATTATTTGAACTGCTACTTACACTTTTTTACTATTTCCAGGAGATGCAAGGGTAGCTAAAAGTGTGAAGAACAAAGTCTTCTCATTCGATCTTGTGTCAAATGATCCTGATGTGATTGCCTGTGATATGTCAAATGTATGGATCTTCTCCTATTAAACTATGCAAGTAGGAGTTAAAATTGGTTGCGGTTACCTCCATGTTTTGATCCTCTTTGGGCATCATTTTCCCATTATACACCAATATCTCCCTTATCGTTCTGTGCCATCAAACTGTAAGTAGTGTGTTGATTCTTTGAGTGTACGAACTTATATTTTCCAATGGGAATCAGAAAGCAACTATGAATAAAATGATACTGTCTCGAGGATTTACTTTTCAATGAATTAGTTGCTGGTCTATGCGTGCTTCAGTGTTAGTTGAATGAGGATCCCATTTAATTTCTTCCTGCAGACAGGCCTCGACTCTTCATCTGTTGATGTTGCTATCTTCTGTCTTTCCCTCATGGGGCTTAATTACCCAAATTTCCTTAAGGAAGCACACAGAGTTCTCAAACCAAGGTGTGCAGAACATTTTTCCCAGGTTACTTTAGATTCATAATATCGACAAATTATTTGTGGATCGGTGGACTTATCAAAGATTCTTTACAGTGGATGGCTTCTTATAGCAGAAGTAAAGAGCAGATTGGATCCAAAAACTGGGGGAGCGGATCCTACTAAGTTCATAAAAGCTGTTTGCGAGCTAGGATTTACCCCAGTGTCAAAGGTCCACTCTTGCTCCTTTCATTCGCACTGATTATTTACCTTTCAGTATTTGACTTCTTGGTAAACATTTGCAGGACTTCACGAATAAAATGTTCGTTCTATTTTACTTTAAAAAGCAGGTATGCTGTCTATTGGCAACGAGGGCACTTTGTGGAGACCCAGAGCTGTGAAAAGCCCGAAAAACTTATTTATCTTAGTTTTTTTTGTAGGAGAAGCCAAGTTCAAAGCGGAAGGAAATTCAGTGGCCAGAGTTGAAGCCTTGTATATACAAGCGTCGGTGATGTCAAAGCTTTTGATCTCTAATTGTCGTTCAAGAGTGACGTATGTTTTGTCGTGCATTATGGCTTATGTCACTCTTGACCTGTGGTACATACTTATGGAAGTCGTAGGCAATCTGATATGCAGTCGGATTCTTTTTATCTCGAGGTTTTGTCCTTGCAAGGATTGAGGCCGGAAAAATTGAGTCGGTTTTAATTTAGTCGAGCGTGAAAAACGGTAGCTTTTTGGTGCAAGAAGTGAATCTGCCAGTGGCTCTGTATTCTTATGTCTACTTACAATGCTATAGATTACACATTACAGGTAAGAGTTAGGCTGCTCAGTTTAATTTTTTTTTCTCTTCGGGTATAGGAGAAAACAATACTTATAAAGTGCTCCAATTAGATGTGAATTATTGGCTAATGGTTGGTATAATATCTGTTGTTCTTAGACCATAGCCGTAATGTGCTTTCATGAGTTTACTCATTCATTTTGATTTGATGACCATCCCTTTGTAATAAGTTTCATTTGTTTCACAAAAAATGAACGATTTGAAAAATATTTTTTTGAAAATGATAATTTATATTGCTTGAAATAATCAATTGATGGAAAATGTTTTCATTATTGATAACAATTTAAGTCCAGACATATTCGTGGACGATGAAAATATTTTCTGTTAATCCATTTTTGTAAACGGTATAAGCGATCATTTATAAGAAATGAATTACAAACAAATGGAGCCAAGTGTAATCTTTTTGGTGCTCTTCACAACTCTAACCAAGGAGCTAGCGCAGCCTACCTAAATAATCATTTATATTTTATCGAGGCACGAAAATGAGCTATAGTGAATCAATGCCGTTGAAATGAATTGCCTAGTGAGAATATGCGGATGTGATATCCTTCAGGTAGGGGCTAAAAAGTGATGAGTAAGCCGGACTGATTCATTTTGTATCAATTCGAGTTAAGCTTAGATTTTGTGAATCCAAAAGTTTTTGTGTCATGATTGATCGATTGATTCTTTAGTCGAAAATTACAAATACTGCGCCGTAAAAATGAGGATTTTCTCCTGCTATTTGTTTGAAAACAAGAATAAGAAATAGAAGGAAATGTATGCATGCCCACTTAAAAATGCAAGAAAGTAAATATTTTCATAGTGTTATTGTACAAAAAGAAGCTTGCAGCATAGCTTTGGGGCCTCCGCTGACCGGTGCATGAAAACTTTGCTTTGCTCTCAAAAGCTGAGCTTCCCAATTTGACACTTAAAAGCTTTTGTCAATATGACGAGAGAGATTTATTAACTTACAATTCACTGATCAGAAAACAGTCATTCATCACTATTTTCATAAATAATTTTCGACACTTACTTCATTTTTTAAAGATATTTATGAAGAGAGAAAATATTCACTTGCACGATTTTATAGCGAAAGATTAGTGATTTGACAAGGCATTATCATGAAAATATCGCGTGCAAAGCTACAATAATGAATAAATAACTATTTTTTTTCACAAATTATCGATAATGAAAAGTTGAAAACAAGTCGTTGGCTACTTTGGTGGAAGATACAAATAATCATCTTTTGAAAAATATTTTCTAAAGTTATTTGTTTTGTGCAAAATAAGAGGTTTGGACATTAGAGTTTGTTTTCCAATTAAAAAAGCCCTCGCGAAAAGAAAAAAAAAAAAAAAGTAAAAAGAAAAAAGAAAAAGCTAAAGACTGAAACTGCCATGTGACAATGATATCGTGGAGTAATGTGTCAGCAAATAACAAATGCCAATTTTTCATGTCCACAAAAAAAATTTAAAATGTCACAAGTGTAAAAGCTTTGCAAATAAGAGGATCTGACATTAGAATTTTCCAATTAAAAGAAGTACCAAAAAAGGGAAAAAAGAAAAGCAATAAAGCCCAAAAAACAAGAGGAAAAACCCTGAGGACCACTGTTCTGCTTGAAGAAGAGAAGACCTGCTTAAACCCTAGAGACCTGGAAGGAAGAACCTCCTCCACCTAGGACAGAACAGCTTTCTATTGATCCCGACCAAAGCTGCTAATTCAATGGAAGTATAGGGGAAACAGGCTTCGCCAGACGTCGGAGATGTTCGCCGCCACTGCCCGGAACCTCCAAAGGCGCTCCTTGAAGACCCTCGCCTCCATTTCCCTCACTAATCACTCCCAGTACTCTCTCTCTCTCTCTCTCTCTCTCTCTCTGTATTGCAATTGCTTTGCTTTTCAGCTGAGCGACGACGGCATGTTTGCAGTAAATAGATTTTTCATGTCCTTGATAGAGAATGGCTTCTGGGTTTGATTCCTGGTCGAAAGTTTGGCCTGAATTGGTGGTCTTTGTGGTTTATTGCTCATTTCTTGGGCCAGTCGATCGAAGTCGTCAAGAATTGGATTGCATTGTTAGTTTCGGTTCATTTCCAGTTCAAGGCGCTAATTTGGTCTCTGCATTTTCAGTTTGTGTTTTGGTTCGTTCTTGTTAGCTATTTTTCTTCACGTCGGGACGATGGAGCAATCTAGAGAGAGAAAAAGAAAGTGGAAGTGCTCGTTGACCTATGATGGGATGTTACTGTTTTAGCTGCTTCGTTGATCTTCTGCTTACATTTCATCGCGTGCTATCTACTGTTTGTGCTGTACAGGAATGCAATTCTTGTTAATTGTGATCCTGCAAAGCTAATGCCGAGGAGCGGGGTTCAACCGATATTAAATGGCGAAGACCATCTGCATTCCTCGATCAAGGTGCTCAGTCCCTTGTGCGGTTTGTCCCGTTCAATGTCAACCAAAGGAAGGAGTATGCGGAGCAAGGTCGAGAGGAGAATGCGCAAAGAGTCCGGTAAAACCTTAAGGGAGATTCGAAGGGCTAAAAAATTGAGAAAGAAGCTGATGACCGATGAGGAGAGGCTTATCTATAATCTGAAAAGGGTATGCTTTTTTTCCACATGAAAGCACCTGAAAAGGGTGTGAAATCATATCCTTACGAGTTACATTTACTCGTAAGTCGTTGGATGGTTTAAGTTTCTCTTGTCACTGCAGCGCCTTAATTTTTAAATTTTGTGTTCTTGTAATTTTGGATTGACTCCAATTTTTCAAATTGATTGGCTGTTGATGGTCCTGATACAGCACGTCTAAAAGTTTCTGCATTTGGTAACTCAACTGAATAGCTTTGAATGGTCTCAGTGTCAAGAAGTCTTAAAATACCTATGGGGTTGAAGCACGCCAAGGGCATGGATCCCTTTCTGTTTAAATTTTTGCTCAGACCTGCCAAAAGCAAAAGTTTCTGAAGCAAGTGTGGGCTGATTAAGTCTAGCTAATGTGTTCCATCGAAACTATCACAGGAGGGTAGCAGCACATTGTATACTAATATATTTGTCTTCTTATACACCAAATGTTCTAGTAACATCCTGCTTCATCTAAAAGTTTCCTTCATCTTCTGTCTTCCTCTGTGTTTAGGCACGTCAATTAGGATGCTCTGGCAAAAAAGAGTGTTTTTTGTTGTTGTCCTGTTTGCGCTATGTCATAAATTCTAGAACCTGTAAATTACTTTTTTTTTTTATCACGGGTGGATCAACATCAATTACATGAGGATCATGTGAATGAATGATCTTAGAGCTTGCTAGTTATTGGAGTGTCGAGAACTCCTGTAAAGAAGCCAGAATTTTTTTATGGAAAAATTTCCTTCAAGCTCGGGCTTTTTTGTTTGTTACTTGGTGGCCTTTGTAGTAAGTTCAATAGCACCATTACCGCTCCGTTTGCTTTTAATATCTCTCTATGATGTAGGTGATGAGTGTTTGAATTTAAATGGGTATGCTGAATAAGTAACTTTATAATGTCCCAAATATTAAGAAATTGGATTTTTCCTTGTTTTCTTAGATGCTTAGACACTTATTTTTGGTTTCTAGCAATTCTCAGACTATTTGTTGTCTCTCTGTTCTGACTTTTTCCAGGCCAAGAAGAAAGTGGCGCTGCTCCTACTGAAGCTTAAGAAATATGAGTTACCTGAGCTGCCACCCCCTCGGCATGATCCTGAACTATTGACCCCTGAGCAGCTTCAGGCATTTAAAAAGATTGGCTTCAGAAACAAAAACTATGTTCCTGTTGGTGTCAGGGGAGTCTTTGGAGGAGTAGTACAAAATATGCATCTGCATTGGAAGTTTCATGAGACTGTGCAAGTTTGCTGTGATAATTTCCCCAAGGAGAAAATCAAAGAAATGGCAACCATGCTCGCAAGGCTGAGTGGTGGCATTGTTATTAACGTACATAATGTGAAGACAATTATCATGTTCCGTGGAAGAAACTATCGCCAGCCAAAAAATTTGATTCCCATCAACACACTCACAAAACGAAAGGTGAGTACACACAAAGTGTGTCATCAAATCGCAATAAGTTCAAGAAGTTGGGATTCTGAAGATATGCGACCCTGCAATAACCTTGCAACCCCCCCTCAAAAGAAAAAAAAATTACCCAAAGGAGGGAGAGAGAGACCCCTCGTGTGAGGGTTCCCTTGCTCAGGTTATGGCTTTGGCCTTGAGTTGAGAGTCTTGCACTTTCTCCAGCTGGACCAGCTAGGCCCTAACCTTGGTTGTCCAAAGAAAAAGATGAAATGTCCTTGGAGTCGAGATCTCTGATCCACGATTTATCTCTGACGAAACCTCTGGTCCTTGATTTGTCATTCAAAAGTGGGTGGTCGTGAAACTGAATTCTGTACCGATTTTCTATATAAAGCTTAATATTTTCAGTTTCATCCCCTATTATCTGTTATTTTATTTTTACTATATGAGTCCAATTTACGAAAACTTGTCTATGCAGGCACTGTTCAAGGCACGATTTGAACAAGCTCTAGAATCTCAAAAGTTGAACATAAAGAAGATCGAACAGCAGCTGCGCCGAATGGGTGTTAATCCTGAGGATCCAGTTGCCATGGCCAGCATCCAGAGAGTTGCTTCCACATTCTTTAATGCAATTGACAAAAAAGAAGGAAGCCCATATGTTTTTCAAGATGATAGACAATCAGTAGCAGAGTCAATGCATGACATTCAGCTGTCTGCACCTGCTGCTGATAGTGACCAGGAGGAGTTGGACAGATTCATAGCTGAGATAGAGGATGCAGCAGACAAGGAATGGGCTGCAGAAGAAGCTGCAGAAAAAGAAGAGGCAGGAAGAATTAGGTATTGGAACAGAGAAGAATTTGGAGGACGGTTTAAGAGACCGGAATATCGCGGAGGCAACGACTCTGATAGTGAGATTAAAGGGGCAAGGAATTGGAAGGATCGTCATGGCAAGCAAGCTGTTGATAGTGATGAAGGTGAAGATGATGAATGGGATTCTGATGATGCAGAAGAAGTGAGTGATGTTGAAAACGTTACTGATGATTCTGATGAGGAGCTTGAGAGACCTAGAGTAGAAAGGCAAAAGCATGAGAGGACAGGGAAGCCTAAGAGTTATCAAACTCGCCCTGGAAATGCTAGGCCTAGTGTAAGAAATAATAGGGTTGTGAAAGAATCCGAGTCTGACAGTGTGTTTAGCGATCTTGAAAATGTTATGTGGGACTCAGATGAAGGGGATGGTCAGGATTCAAGACAATCACAAATTGGCGCCAGCCGTAATTACCAGAGCAGCAGTGACGAAGATGAGAATCTTCATCAACCAGTGCAGAGTGACCAAAATAGATTCCGCTGTTCGCATGGTGAAGATGACAAGTCCAATGATGATCTGGATGGATCTGATACATTCGAAATGGCAAAGGGGAAGCAGGGAAAGTACACTAGAACCAGTATTCAGGAACATAACCGGAGAAATGCCAAGTCCAGCAGAGGGACGATCGAAGATAATTCTGCGTGGGATGAGTCAGTTAATGATACAGAAGTCCCAATGCGGGGATCAGACATGGACGAATACTCATTGTCAAGGGCAGGGGATCGCGAGTACAGAGGAGACAACGAAGGGGAGAATTGTGTCAACACAGACGAGCAAAACGGGAGAGAGGTTAGAAAAGCTAATACACGGAAGCTGGTGGATGAGTCCTGGGATAGTGATTAGCTCTTCTTCTGGGGCAGTTATTCTTTTGCAAGTTCCTTTGTATGTTAAGCTTGCCAACTCGCAAAATCTATCTCGTGAAATCGATTGGACTTGCATGTTAAGTTTAAAATGCAAGGTTGAGTTTTGTTGAACGGTACAAGAACAGTGGCAGTATTGATGTTCAGGTAAAGAGAAAATATTAGACTCTGCATTCATAAACAAATTCATGCTGATCTCCTAGTCCTAGCCATTCTTGTGGTTATTTTTCACCCTTCCACACTCACAAGTAGCTGGTGATGGACCTGCAATTTGGTGGACTACACCTAATTTGTAGTTTGGTGGAAAATATATGGGCCTCCACTATTGTATATCATCCTCTTGACAAAATTTGATAGACTAAATATTTGAGGGAGGTTGATGCAGATAAAACGAAGAAATTTTCATGAACAAAATGACGTGTCATAGTAATCTCTCGTATCAGATTGATTGAGAACCAGTGTATGGGCTTTGACGGTTGAAGGCACGACTATGTTGGAACAGATCCATCGCCGTCGACTAGCGCAAAATGAGTTTGAGGAAAAAAAGGGGGCGCTTCAAGATGAATGTTTACCTGCCAGGAAATGAGAAAGATGAATGCCTCAAACTAGAGGGTGAATGATCCTGTTCAAACCAATTAATCTTATGCATTATGGTACTAATATTTGGACAGAAATAGCGAATCCATGTCTTTTGGTGCTGTATTCACTTGGGGTTGGATTAAGACATATCCTTATGGAATGCAAATCAGGACATTAGAATGTTCACAGCATGGCTCTATCTGTCAGAGGTTGGCTTGAATTGATAATTATTCTCACAGTAAGGGCATTCCCTTGATTCTGCTGGTGGGTTTCTGAGAAATTGCTCCTCTCTCTCTCTCTCTCTCTCTCTCTCTCTCTCTCTCCAATACCTGAGCTTAATAAGAATAGATCTCACGAGGATGCATGAGTCTGGAGGAACTGTAGTCCGTGAATAGAATTGCCTGATTCTCTATCTAGCTTACTATGCAGTCAAAGTAGTAAGATACTGTAAGGTAATGTATGTTGATCAGACTGTCAAGTGCAAACACGTATTTTTCTGCAAAAGCAGATACATACTTTCATTTAATCATAATCATGGTTGGATGAATCAGTTTCTAATTGTCATCTATATGGGTGGATTTTAATCCCGCAAATTAGACGTGCCATAATTAAAAGAGCCAAGATTTAGTAGATAACGAGTTGAGTGAATTTGAAATAACTAATTGAAGAACACTAATTTAAAGAGTACGAGAATTTCTACATGAACAAGATCATATTCAGAAGCGATCGCAGCTACTAGACATATGTGAACATCAGGTGAGATCCATCATCATTATCAAACATCATGATCAATTTAGCTTTCTAAATAAATATATTTCACGTGATCCTTATGGGACTTAAATCATTAGTTCCCCTAGCAAGTGTGCTGCTACAAAGTGGGGTAAACTCACAGTCAATCCAAAAGTGCCAAGACTATATCACAAAGAAAAAGAAAAAGAAATTCCAGCGGCCCATGAAGCTGACACTTTTTGACGCGTGAACGAATTGTCAAGGCAAAATGGGCGTACGAAAAAGCCAAATTTGCCTACCAAGCATCCATAGCAGGACGTAGTCCCCCGCTGGAGATCGATCCACATCACATACATCTTCGCCTCATGAAGTGGTCCTCAATTTCTCATGTACTGCATCAAATTCTAAAGATAGGTTGACTCCTTCATGTTCAATGACTCGGTCAACCGGGTCTCCTGCGGGAGGGGACTATACTTTGGTATGTAACATATTCCAAGAAACACATCGAGGGGGGGTTTGATACGGTCATTCGAAACATCGGTTGACTAGTTGACTCGGCACATGTTCCGATAGCCAAGAAGGAATAGGATGAATGGCAAAAACGAGGTGCCGTAAATGCCTTTTCGATGCTTGAACGAGATTAACAATCAAAGACGCGTGCACGGCCAAACGCTAACCAATTTCTTTTTCGGGACCCAGAAAAGCCGCAATGAATTTAGATGGGTGATATTTGCCTGGAATATCAGAAAAAAAGTCGGAAATGTTCGCCATGGCTATGTGTGACTTGGTTGGGATAAGAGATAACTTCTGCAAGTTCCTTTGTACGTTAAGCTTGGCAACTCGCAAATCTATCCTGTGAATTGAGCGGACTTGCCCGTCAAGTTTAAAGAGCAAGATTGAGCTTTGTTGAACGGTACAAGAACAGCGGAAGTATAGATGTTCAAGTAATGAGAAAATATCAGATCAGACTGCATTCAGAGACAAAATTCATGCTGATGTCCTACTCCTACCCATTCCTGTGGACGTTTTTCACCCATTTGCAATCACAAGTAGATGGTGATGAGCCTGCAATTTGGTAGACTACACCTAATTTGTAGTTTGGTGGAAAATATATGGGCCTCCACTATTGTATATCAATATTTGAGGGATGTTGATACAGACAGTTAAATGAAGATACTTTCGTGAACTAAACGCTGTGTCTTACTAATTCCTCGTATCAAATTGATCGAGAACCAACGTACGGATCGGATCCATCACCGTCAAATGGTGCAAAATGACTTTGGAAAAGTAAAAAAAGAAGTGTCTTCTAGTGGTGCAAAATGAGAAAGATGAATGCCTCAAACTAGAGAGTGAATAATCTTGTTCATACCAAATTAATCTTATGCACTCTGGTACTGATATTTGGACTGAAAGAGAGAATCCATGTCTTCTGGTGCTTTATTCATGGGGGGTGGGATTAGAACATATTCTTACGCAATGCAAATCAAGACATTAGAATGGAATTCACAGCATGGCTCTGTCTGTCTGTCTGCTTTTTTTGGCTAAAACAAACCTTCCATTCCATCAAAAGCTATCGAAATACTACGAAGAGGAACTAGAGCCTACATTAAAATGATAAGTCAAATAACACTCCACTAACACTATATTTTTAACTCTAAAAGGTAGATCATTTGACAAAAAAGAAGATGCCGTTCCTATCCGATGGAAATTCAATTTGCAAGCTCATGAGCAGCGCCGTTATTAGTTCCACTAGTCCACTTCAAACTCCCTCCTAGATTGTTGCTCAGTAGGAAGAGAGAGTCCGAGATGGAAGGATGAATAATCAAAGGGCAAAGACCCTCGTGTTGAATTGCTTGGCTTGAAGTGATAATTGTTCTCACAGTCTAGGCATTCCCTTGACTTTGCTGGTGAGTTTATGAGAAATTGCTCTCCTCTCTCTCTCTCTCTCAATTTCATTGCTTAATAAGGGTACGAATGATAATCATTCCGTTTCTCTATTTTTTTTATTTTTTTTGTTTCCGGGAACAGGTTTGGAATAAAAATCTGTTTGGCAAAATAACTTCATTGTTTTATTTTCGGGAAAATTTTTTAGCACAAAAATAGGTTTGGAACAGAAATGAGAAGTAGATTTTTTTACTTTTCTATTTCTAGAACAAAAATAGAAATAACAACTCTTCTTATCGCTCGCCCTCGCTGCTTGTCGCTCGCTGGAAATAGAAATTTTATGTCGTTATCAAATGCTACTTTCTGCTTAGAAACTCGTCTAGGAAATAGAAATAGAAAAATATATTTTTGGCCAGAAATAAGACTGGGAAAGAGAATGGTTTTGATTCGTGCCCTAAGAATTGATCTCACGAGGATGCAAGAATCTGGAGGAGCTGCAGTCTTTGAATTAGTATTGTCTCGTTCTCTATCTAGCTTAATATGCAGTTAAAGTAGTAAGATAATGTAAGGTAATGTTTGTTTATCAGACTGTCAAGTGCAAAAAGGTAGCCCTGGCAATACGAAAAATTTTCTGCAAAAATAGGAACGTACTTTCATTTAATCATAATTATGGTTGGATGAATCAGTTGCTAATTGTCATCTTTATAGGCGGATTTCATCTCTCAAATTAGATGCGCCGTATTTGAAAGAGGCAAGATTTAGCAAGTAACGAGTTCATTGATTTCGAAATCACATATTTTTATCTAGAATTTGTCGTGGAAGACCTTATGTTAATCAAAAAGCTGCATTCACATTGTCTCTAATCAAAGAACACTGACTTAAAGAGGAGGGGTATGTTTTTCATGATGAGCAACATCATATTCGGAAGCAATCACGACTGCTAGATAAAAGTGAGAGTCACGTAAGATTCATCGTCATTATCAAATATTGTGATCAATCTAATTTTTTGAGTAAATATATTTCACGTGATCCTTGTACAACTTACATTATTATTTCCCCTAGCAAGTACGTAACTACAAAGTAGGATCAAGTCATAGTCAATCCAAAAATGCCAAGACTATATATGACAGAGAAAAAGAAAAAGGTTGGAGATCAATCCGCACGTCTAATTTCCCAAACATCTTCGCCTCATAAAGTGGTTTTCATGTGATGCATGAAGGTCTAAAGATAGGATGACTCCTCCATTTTCAGTGACTCTATCAACTATATAAAGGGTATCATGTGGGAGGGGACACCATACTTTGGTATACAATATATGCCACAGGGAAACAGCAACAAAAAATCTAATGGAATGACTAGAAATGGTCATGTGGTACGGTGGATAGTGGCTCGATCATATCGAGTCGTTTATCCAAGAAATGCATTGAGGGGGTTTTATATGGTCATTTGAAACATTAATTGACCAGTCGACTCGGCATATAATCTGGTAGACAAAAAGGGAATAGGATGAATTGAGAAAAGGTGGTCTCCCAAATGCTTTTACGATGCCGGTAAAAGATCAACAATCAAAGGGGCGCAGGGGCTAAGTGCAACCATTTTCTTTTTCTGGACCCAAAAAAGGCACAATGAACTAGAGGAATGATATGTGCCTAGAGCATCAGCAAAAAGGAAAATGACGCAAATGGTCCATAAATTTTGGCTCAATATGCAATGTCGTCAATCTCTGAACTTTTAATTTGGTCATTATAATCCTTGAACATTTAGTGCATGTTCAATCTGGTCCTTAAACTATATGAAAATATTTAACGTTGTTCTTGAACTTGACTTAATGGAATGATAATATTTTATATTTTCATATAGTTTAGGGACTACATTGAACATTTATCAAAAGTTCAGGAACTATATCAAACAAATTAAAAGTTCAGGGATGACATTGCACATTAGGCTAAATTTCATGAATCACATTGAACAAATTAAAAGTTTATGAATGACATTACATGTTGGGTCAAAATTTATAGACCATTTATGTAATTATTCCTTAGCAAAAAAAGCAGAACCGTTCGCTTGGCTAAAGATAGTGACTTGGTTGGGATGAGAGATGACATTGCACATTGGCTAAAGTTCAGAGACCGCATTAAACGAATTAAAAGTTCAAGGATGACGTTACATATTAGGTCAAAGTTTATGGATCATGTACGTGATTATCCCTTAGCAAAAATGTAGGAACGTTCACTTGGCTAAAGATAGTGTGACTTGGTTGGTATGAGAGATGACTCAGAGGGAATAAGAACAAACTTGAGAGTTCAACAACCCAATGATGTCCAAAAGGATAATGCTAAATCTGTAGGTTTGAGGATTGAGCTAGATGACAATATTCAACAGTAAGCTGTAGGGTTTTTTCCTGGGCAGTGGTCATGTGAAGACTCCGAGCTCATGGTTGAACTGGAAAAAGGGGTCAGCTTGTGGCGCGGGTTGTATCGTGTGAGGTGCATCCTTGTGAGGGTTGTTTTGAACTGAACTGAGAACAAGTCAACTGGGTTGGTGCGAATGTATCCAGCGCACGTTCCAGGAAAAGATCGTCCCTGATTGTTCTTCAGCCATGTGTGATGTATTAGGGGGCGTCCGTCAGGTACGTGAAGGTTTCTTTTAACATGAATTTAAAAAAGCAAGTGGGATTGGAAAGTGCCAGTGAAAAGACAATGGGTGGTTGCCTGGTTGGTCAAGAACGTTTGCTTTTAGGACATAGAGAAAGACTGACCTCTTTTGTTTGTTTTTTTTTAAGTACTTGGAAATCTTTGATCTCTTGCGATGGTTCGTCACCTTGTCCCGACAAAAGATATGTTTTTGTTCTTAATTGTTGCACCTAGCCATCCATCTCTTTTACTTGATTGACCATTGGCCGGAATGCCGAGAATCGGGTTACCCCTAAAGATAGTTTCCGTGACCATGAGGATTTTTGTTGCACCGGACATTGAGTTGATAAAATCCGCGCGGTTTCGATTGGCCTGATGAACTTTATACTTGGGACCAATTCCTTCGTTACTCTATATTAGAAAACAATTGAGACTAGCTCATTTTTATTAGACAACTACTTTCAGGAACCGGGTTGCCCCTGAGACTGTTCATCCCCAAAGGACGGATTGAGAACAAGAAACGTCGCCAAGTGCTTGGTCTATGGAAAGTTGACTCTGTTTTGAGTCCCCAATGCGAAGCAAGAGGAGGCGACTGATTCCATCCCACTTCACGCGGCGAAATGAATGAATTTGATTGACTCTCGTCGATGACCCCATGGATCACCGTAATCTCTACTTCAATGCTTTAATGGTAGTGAGAGTGGTGGGAGACACCATGATCGGCACATCATGGTGGAGACTACACACACACACACACACAAACAGAACTTTGGAATTGGAAGACTCAAGAATAGAGCTTCATGACGACTTTACGGATGCTCTGTGTGTCATTTGTCAATATCCATGTTGCAGATATTTTTTTATCAGAAGGTGTTGACTGGTTTGTCGGTTCTGTACTCTCCCAGCAACTTCGAGCTTCCAGGGTGGCACCAAGAGATGTGCTTCCCCTAGAAAACGTCTCCTCCATGCAAAACCTGGAAAAGCCAGCTACAAGAGTTGACAAACCAATTAGCGAATCGATGTGTTCGATCGCCTGTTTGCGGGTTTGAGCCTCATACAAGAAAACGCACTTGGTCTTGTTAGGAGATTGGTCAAGAATATACGAAGAACGCTTCGCGGAATAAGACTAACAGAGCAAAAACTCGATGAGATAATGAAGGTAATCGTGCAATTTGAATGAAAAAAGAATTAAATTAGCAAGATGGAAGGGAGTTTGGCAGAAAATCAGAATATACAAATGATCATCTATCAATGACAACTACTCGAGCAAAAATCCCAGAGCACGTAAAGCTGGGAAACAATGTGCATTCCCAAGCTAGTCTAAAACACTAGGCGGTATGCAGAAGATCTTCCACAGCCACAAGAGCTAGCCATTCTCTGTAAAGCAGGTTCTTCACATGGAAAATTGATAAGAACCGCCGTTCAAGAACCTCAAGCTGGGAGAGTGCATAGACATACACGAGATTCTCCTTGATATACAGCTATTTGTCTGGTTCTTCACAAATACTACCCTGAATGACGTATCACATTTGATGCATCCTTTGCGAACCAAATCATCTTCAATGTTGTAGAGAAAGAGCCTCAATAATCGAAAGAAACTCATCAGTCACTCCCTTTCTCTTTTGCAGTTTCCGGGCAACAAAAATTTGTACTCTTCTGCATGATTGAGCAAGTAAGCAGGGAGATGAATGGCAGAACTAGAATGAGGAATCGGCCCCATCTTCCCGATTATCTCCTTAAACGTGTATTCCTCGGGCAGCATGTCGAACAAATTGGCGCCTCTACATATAACATCCTGAACCCTCTTCGGATTCAAATAATGGGAAAACCTAACCCGATCGTTATGGCTGTAAGCTTTCATCTTAAATAGGAACTGGCTAATGTGGCGGAAACAGAAGCTACAGTGCCAACCTGCGTCAGAAAGTAGGTAGTCCGTCTGCCGATAATGCGCATATCTGGTCTTGCCCGTCTGGTAGCGATGAACCGAAGCCCTCCAACTCTTGTTATCCCGATGAAACTCAAAAGAGTACAAGTAGTTTTTCAGCTGCAAATGAAGAATCGGTGGGATATCATCACACCATCTCAAAAGATTGATTGTGTGGGCACTGGGGATTTCGTCAACATCCGACATTATCAACAAGTCATCATCTTTGATGCCGGCTCTTCTAAGTAAGAGGTCAAGGGCTACTCTTTGATATGCCTCTTCAACGAATGGGTTCTCTCCCTTCTTGAATCGTCCTCCAATCCTTCCATAGGTCAACCGAGGTACAACAAAATTGAACCTGTCCCTGTTGCTCGCGAAATTCAACTTCTTAGGCAAACCAGTGAACGTAGAGTTCGACTCGAGGAGAACAAACTGCGTCACATAGGGAAACAGCTCATTCCATCGAATAGTGAGGATGTCAAGTTCATTGCTGAACAGAACTGCATCATACACCCGCCTCGGAGATTCACGGATTCCCCAACCATGAAGTTTGCACAGCGTCTCCATAGACACGTTTTCGTTGTAGTAATGCGGGATCTCGTGAAATGGCTTAGGCGGAGATTCCCAAAGAGGTCTGAGAAAATACGAGACCTTCTGCCCATGCAAATACAGGGTGAAGATGCCGAGAGGGATCACGATTAACAAGAGAATATACGTTCTGAGATCCAGACCTCGCAACATACAACGCAGTCTGGACATGCTCAATGCAGCACGAGCCTGCGCAGAACCCAGAAAAAAAAGAAAAGGAATCACACAATGTCCCGAGCAGGAGATGAGGGTAGAAAGCAAATCATATCATCCATCACCCGAAACATCACAATTCAAAGAACCCAACATATTGTCAAGCATAGTCAATCAATAAGCAGATAACTCGGGGCTTAATTCATCGACCTCTGCAAGAAAGTCGAACGCACATACATTCATTCATCACAATCAAGGCATCACATCTACATCGTTACATTCATGCCCCCAAGCCACAACGCCGATATTTCCTCCTCTCCTTATCGGATAAATAGACTTCAATCAACACACCAGCAAAATGATAACAAGGGGAAGAAACGACGGCCCACATCAATTGAAACCCCAAAAGCTGCAAAAAATGAAATTTTTCTAGGGTTCAGGAACATCACCACCCAAAGGTACGGATGTCAAAGCAGCAATTACAAAGAGTTTCCCCGGAAACAAAGAGAAGAAAAAGCGATTCCCTTCAAGCATCGGCATTCATCCACAAAAGGGGGCGAACTTAAACAGGAAGAATAAGCTCGGAGACTCGACAGCACGGACGAATTACCTGGCCACAGACGTCCTCGCATATGTCATCGGTCTTCTTCGAACTGTAATACCCTTCGGACATCATGAAGGACACACCCACCTGGGGATTGGCGGATTGGGGGAAACGGACCGAGCAAAACGCCGCCCCAATCCTGTTCCAATGCAAACCAAAACTTCCCCCCCTTCCGCTTCAATTTATAACCAATCCTCTCTCCGCGCAACCCCGAATCGCAAAACCCACCGCACCCCCACCCCAAAAACCAAAAACTTAACCCAAAAAAAAAAAAAAACGAAATTTCGCCAACCCAATTCGCTGTCGAAACTGGCAAACAAAGATCAAGCCCCGCCCCTCTCTGTCTGTCTCTCTCCTCTGTCTGTGATGAGTTGTGATGGGGAAGGAGAGAGAAGGAACCTGCAACGTTAATTATAGCCGTTTGCGTTGGTTTTTCGCTCTTTCACCAGAAAACACTGTTCCAAATAGCAAGCGACCTCTTCGACCAAAACCCACAAAAAAAAACAAAAAATAAAAAAAAAAAACACAGAGAGAGGAGAGAGAAATGCCCTTGTTAAATTTAATCGCCCTCGAAATTCTCATTTTCTTTCTTTTCCCAACAATAATTCGGAAAATCCGAGGAGGAGGAAAAGAAGGAGAAGGGGGAAAAGGGGGGAGTACGGTTGGAGGAGGGGGGCAGCCAACATGCCCCCCGACGAAAACCGACGGAGACGCGGGGGCCGTCGGATGGGGGGGGGAGGGCGATCCGACGGCGGGGAGAGGCGGGACCACGGGATGCTGCCGTGGGCGCGGCCGGAATTTGGTCGCGCGCTTTCGATTTATTTTAGAGGAGCGGAAACCGGGCGGGCGCACGGCGGAGGCACCATGTGCTCATCTGCGGCACAGGGGCTGGTTGGCTGCACCAGCATGAATCATTCGTGGTCCCCGTTTTTTTTATTTATTTTAATAATTGGAGGGACCCAAAAAAAAAACATTAATCTAATCGAATTGGGCCCGATGACCGTGCCTCTAGCTTTTTTTTGGGCCACTCAATAATAATTTTGATGTATCACATGACCTGGGTCTATCACGGCAGTTGCTAAGTCAACTATGGAATTGATTGTGGTGAGTTTGTGGGCTTTAAATTAGAGGAAAATGGCCGTCAATTCAGTTCTAAACATTTCAATTCAGTCCTGCACTTTTTAAAAATTTATCAATTCGGTTCTAAACTTTTTAATCGTGTCAATTTAATCCTAAACGTTTTAACGATTTGCCAATTCTGACGGTTCGGTTTGATCTCGGGTGATAAACTCAAATCAATTCACCAACTTAAAATATACATTAAAAGAAAAACTGTTTTGAAACCGAAACAATTAGAGTAAAGACCGGAGTGATTTGGTAGGAGAGAACCCCTAGGAGATCGATTAAATAGATGAGCTCCAATCGATTGCCTTAGAGGCAAAACCTCCTCAGAAGGGCCCTTATAAGAGCTGTGCACTTCATACTCCTCACGATTCTCGCCTGCCCACGGCCCATTCCCAATGTCGTCCGTGATGCCCCAGAACATCATGCGCAACACGTGTCATTTCTAACATTATTATTGTTATCCGTAGGCTTCAAGTTCGTCTTCAGCGCCGCTTTCGCTCCCGTGCATATTTTTTTTCAACTGAGGTCAGTTTTGTTCAAGGGGCTTGCATGGCTAGGGGCTTCAATGAAGAAAACAATGGAACTCGGTTCATAAAGCTGGTATCATTGTGACATCACCATACTCCTCTCTCAAATTTCTTATCTATCTGTGCAGCCTGCCTTGGGACTTCTATGGAGCTCTTTGGTCCCGAACTTATGACAGGTCAATCTTGAAGGTTATAGAATAATCCAAGTCCAATTGAGGAGACTGGATAATCCTATTTTGGAACTTTAAATTTGATTTCATGAAGAAGGATGAGCAAGTTCGAATGCTCTTTAACCAGTACATACGAATCAATTGATTGATGGAGGAACTTTGGTCTATGTGGCAACTCTGCTTTGAATTGTTGTCATATTCCAAATAGATCAATGACCAGGACATTCAGCTCTGAGTATTTGTGCCGTCTCTGTGAACTGTGTGCTGTGCCATGAAGTTGGGACCTTCTCTGACAACCTGGCTGCTTAGCTTGAGTGGATTTGGAAGTTGTTAATTTCTTATCTTTTTGAAAAACTTTAGTGCTCTAGACATGTATGAACCACCTTTGGTTGGTTTTCGTGGGGATGATGAGCCTCTCGTACTTGGAGATGGCAACTGTTTGTGTTTTGTAGTGATTGGATGATTGAGGCGATTAAGTATCTGCTGTATAATCTCGTATTCGGGCAGCAAACCCACCACTTGCACATAGGGTGTTGTCTGTTGTTTTTAAACAGCCACTTGCACGGAGGCTGTTGTTTCCAGCTTAGGCTCGAAACTGAATACTTCTGGAGGGATTTGGTGCTGATGACACTATGGAACCTATGAAGTGAATCGAACAAACAAGAATGACTCGGTTGAAACTAAGTCGATGCCGAAATCTTAGATGGAATAGACACTCCTCTAGGTGATGATAGAGCTCGTGACGACGGACTTGAAAGGGGCAAGGAGGGATTTGGTGCTACTGCTGACGACGGACTTTAAGCTGGAATCGAAGAACCCAGGCCTGTCTAAACTCATTACATGAAATCAACGGTTCATGCTCCTCCATAAGATAATGAAGCTCGAGACAACGAACTTTTAGAGGCATCGGGAGAGGAAAAAAACATAATACGGTGGAGAATTGATGGACTAAGAGTTCAATCAAGAGTTCGAATTTGCGTTTTAATGTTTTTTTAAGGATTTTAAGCATTTTAATCTTGCTGCAAATTTAGGACGATATCGTCCCTACTACTCACTAGAAAAAGCAATCCGGCGAGGATTTGGCCACATGACAGGTTCGAATCCTTATTTGAGATTAACTCGATCATTTCATGCCCTTATTTGAAATCTTCTCGACTGCTATTAGACAAGTCAAAGGCAAAAAGTGAGATTCGCCGTTGAAGCCCCTTTCGAAGGGCCCTCCCCCGGTTGACACCTCCACCTCCATGTGGGATTGGCATTTGAATTAGTGGGCCAAGAGATCATTAGACCACTACTGAGGCCCATGGGCCCAACCGGGCCCAATCCGATCCCGCAACGAGCGACTCCAACCTTGAGCAATTGCGTTCGCGTCATCCCCCCCTTTGTTTTGTTCTTTCTTTCCCGTGCTCGTCCTTGATCACTTTCTTCAGCGACTGAAACGTCGAATTTGGGTACTCAGCTCCAGCGCTCAGCTCGACCTCGACTCCGATCATCGCATCGAAGGAGGTCAAACTCGAATCGCTTCTTCGCGCTTCGAATCCGTGGTCGCTTCGGTTTTTCTTCTCCAGGTGCGTGGGTTTCCCTTTCGTTTTTCTCTTTGCATCTGGGGACTGTTCGAAGCCCGAGTTTCGTTCTTGATTCGACTGCCCGCGGAACCAGAAAAAGTCGACTTGATTGATTGGTTGGTTGTTTTTTCTTTTGATGTGTTTTGGCTCCTGTTTTTTGGGGCGCGCGGGGCATTGGTTGATTCGCGATTCCGATTGTTTCAGGATCGCCTGAGCTCGGAAAGTGACGCGGGGAAGAGAGGATGGATTTGGCGTCCAGATACAAGGTGTTTGTCATGCTTTTCAGGAATTTCCTTTGTGTGAACATCGTAGTTGCGTGCGGCACTTGTGGGCATTCGCGCTGGGCTTCCTGCGTCGCGAAACGGTGTTGAATTGTTACTTGTCCTCGGATATTTATGCTCACCGGAAGAGTTTTTGCGCAGGGTGTTGTTGGGCTTGTTTTCGGCAATGACAATTCTTCTTCGACGGAAGACAGGTAGGCTTCTCGTCAGCTGCGGCGATGGTATTGGCTTTGGAAGTTCGATATGTATGTTTGTAAATTTGTGAACCTTACCCCTTGCATTGCAGCAGACATATGTTCTTGTGATAACAGCATTGATGACTTTTTAGAAGTTCATAAAGAAAAGTTATCGGGGGAGGGACTTCTGTTTTTTGAGATTCCAAGTAGTTTAGGATATGAGTGCGTGGGTGTAATTTGTAAAACTTATATTTGTTGTTATGAATGTGTCTGTTCAAACCAATGTCTGCATACCCTCTTTTTCCTAGGACCATAAAGCACTACCTGATTATTTTTAGCTGTTTTTGGGAGACCATTATATAAGTTACTAATTGCAAACTTTTTGTATTCAACTGGTTGATGCGTTCGACTCCCATTGCTTGCATCGCTTGCCTTCCATAGTTCTGGTTTAAGAGTAGTTACTGCAATGAGTGAGCGAGGGGGAAGCTCTCTCTCTCTCTCTCTCTCTCATCAGTCTAATGCCAGGTGGTCATCTCTTTTTTCCTCCCCTTTGAAAATCGCTTCGTGAATGATGTATGTTGATGCAGGACCGTGTAATCAGCAGGTTGCTCTTTTATTTATTTTCTTATTATTGGGATCCAAATAAAATGTTGATAGTTAGGTGAGTTTTTTTACTTATCTAGTGGTTACCGGATTAGTGTAAGACTCAGCAAAGAAGAGTTTCTTAGTTTATCGCTGTTTGTTTGTTTTATTGTTTGAGCCTCTGACATATCTGGGGTTTCTTAGATACAAATGTCTATATTTTATATGAGAGCCTTTTGCCTTTTGTAGTGCACATTGAGAGAGAATTTCTCTGATTGCACTTTATGCATGTTGCCACTGCATTACTTTTGTTTTGGAATTTTGATTTGTGTACTCATTTTCACTGCATTATATTTCAAGCTATATCTTAGATATGTAGGGACTTATTTTGTGCAAGGTGGACCTGTCTTTCCTTCAAAGTGATTTTCATGTCCACTTTGTGATGTAAAGAACTTCAAATTTAATGATTTGGAAAGTGTCTCTGATTACTATTTTGTTTCATGCTCTTTGTGAAAATGTTTTGCTGATATAGAGGCTATTTTCGTATATGCATAGTCATAATGGGTGTGTGTGTTGTATATTGTTTATTCTTGTAGATTAGGAAGCTCTGCCTCTTTAGGTTTATTTAGGATCCTTGATATTTATTTGAGATGCCATGTGGGCAGTTAATCGATATGTAGATATTCAATCGGTGGTCTAAATGCTTTGAATTAATCTAAAACGAATTTCTTTTTCTCCCATCGTGCTTGTCTGTTCTTATTATGATGCAAACTTAGTTTGCTCAATCTAATTGTTGACTAGAA